GCCTGATATTTTTATTTCTTCATATTGTTTCTTTCAGGTATCCTGCGACTCTATTTGCTCTAGTCACTTGATCTTTTACTTCTGATTCTAGCTTTCCGCAGCTAGATAGTGTGATCTTAGTAGATTTGCTGTTATAACCATGCATTTTGTCTTTTTTGAGGAAATTAAAATGTTAAATTTTCTGGCAGTTATATTGAATTTATGCAGCATACGTTGTAAATCATCTTCACTTTGAGAGATTAGTGTTGCGTTGCCTGCATAGCAGATTATTTTAAGTTGTCCTCCTCCTATTTGATATCCTTTTTTTATTCTTACTTTTTTATTAATTGGGCAGTGGATTCTTGTTTTACTTTTACCTTGTATTGTTCTGGTAGATATTTCTGATCGTTTTAATTATTCCTAGGAGTTTCTCTTTTGCGTACAATAAGTGGATAATGCCTTTTAACTTGACCCTGTCAAATGCCATCTTAAGGTCTACGAAAGATAAATATGCTATAAATAATGATTTCTCTTGCACTTACCTCGTTATGAATATAGTATTGTATTTAATATGTTAATTCCTCCGATTTGTCCCCCTTTTTAAAGGGAAGCATTAGCATGCATCTCCATTCTTTTTGTATTCTATTTTGTTCTATTAGTTTTTTTTGATCAGTTTTGCTTTGTAAAATTTTATCATCATCTTTGGCTCTACAACCCTGGATGGGTCTTGGCCTGTTCAAGAATTAGTCTCCATTCCCCTCTATCTTTCGCCCTGGCTTTCCATTTTCTGACCCCTAGATTCCTAGATTCGTAGAAGTAATCTTCGACTTGAGTTTTAAATCTAGATCTTGGCCTGCCTCTCTTCCTGGTTCCTACTGGCTCTTGATATAATATCTTTCTTTGGGCGTCTCTAGTGTCCATTCTTTCGCGGTGTCCTAGCCACCTTAGTCCATTAATTTTAATAGACCGGACGATGTTGCATTTTTCATAGCATTGATACAACTCAAAATTGTAGCGCCTGCGCCATATCCCGCTGTCTTGTACTCCTCCGTATATGTGTCTAAGTATTCATCTCTCAAAGCAGCCTAACACTTCTTCGTCGCTTTTTACCATAGTCCATGTCTCTGACGAGTATGTCAGGACAGGTTTAATAAGAGTTTCATATATTAGTAGCTTAGTTTTTCTGCCAATTATGTATGCTATTAAGAACTGCTTTAGTTCAAAGTAAGCTCTGTTTGACAGTTATATTCTTCTCTTAATTTCTACGCTTACTAGGTTGCTGTTACTTAGTTGTGTTCCAAGATATATAAACTCCGAGACCCCTTCGAATGTGTGTGCTTCTATCACCAGATATTGTGGTGCCGCTATTTGTGTGCTGTTCGTGACCTTCATGTATTTTGTTTTGGATACATTAACCTGCAATCTCATTGTCTTCGCGGCTTTTTCTAATGTTTCAAAAACTATCACGTCTCTTTTTGTCCGTGTTACTATGTCAATGTCATCTGCGTAGGCCAATATCTGTACACTTCTATTGATGATCGTACCTCTGGTTGTTATGCCCGATTTCTCTATTGCTCTGTCTAGCGCGATGTTAAACAATAGACACGATAGGTCTCCCTGGCGTTATCCAGTATGTGTTTAAAAAGACCTTGACACTCTGTTTGTTACCTTGACTTTGCACTCAACTTTCGAAAGAGTTGCCTTTACCAATGTTATTAGATACTTCTTAAGATTTGGTCCTCTGTAATTTATGAATTCATATGGTATTCTGTTCTCTTCTGGTAATTTTCTATTTTTTAATTTCCTTACAGCTTTCTTGACCCAAATGAAGGAGTTTTAAATAGACTAAATATAAGAAAACAACTATAGAGAACGATTAAAATGTGAAGAACCTGTCATTTGGGTCATGTGCTACATAACTAAAGGTATATTTCTATATATACTACTTTTCTTAATTGATTATTAAGGGTAAAATAGAGGGGTATTGAAAAAAAAATTGTCCTAACTGCGTAATATTACAAACTGGACAGGACTAGGCTATCAAGAATTTATGCATACAGCTAAAGACAGAGAAACGTTTGCCACTATAAACGCTAATCTCCAATAATAGAGACGGCACGTGGAGAAGAAAAATGAAAACACCCTCTTAAAAATGTAGAGCTATAAAACTTACTTACCCAACTTACTAAGCCTCAAACATATCAGTGGTCGTCACTTTAAATCCTGATTGGACTGAAATTTGTATTTAAAAAAATCGCTCCTATATCATATTGATACTCTTTCGAGGTGTCGAAGTCATTCGGATATAATAAACGATTTTTGTAAATATGATTAAGCCGAATACTTCGTAACAAGGCAATTACTCAACATACACACAACAACATACACAATGTATAATAAACCAGTTGTCTGTAAAAAAACCTCATTTGACTAAGTATATGTGTTTCCAGAGAAACTCGTGGATATCCGTTAAGTTTTATAAATCACTTGTCATAGGAGAAGATTAGGACTGGTTATGTGTACTTTTATTTTAAATAAGGGAAGGAAGGGTAATATTGCGTGGTTGGTAATATCCCGCAGGCTACAAATAATATGTACAATAGATCGCACAATAAGAAATGTAATCAAGTATAAGGTGTTAGGGAAAGCTGGCAACTATGTAGAAATCGTCAGCTGTCCGCTCAATAGACTTAGTTGCACGTGGTAGATAAAAGCTTGAAGTTTAAAAAAAAACTTATAGTATAAACTTATAGTATAAAAGTATAAACTTTATACAAAGTTTTTCTTTTAAGTTTCTACTCTTCTAAAATAGGAAAGGCACCTAAGTGATAATTTTAAGACAAAGTAAGCTTCGTAAGGAGAGAAAATTTCGTCAATTCTTGTATGATATTTGTCCATATTTAATTTTAATTTGATTAATTATTTAAGGGATGGTTAAAAAAACAAAATCAAGGTCGGTAGGTGGCCAGATTGAGCAAAGATGCGCGATATTGCCCCCCTTTTCTTTTAATGAAAACTTTTTTGTAATATTTTTCCTGGGTTTTGGTAAAGAAAATATACATTGTATGGTATTGATGATTACAGATAATTTACAGTACGTATTATTACGTACAGCCGCTAAAAATTTTAATATACGGCAATCAACCACACGTGATCATTTAAGTTTGAAAATCTAGCTTCGGCTATAAATAACTGCATGGAAAGCAAACCAGTATTTACCAAAAAACAAGAAGCAGAGTTAGCAGATCACATTATTATTGGAAAATTTATTTTATAGAGTTACTCCTTACGGGTAGAGACGAATAGCTTTCGATTTCGCAGAAGCCAATCATTTAAAACCCAATTCAATAGAAACTAGAAATCAGCTAACAAAGACTGGCTAAGAGGACTTTAAAAACGGAATCCTCAACCAAGGCTTTGTCAGCCAAAAGGCACTAGCGTAAACCGTATATTTTCATTCAATGCTAAAGCGGTGGGATTTTTTTAAGTTTATACCAAAAAGAGGGCAAAAACGAGTAGGTGTTGGTACTTCACCCGAACGCGGAAGGACAATTACCATCATATATGCTGTAGTACTTCTGGTTTCTCCGTTCCCTTAATGATCATTTATCATAGAAAACGGTTATCTGCACATTTATATAGAGATGGTCCAATAGGATGTGCATGTTATTGATTACGAAGTGTATGATCTAGCTCGCTTGTTAATCAAGCATACATAAAGGAAGCAACTCTAAAAATGAGAATAGGTTTCAGAACACACAAAAAATTTTCTTTTAACTGCACTTAGTACTATTTTGCACCAACTAAACAGTTTAGAGAACTTGTTTTAGAGGCTGAACCAGGAACAAATGAAAATATTTCTGAATTAAAAACCATCAACATCAAGAGCTACAGCTTAACAGACACCACCAACATCAAGACTAACTTCATAACAGACACTATCGACAACAAGAGCTACTGCGGAACAGACACCGTCAACATCAAGAGCTTCTGCGAAGCAGACACCATCAACATCCACAGCCAAACTTGATCTTTTACCTTTATATTCAGGTGTCGTTAAACTACCACATGTAGCTCCTATCCCAAAGAAATTATTTAAAAAGTTTACTACAAAAACCAAGAAACAAAAATCATAAATTTGGACTGCTACACCCGTGAAGTATTATTCTGGACAAAAAGCTAAGCGAGATGCGTGAACTGAGAAGTAAGCGAGGAGAGAGCAGAATGGTTATATAAATTAAACAAATTTAACTGAAAAATTAATGTTGCTAAGAATATTAAAACTACGGAAAAGAAAAAACATATTAAAGATGAAAAACCCTTGTAGGGGTTTACCTGTTAAAAAAAATACCCCTGTAGCCAATGATGTATACCATGTATGCGATGAATTTGGGAAAAACAAGGAACTTTTGTATCACTGCACTGGGTGTGAAGTATGACCATACGCAGCTTATGGTGGTTGGTAGTCAGCTGAAGGTTTTCAAGGTGATTGGTCCAAAGAAAGTACATATTAAGAAAGCAGTAAAGTATCAAACCGACGTTTATTTTAATAGCATTTTTGAAAAACATTTTAAGTAAGTTGATAATCAGCAAAAACGTTATAAAGCTGGTTTGCATCGCAATAGTGGATATTCTGAACATGTAAATTAAAAAATAAGTTGATAATGTGTTAAACTGTTTCTAAGTTTATTAAAAATTTCTTATTTTTTTATTTTTTGTTACTTTTCCAGCTTACATAACATGCACGATACTGCTCGCGATATTACCCCACCAGTTGGTGCAATATCATGAAAAAACGTGCTGGATATGTGTATAATATTTTAGTAATATATATTTTACTATATTTATTTCTGATAACATCTTAAACCAAACACATTTGTGTGGAGTTTATCAATTTGTCAATTGTTTATTGTGTAAAATGTACATTTCTTGGATGTTTCTGCTTAGTTCGTGATATTAGCTCTCCTTCCCTAATACAAACACATTTAAATATTTTAATTGGCATTAGATATTTTACTTACCAAAGTGCTTTATAAAGATTATACTGCGTGGGTCTAACTAAAAACATTGTACCCTCCACAATTGGATTGAAGTTAACTCTAAATGAGAAAGGAAAGATGGAACACTCTGCATTTAAATCATCTATCGTCAACTCGTAATCTTCTTCAGATATATTTTCCATACATTCACGGAAATAGTTGTCGCCATTGACTAACACTGAATCTACCACAGCAGAATTCCATTCCTCTAATTCGTAGATCTTGGTCATACCGATGGCTGTCACTAAATTGGCTAACGTTTGCTTTGCTCGGGATTTCGACGAAAATCTAAACAAGAAATATGATTTGAAGAAAAAAAGACAATATAATTCATAATCATTAAGACTTTACATCCGAAAATGACATTTTTTAAGAAAATGGTTTTCATATAAAACGGGTTTATTAAACACTTAAAAATATTAATTAAACTTGTTCAATAATATTAATAGAGTACTGAAATTTATAGATATCGTTTATAGTAAGATAATTCTGAGACGATAGAAGAATACAGAAAAAATGAATATCTTTCAGACAACAGCATATATTTAGTTTCGTGCAAACTGATTTAGAGAAGAAAGTGTAACAAATCTTTAACAAAGACGTTTAAATAAATATCTGAAACAACAACTTACGAAACCAGATTTAAATGATGAATGGAAGAATTTGAGAACATGTATTGAAAAAGCAGCTTATGAGGTGTTTAGGAGGAACTTAAACATTTGGTGCAAGGAGAACTTATCCTGCTACAAATTGGTCTGAGGAATACTACATTTTGTTTGTGTACTTTTGAGACTTCGTATAGGTGTGGTATACTGTTTTAATGGGGTCTTATTTTTCTCTTTTGGTAGTCTGTCAGGCAGTCCTTAAATTTTTGTAATGTTTTATAAATTTTGCTTTTCAGTGATTTGTTTTAACATACAACAAGGAAATATTTTCTGAACCTTTTTAATAATATACCTTGATCAGCTTCCGAGAAGGTGCACTTGGCGTACTGTGCAGCAGGTCAGCGCAATGAGGAAGAAGGAGATAGGTTTATAGTACCCCCGCATATGTGATGCAGTTTATATGAAGACACAGAATACGATGTTTTGTATCTTCAAATCGGAGTAATCAGTAAGATCAATCAGTAGTAATAAGTCGATCGACGACGATCGAAGAGTGCTGACGTGCTGACACGTGTTTGGTGGAGTCGAGCTACAAGGCTTAGTAGTCCTTATTAGGGCTAAGGAGCGGAGACGCCGCGGAAACCTTGTAAGTATTATAGCAATATCAAAACGAAAAGCGGATGCAAAGTTGATTTTAATTAAACTGTCGAGGAGATGCCTTTATAGGCTTCTCACAGAGGTTATTTTCAGTAAGCATCTGTGAAGAATTGGGTCTATCGCATGGTGTCGACAGGGATGACACTGTAAGTTTTTGACATTTAACAAAGACGGCTCCTGCGCCTGTGATAAGAGAAAGGTAAGTGAAACCCTCCCTGAGAAATCAGGGAATAATCTTCCTCAAAGTTAGCTGGATGATACCCAGAAAAACCATCTAGCAGCGGTCAGGCGGAAAGGCAAAAACAGTCTCCTTCGGAGAAAGAAACCCTAAAATATCTTTTGAACAACTCTCTGAACTAAGGCAACAGCTAGTTCTGACTTAAACTATAAAAATTGTGTGAATAAAGTGATCGCATCCGATAATAATCACTATGAATGCGAAGACAGCAATGATGGGACATAAGTCCAAATCGAATACGACGACGAGGGTCCCTTCCCCCAACAGCTTTGGAAGACATCCTAACGAGGAGGAACCCAAACAGAAAAAGCGCCAAAGAACCCTAGAAGACTCCCCTGGCGAAGAGGAAGATGTCAAGAGGACCAGAGAAATGGCAAAAAGGGAGGAAACAGCGAATTAAGCAGGCCAGTCAATGCACTGACCGAGCAGATAAGAGCGCTAAAATAAGAGAGCCGTATCCGTGAAAACAGAAGCTAGTAAACCAAATAATGGCACTAACGAGAACGACAGCATTACCAGTAGCCAACCTCCCAGAAAAGCCAACAGAAAAGAAAAGTAAAACCTCCGATCCTGAAAAAATGGATGCGGAGGAAATCGACATGTGGGTTCTCTGCCTAAAATACTAGATCTACATTTTTGATAAAATCAACAGTAATGAAGTAAAAAAACCGCGAACAAGCGACGAGTCTACCAAAAAACCCAAACCTCCGGCAATTATACTTGAAACAGTAGCCGAACACAGAAGACTGCTGTCCGACCTTGAAGAAAGACCTAATACATACGTAATAGATCCGACATGTTTTTACGGAATCCTTTCCACACATCTCTATATTACAGTCTTGCACAGCGTGGGTCAACAATAGGAAATACATTTGATAAGCGAAGGCAATTCGATGCACAATCTAATCGTCCTGACCCTGGGTGCAATAGGAACAAATTATTTGCAGCCCCACAATAAAAAGAAAACAAGTTAGCCAAACTTTAAAAGAATTGTGAGCGAAAACATCGGCACTATACCAACAATCAACAATTTTACAGAGCACGAAAAAAGTGCGATAAAACTAGAGCAAACAATAACAAATGCCATTGATGCCAGCTCCAAAACAGAAATCATCACCACTTAGAGAGGAAGATTTAGGGATATTAGCGAAGAGCTAAAAACCTAATCAAACAAAAACCAGGAAAAGAAGAAGAGCTTACTGAACAAAAAACAGGGAAGACAAAAGGATTGCAAACGAATTAGACAGCCAGAGGGTCAGATAGGTACCACTTCAATAGCGAAGTGTGACCGGTTTGATCTTCGGACATGTGGATCCCATTTTACACATGTTCCTTGAGGGCAGTGTTGATCACTGTATGTGTGTGTAGTGTCTTTAAGTGCAAAATATTATAGCTTAGAGCTGGGAAACTAGAATAAATCTTTATTCCTTTTTTATTAAACATCCTAAACATTTTCTGATATCATTTTTAAACAAGAATTAGTTTAAATTATTATTCAGATAGCTTTTTAGTAGCGAATCTTTGTAATTGTCATTCTTCTAAGGAAACCTATGTTTAAGTTGATTTAATTCTGTGTTGTGCTTTGTTGTATTATTGAACACTGATTTCTCTTAAATAATCGGCAATTTCATGTACATATATTAAAAAACTGTGTAAAAACACAGTTAATTTAGTTTAATTTTAAGTTAACCGAATTTATGTCCATCAGTTATATAAAATTACACAATCACTATTACATCGCTAATTGAATTTTTTTAATGCTTTTAAAATAAAATAATACCTTGTCGAATATTCATTAACATTTCCCATTAAAGAATATAGATCCTTTGGATATTCTTCATCCCAATTATGCCAAAGGTTCTCAGGAGTTCCTCTGATTTTACCATTAGGAGCTTTAACATTCTTTCTGGACCACGCAATGGGATCCACTTTTAACCATTCAACATCCTCATAAAATGGTATATTTTGCTTTTCTTTTCTTTCCGCTGTTACCATATCGTAAGTTTGTAATTCGTGACTTATTACCAAGTCTTTGGGAGCTTTGGTGATCGATGTGACTTCAAATGTGTAAAAGTTGTATGATTTTGAATCTAAACAGATATAAAATGTGAGTATTTATAATCAGAAATTAAACGTGAAAACATATAAACCTAATCTGTGATCTCAATTATTAACTATAAATATATATATTTTTTAAATTAGATAAATTTGCTAGCTAAAAACTAAATTTACAATAACCTAGTTATTTTACTGGATAATTTCAACGCTTAATATAAATTTCTAAAATTCAGGGAAGTTAAAGAGAAATTGTAGTTTAGAGAAGTTTCATTTAAATACAAAGAAAAGTTACAAATACAACTAATTTAATTTTTTCAGCTATTCAGCCTACTGGAACTTTTTTAATTCGAAGTGTTTGAAAGAGATAATAATTATGTAAGATGATAATATTACTGTCTGAAATTGAAAATGCAATACCCAGGTAATATGAATAAACCTTAATTGTTTTTTATATTGAACATAGTAATTATACTTTATTAAATGAGAAAGTTTCGAAAGATTCTAAAAAGAAATCTAATATCTGTTTGCTATTAAAAATAAATCACTGTTAATTACTAATACTGTTTAAAAGTTTGACTTTTAGCGTAAGTTTTATTCTTAATGCTGTCTTTAAAACAATATTTTGAAATGCCTGGTGTACGTCCACGCAATAATTTTCACTAATTGAAGCAAGTTGTTTTGAAATGGAAAGAACAATTGGAATGAAAAGGATTGGAAGGCTCTTCGGAAAACCACTAATGGGATTGGTAAGAATGCGTATCCTGTAATGCGCTATTGGAATACTTATATACAAAAATATAGATAGCAAAATCGTGGAAATACTGGAGCTGTTCCCAGAACCAGTGAACGTGAAGAACCGCTACTAAGAACAAATGCTCTTAGGAACGGATTCAGCACCTCTAGATCAATTGCATCAGGACAGTAATTCTATATGAGATCAATTTATCGAAGAATTAAAATCGCATTTAGTGACAAATGTCGGTTATGTTTGTTGGTCGACGATGGCTGAGGACGGATTAGCCGAAGACGCGGAGAGAGGCAAGATCCTGGCTATTACGTGAAACGTTAGACAGCGCTTACCAGAGGACTTATGGGAGTAGGTGCCCTTTAATATTTATCGAAAGAAACATGAATGCGCAGGGTTATATTCATAATATGTTACAACCCGTTACAGTGTCCTACATCCGAGAACTAGAAACCTCTATTTTCCAATAAAATAAGTTTAGGCTCTACATTAGAGCTTTTACTTTAATGATTCTCGGTCTCGGTGAATACATGAATGGCCAGCAACATCTTCATTGAATATTTGTGGTATTGATTGACAGAAGATTAATAACTAATGGGAACAAGCAACAATTTAAAGTTTAAAATAAGTTTATTGACGTTTCAATTTTCACTTTGGAAATCGTTTTTAAAATTTGTGTTTTGAAGTGGAAATTGAAGAGTCAATAAATTTATTTTAAACTTTAATTGTGGCTTATTCTCATTAAAATAGTAATTACTTCAAGATACCAGAAGAAAATGGATTCAGAACAATATTGGGCAGATTGGACCGATTGCCTGTGCCGCTTATGGATTCACAGCAAAAAAAATTATTTATTATTAAATTAATAATATTAAATTTAAAAATAATTGAATATTAAAAAGATGTTTGCTGAGTGTTGCATTTTCAATATCAGGTATTATAGTATAAAAAGATTTAAGGAATACCTCGTAGTATCTTCTTTTTTAATTGCCACTTAAGCTCCCTTATGTCCCGACATTTTAACCAACCAGCAGGTTGATTCTTTGGTTGGCCATATGGATCAAAGATGTGATATTTCTCATCCTGAGTTTTGTGGATTACGTAGCTAGCATTGGCAAACTGCACCAAAAAATAAGAGAGTTTTTTTGCTAGAAGGTAATCTATTCCTGAAAGTAAATCATATAATTTTAAGAATAAAAACGAAATATGAATAATAAAAAACATCTAAAACTGGTAGCTAACAATGAAGAGAAAATAATCCTTAAGTAATTAAAGATAACCATAAATTCACTCAAAAATAGAAAGTCGCCAGGACCAGACGGAATAACCATCGAGCTTCGAAAACACGGAGAAGAAAGTATAATCTAATAAACTAATATTGCACTGCAAGATACCAGACGCATGGAAAAACAGCATAATGATATGCAATGTTCAAGAAAGGAGATAGGAAGACCCCAACAATGGTAGAGGTATAAATCTACTGAACACCGCACTTAAGCTTACCACAAAAGTCCTTACCAACGAAATCAATAAACTAACAACTTTATCAGATAAACAATAAGGATTCAGATCCGGAAGATCCTGCGTAGACGTCGTATTTGTACTAAGAAAAACCACAGAAAAGACCATCAAATACAATAAACCAGCATATCTATGTTTTATAGACCTGATAAAGGTTTCGATCGCATTGAAGTGGAAAACGTCTTACACCTACTGTATAAAAGAAACATACCAATCAATATTGGCAAAGATAAATGTAAAACTAACACAGTGTATACCAGTACAACTGAAAGTCAGACAGGGTGACCCGGTAACTCCACTTCTCTTTAATATAATAATGAACGAAATAATGCAAGCAGTACGTAAAGGTTATGGTTACAGAATGGAGAGCAAAGAAATCCAAATATTATGTTATGCAGATGACGCCGCATTAATCGCCGAGGTAGAAGGCGAGTTCCAAAGACTAACACATATCTTCAATAAAACAGCCAAGAAATACAATATGATAATATCATTTGAAAAAACCAAATGTATGACAACATCTAAATACCCGCTACGATGTAAAATCGAAGTTGATGGGATAATAATAAAGCAGGAAGCAAGGTATCTGGGAATAGATGTAACTAGTTACGAAATGTTGAAGAAGAACTACGACAACAAATTTTAAAAGCAATTAAAGTGGCAGAATCTCTTAATGGAACAATATAGAAGAACAACCACCTAAGACAAGATACAAAAACAAGAATCTATAGAGCAGCAATTAGAATTATATCAATATACACGGCGGAGACAAGACCTGACACATCTAAAACAAGATAACTACTTGAAACAACAGAGATGAAACTACTCCGACAAATATCAGGGAAAATTCTGTTAGATAGGGAGAGAAACGAAAACATGAGAATAGCATGCAGTATAGAAGACATATATGGATAGGTGACAAAACGGAAACAGGACTAGAACGAACACATTAGTAGAATGGCAGGGGATAGAATAGTATGACTAGCATGATAGTCACCAAATGGACGAAGAAGTATTAGTAGACCAAAAAAAAATTATTCGATAATTTAAACAATTTATTAGGCTAATATTTAAGAAGAAACAGGCATACAAGAATACATAAAAGAATGAAGAAGAAGCAATTAAAGTGTATGTTTTCACAAATAACTAAAATAAAGACTGAAATTATTTAATGGAGAAATTGGTCTGGCCGTAAACAAATAAAAAACAAACTTTACAAATAAAAAGCAGATGTCAAGCACAGTTTTTTATTTAATCTTGTTTAAGTACTTTCGCTATTAGAACATCTTTAGCGGCATCTTAAATAAGCCAAGAAGCGTTGTTTCAAGTGAGAGAAAATTAGTTAACTTCGAAAAACCTCGAAGCTTACTCGAACTTACTAACTTCGTCAAAAATGTTGGCGATCCAGCACGTCAACTAATGTTATACACATTAAATACACTTACACAAAAACTAACACTAGACAAAGGACAAACAGTTTAAAAATTATTTCGATGCTACCTTGTGGACAACGGCAGGAGACAGAATTGTTGCTGGTCTTAACGGAAATATTAAAGTGACATCTGACATATGATAACTTAGATGGACAGTCAGAATTATGGTCATCTGCAGATTTCAAAAAATTCTATGGTAAATTAAACATTGGCCAAAAATCCAACTGACCACTCATATAGGAAAAGCCATTTGATAAAATATGAAATTATATTAATTATTATAAGTAAACTGTATAATCCATATCTCACACTCAAACATGTCAGTGGTAATTTAGGTGTTAGTTTGCAGACAAATGTAGTGGACACAGAGTGTGAATAAGAATAAGAACTAGACTAAACAATCTATTACAGAGTGGGTGCAAATAATATAGACGCATATATTGTGCTTACCTTTGCTTAGATTTCGGTTTTGCTTCCAGTCTTCAATTTTAATTAACTTGATAATTATGTCGAAAAAGTGTTTACCTACCAAAATGTTTTTTATTGTTCGCTTTTCAGAAATCAATAAATCGTCAGCATGGGAATATACGTGAATTCCATAATCAATGGCCAAATCTACCTTTCTGGTATCCCATCTAGTGACGGGAGTCGTCAGCAGTAGAAGACAAGCACAAACACAGATAAAATGATCTTCCTTAAGATCAGCGCTCACGGCTTTTCGGCCGGGGAGCGCTTTGGTACCGAGGATTGTACAATATCCCGATTGATAGTGGTATCTGCAAAAAGAATGAAAAACACTAAATAAATTTACAATATAAATTATTTATAAAACATAAAACGAAACTTGTTTTATCAATATATTTGGCCCCTATACTAGGTAGTGTGAAAGTTTAGTTTTCCAGCAAATAACATTAATGTTAAGCATTATAGCATAGCTACTAATACTTTTTCTATCAATTTAATTGATACTATCTATATTTCTTTGTTTCTATATGCTCTAAAAATCTCAAAACACCATTTTTTGTTGCTTTCAAGTATCCCAAAACATTTTAAAATTTTTTTCAATGTTCTTCAATGTAATTATTGTGAAATTGACTAAGATATGACACACATAAACTTTAATTCAGCCTAGAGCCTAACATCATATACACGAGACAACAAACGATATTAGGTAACTTCGGATTTCTACCAAATTTTTGTCTATACCAATTGATCAATTAGGTTTAGGTTTCATTGAAATATTTGACACTTTACATATCTTGGTATTTTTATAAAAACTGTGCAAGATTTTCCTAAATGATTCCTTTTGTAAAATATATACTTTACTTCCCATTTAAGGGTTCGGTGCAGAATCATTAAACTCCACTTATTTATCAAAATTCAGTTTTTGCATGCATCGTATAGAATAATGTTTGCACATCTTTTAGTGCAAGAATCAGCCATCTCCAACAAATATTAAGGTTGAAGTTAAGGAGTTGACCGCATCAATCAATACGAGTACCTAGGTGCAAGAATTGGTCAACTTCAGGAGAACATCGGAAAATCAGACCACATGCGATGGCAATCGGAATAGCATAGCATTTCAATTACTTGTTTTAAACATTGCAGTAGTCTATTGTAAGTACGAATAAAGTGTAAAAAATATCGTTGCATTATGAGTATTAGTTTAAATAGGGAGTTTAGTAGGAAGACCCATATGCAGATTCTAGGACTGACTACGTGTTATCGGATCCATCTAATTCTGATGTTCCGAGTCCTAGTCGATGACTATCAAAGCATTTTTTTTATTGCTAATAAAGGTACCCATGAAAGTAATGAACAGCAAAAAACATTTGTGAGTAATAATACAGAAATTTCAAACACTCAAACCGGTAAGACTTAAGGCACAAAACAAATACGGATAGAAAGCAAATGGAAATGAAACACTATGAAAAGTAAACAGGCTAGAGGGAAAAACTGAACCAAAGTGCCATTGTAGGACAAGATGTTTTAATTAAATAATCGATACCTACAAGCATAACATAATTAAGCAGTTTTATACTACAGAAGATAAAACTAAACTAGACACTAGTATATCAAAGGTGCAAAGGAAACATCCGATCACAGGAAAGGGGAGAGAAAAAAATAGCACCTAAAAATATAAAGTAATATTTTCCTTGCAAAATATAATAATTGGTTCTAAAATGTCTTTTTTTTAGTTACGTGTAGGAAACCAAGAAATTATAGTATACAAAACAGCTGTTCTTTGCATGGAGTATCAAAAAATAGAGTGTCTCACATTGCCAAAAATCTGACGATAGGTAGTATTATGTCACCTTCCAATAAGCGTGGGAAGCACTACAATAGACTGAACAAAATCACTGAATAAATAATAGCGCAAATAGAGGAATATATTTAGAGTTTTTTCAGAAAAAAATCTGATTGCATTATGGAAGATAACTAGAAAAGGTATTTTTTATCTCCTGGGTTGAATTTTGCAAAAATGCTTCGCCTGCACCTTGAAAAATATGAACCAGAAAACTATGTTCTCCTTAACGACGGATAAGATTTAAAGAATATTAAGCTAATAGTAACATATGAGTTTTATCACCGGTAATCTCAATCATAATTTTAGTTTTGGACATCCCAGGCAGATATTTGCCATAAATGTGACCGTCTGAACAACAAAATTGACGCAGAAGCCAATGCAGAAACTAAAACCTAGCTTGGCAACTAAAAAGCATCTACACTTATAGAAGGCTGAAATATTTTATACCAAATTGCGGGGATATACAAATGTTGATTACCAACAAAACCTGTCACTGCCGCATATTTCTTCAGGCGACGTATTCTATAAAAGGCAGTTATAACAATACAACTTTTGTGTATATTCTATCACAAAAAGAGAGGATACTTTTTATTTGTACGATGAGCTCACTGTCAGAAAATGTTGTAACGGAAGTGGTCAGTTTTACATCATTATTTAACAAACCTTGTTCCGAAAACTGTTACAACCATCTATTTATTTTTGGGTACCTAACTGTTTTGCCCAAACCAAAAATCACAAAATCGTACATTTCTTTTATAAATTCGGGAATGCGTTTAATAGTAATATTCAGCAAATAACACATCAGTTTCCAGAACTCGGTCACAGCTTCCTACCATGCGACTGTTGCTTTGGTCTGATTGAAAAAGAAAAACGAAAAAAAGAAATAGTATACTTACCTTCTGAATGGAGAACATTAGTCAAGAAAACACCAGAACAGTAATTTATTAATTTTTAAAAAAGTCGTAAGTAACCAACAGAAAAAAAGATTTCACATCTCCAAGTATGGTCTTTTCAAATATAAAAGAACAAACATAATATTAGAATATAGTGTTACAGAAGGTCTCACGCTATATGCATCATTTGTTATCAAAAAACCTAACGCAGTTTTAGTTTGACCAAGTACTAAACTGCACACTAAACACATACTTCAAACAAGCCAATAGCCAATAATGTGATTAGACTTTCAATGAATTCCTTGTATTCGGGCTTGGCCCGGGCACGCTGAATCTGCTCCTTCGTATTGTTAGGAAAAATCTTTCATTACATACTGAAGGATGAATCGGCCTTCGTACCGAAATTCCTTCTGTCCCATCCGGATGAGATCCTCGTCGGTGAATCTCACCAGCCTACTCAGATTTTAAAAATTGGAAGTAGTAATAATGTATAAAAACACGTTCAAAGAATTTAAAAAAACGAGAGTTTAACTATTAACAAATCACGTCTTTATAGAAAAATTAAAATAGAATTTTATTTGCTTTAAAATTAATACAACAAAATATAGTTGAATTCAAGTTAATTTTTAATAGGTATCAAAATAATGCTACAATAAAAAATCTTTATGTTTTCTCCTAAATTTGCTACCAAAATAGTTCGATCGTCAATATTATTTGGAAACCTATATAGAAAAATAAATGAGTTTTATTCATTTCACTAATTTATTTGCATCCATGAGAAATATTAAATTAAAAAGGTACTAAATAGATCTTTTTTAATCTGATGATGTCTACTTACAATTTAAAAATGTTTACTAATTTCATAAACTTATATCTTATTCAATACATTAATGAACATGAATAAACCCAATGGTACGCCTATTAAAATGTAAACAAACACGCTTCCTCATTTCCTCATCTTAAATAATGTAAATTGTATGTACTTACAAATGAAATGAGAGATCGGGATGTAAATATTTCGTTTAATTTATTTCACTTTTTACAAATATCACTCAAAATACAGCCAAAATATCGAAAAACAACTTTTACTAAAAAGTAAACAAACATGGAACAGCATTTGAAGTTTGACGTAGATCCATAAGACAGAGAAATATGCTATAATCCATAAGACAGAGAACCGTTGCCATTTATAAATAGTTTTCAGTGCTTCTACATATAAAATAATTGATTGATATCTATTATTCGCTATTATTAAATGATAATGCACACTATGTGCTTACTTTATATTTTGATTACAATTAAATATAATAATCTAACCAATAAATTATTATTTTGGTTTGATAGCATCTGTAGAGTATAAAATACGGTGTAATATTTTCAGCGACTCGCGAATAAGACATTGTAAAACAAAACGTGACAACAGTTGAAGGTGCTGAGAATGTAACCTATTCAAATAATTTTGACTTCACAATTTTATGTAAATAACTGAGTCCATCTGTGTTTATACGTCCATGGTTGAAAACAAAGTTTTCAGTGTTTTATTTTTACATAAAATGAATTTTCATCCAGTAACGGTCGAATCCATAAATTATTTAAAAGAAGAACTGGACAGTGATAATGACACAGTTGAAACTGAAAATTTTTAGTTTTTTATATTATATTTATCAGTTTTCTTTTCTTAAAAGTTTTTTTTATCGCATTATTTGTTAGTTTTCCTAAGTGGTCTCTATTTTTTTTTTTGTTTTTAGAGTTATTTTGAGTTAAAAAATAAAGTTATGTTTTTTATTTTATCATAAATAAATATTGAACGCAATAATGTTGCTTTATTTCTGTACTTTTTTTTTAGGTTCTTAGTAGAAAGTGTTTCTGGTGGGGCATTATTTTCGCTTATACGAAATCGGCTGACTTCGGTGAAAATGGCTTAAAAAAAATTTCCTTACAAAAAATCCTGAAGCTGGGTGCATTTTTGTATGTGAATCACGTACATCAACAATTACATCCTCGGGATTATCGCAGTCGAGTGGAATATTGCACCAATATTCTTGCGTTACAGTATGAAAATCCTGAATTTTTGAAAAATGCATAGTTTTCAGACAACGCGAATTTTCACTTAACGGGCCATCTAAATCATCGCACAAATTAATTTATATGCTTTGCCAGGCAGATGTAGTTCAAGTCAATTATTGGTCCGTACTTTATCGAAGAAAATGATAGACAAGTCAGACTTAATTAACAGAAGTACATACAAATCTTAATACGCTTTATAACTTATCTACGTCCGGTCGTACACGTAATTTGTCATTTCGAGACCAATTTTTTCAGCACGGAGCAACTTGCCATACTGCTATCGGAATTCGTAAATTGGCTCAGGGACATTTTTCAATCAGATTTATTTCACGATTCCTAAGTGATTTTCCTTATCCTTCACATTATTTAAACTTACATCTCCAAGCGCATAAATTTGGGGCGTGACTGTCCCAAATGCATGCGTCTGCCGTTTTTAAACGGGCACCATAAACCATCTATGAATTAAAGGATGCCGTTAGAACCTTCTTCGTGGACCTGAAACAACTCTTATTACATAACATGACGATAAACTTGGAACATCGGTATGAAGTGTGTCTTGAGAGAGGGAGAGCTCATTTAGAACATGTAATAAAAAGTCAATAGTATGTATTTCTTAATACAATAAAATAATTACAAGTTCAGTACTGTTTATTTTGGGCTATACTGCACATTACAAATGTCACATCTAGATATTGATAGGCAAAACCAGAAACTCGCAATATCTTATTGTGCATATTCTCTGAGATATTTGTTAGAGTTTGTAAATATTCAGTAATGACTGTTAAAAAAGTATTAAAAATCAAAAAATAACACTCACCCTACTTTGTTTTCTGGATATTCTTCCTTTTCTTCTTTATCCATTTCTTCTTCAGCCTCCTCCATATAATATTCGGTAAGTTGACCCTCTCCTTCTTCATCAGACAATACAATTTTGCGTTTGTCTTTCTTCTTTTTTGGTTTACCCCTTTCAGCAAAGTTTATAATTTCTTTTACTTTCACAGAACTTAAAACGAACCTACTATAGGCAACTTCTTCTGCACTTTCTCGTTTTTTCTTGTTATATAGAATTCTCATTGTTAGAGAATGAAGGTCTTTAAATCTCGCAAAGCAAGTTACGCCTTTTTGACTAGGTCCTAAATTTAAAGAAAGATCGAATTAAACTAAATTAAGAAATGAATAATATATTTGGAAAATCATATATATGGTCATACTTTCAACGATTTTTTTCTTCCATGTTCGTTTCCCTTTATTCGATATTGAAAACCATTGCATTCGTCGCAATAAATTGTCATAAACTTTTTATCTTTTATTTTAAAGTTGGTGCAATTGTTGCCTGTTTCTCCATCAAACCTTGCCCCATCTTTTTATCGATTCAGTTTTTTTTTATATTTTTCGCTGTATTTTATCTTGTAATGCCCTCCATCCTTCTGAGAAATTTTATTTCGCTAACTTGAATTCTATACTGCCTGGGGTAATTCCGGTGTGGATTGAGTAGCTCTACGATTACCACAGCTGGTCTCAAGCCCGGATAAAATATGAAGGGCGATTAGCAAGGTCAATTGATTATCAAGACGACTACGGCAAGAAATAAGGACAAGCGAAAACTATTTAACACATAGATGAGAATAACTACTTGGAATATCAGATTGCTCAACTCAAGGGAACAAGAAATAACCCTAGTGCTGAAAGAGAAAGAAATAGACATTAACAAAAAAAAGGATAAGGTCAACCAAAATTAGGTGAATACATACTAATCTACAGTAAAGTAGCAAAAGAAAATAGGGCCAAAGAAGGTGCAGCCTTACTAATACACCAAAGGTACCAAAATCACATCAAAGAGTGTCAATACATATCAGAACGAATAGTAACAGCAAAGATATAGCAGAAAATAACAGGCCCAGAAAATAACAAGCCTCAAATAACAAGGGAAGCATTTTATGACCAATTATAACAAGAAGTAGATAATGTCAGAGGAAAGATGATAATATTGGGGGATTTTAACGCTCGAAAAGACAACCAAGTAATAACCGGCATTAAACAAAAACATAATGAGAATGTTAAAAACATCCATCGAAAATAATTGACGTAAGATGACTCAACTCAGCAGATGTAGGTAGCGACCATAGCCTAGTATTATGTAAAAAAGAATCATTCTGAAATACTTGCTACCCAAGAGAGCGGCGCCAATACAAACAAAAATCAAAGTCGAAGGATTAAATATGGAATTCACTCAATACTTATACAGGTAAAGAATATTAGAGAAGATCGCTGGGAATAAAATATTAAAAAACGATAACATCGGAAAAAGCTAGGAAAAACTTAAAAATAGCATAATAAACGCAGCAACAAAATCACTTGGAGAGAAGAAAGTAACGAACACTAACATACCAAAAAAGAAAATACCATGGTTTAGAGAGGAAGTAAAGACAAATATGAAGAAAACAAGAAAGCCTTTTTACAATACAGAACACAACAAACGCAACAGGCATAAAACCATTATAAACAAATCAGAAATGAAACGAATAACTTAGTTAGACAAAAAATAAAAAAGGAACACTGGTAGAGTTTGGAACACTCAAAACAGATGGAACACGACTTCTACGGAACACAAAAAGAAATGTGAAGAATGATTAGAGGACAAAGAAAAGAGATGAACGAACTAATAAAAACGAAATATATTCAGTAGGAAACATAGGTAGACAACTTTCAATCCCTATTTGCTAAAGGTGACGATAATGAACCACCAACACCAGAGGTGACGACAAACTAAGAAATAAATATTGAGGAGGAATAGGTAAAGAAAGCATTAAGGATATTAAAAAATGGAAATTACCAGGAGAGGACAGAATACCGAACGATCTCCTTAAGTACGGAGGACCAGATCTGATCAAACAACTATTAAAACTAGTCCAAATAATAATAGAACAAAACAGAATTCCTCAAGAATGGAGATGAAGCATCTTCATACCTCTCTTCAAAAAGGGAGACAAATGGGTCCCGAAAAATTACATAGGAATTAATTTATTAAACATAACACTAAAATTAACTATGAAAGTGATAACAAATAAACTGAGTGAAATTATAAACCTATCAGAACTACAACGTTTTAGGTCAGGAAGATTATGCACCGACGCAATATTTATAATGAATAAAGTACAAGAGAAATAATTAGAATACAACAAACCGACATATCTATGTTTCGTGGACCTTACAAAGGAATGTAATCGGATCAAATTAAAAGACATTATCCACTTACTGTAGGGAAAGGAGATATCTTTAAGAATAATCAAAACGGTCGAAAATATCTACCAAAACAACACAATAAAAGTAAAAGTAGAAGAACTAATCGACACTATTGAAGCTGGCAATGGGATAAGACAGGAAGATTCCCTGAGTTCTCCATTGTTTAACCTGATTATGGATGAATTGTTAAAAAAAAGTGAGAACTAAAAAAGGATACCAAATGGGAGAAAAACAACTTAAAATAATTGGCTATTCAGACGACGCAATACTATTATCTCAAAGTAAAGATGATTTACAACGTATGCTGTAATCATCACCAATTTAATATAATCGCCATAAAATTTAACATGTTAATTTCCACAAAAAAGACAAAATGCATGGTTACAACAGCAAATTTACTAAGACGTAAATTGAAGTTGGAAGGTCAGATAATAGAAGAAGTGATGTAGTTTAAATATCTAGGCATCACATTATCTAGCTACGGAAAGCTCGAAACTGAAGTGGAAGATCAAGTGAATCGAGCAAACGGAGCTGCAGGCTGCCTAAATGAAACAATATGGAGAAATGAAAATATCGGGAAAAAAATGAAAGAAATAATTTACAAAACAGTCATCAGACCAATAATGACATACGAGGCAGAAACAAGATCTAACACAGAGAGAACAAAAAGGATTCAAGAAACAGCAGAGATGAAAACACTTAATGAAAAATTGATGGTAAGACACTATGGGACAGAGCAAGAAGTACAGATATACGACGTAGATACAATGTGGAGAACATCAAGAACTGGGTAAGAAATAAAAGAGTAGAATGGAACAATTATATAAGCTGAATGACAACAACTAGAGTAGTAGAGACGGTTCCCTAATAGGAAGACGATCGTAGGAAGACCACGATCCACGATCAAACGACAACTTACTGGAGGCACATTGAAAAATAGACAGTCATGTCTATATAAAAAGAAGAAGAAGAAGAACTTGAATTCTAACGTTCTATCTTTACGTCAGTACTTAACCTTTACATCATGGCCATTTTCTCTGTAAAATCTAAGCAATATATCGTTTCTTGTTCTTATTCTTCAATGTAGTGTAAATTGTTTCGCATATATACTAAAAGATCTAGATTTTATGATCGAGATCATTGTTTTTTTTAAACGTATGTAATCCCTTTCGTGTTATGGTACATATCCGTTGGATATCGGATACTAACATGGCTATTTTGACTTTCTTGACTCCTACCCTAAAAGTCCGTTATTCGCCAAGTTAAAATTTGTTAAGGTTTATGTATCCATGAAAATCTTAACATGCGTTTACAGCACCAGTTAACACCCTTATTAAGTGAAATTACCCATTTGTTTTAGTAGATGATCGATAATTAGTATTTTTGTTCTTATTGGGATTTGCGTTCAAACGCCACAACTTTCATCTTTATTGTCCATATGTTTATATTGTAATCCTTATCTTATATACTAGATACTGTTTAAAAATGGGTCTTTGTTGCTTACTTTTTTATTAGTTATAGTAGTTATAACTCTATATTCGGTAATGATTAAATTTAATTTAGATACTTTATATTAAGAAGATAAAAAAATCAAGTATTCGGTTCAAGACTAAAAAAGGTGGACAATATAGATGATTAACTAGTTACTTCTATCACCGAAGCTTTAACTTATTGTTATTGTAAGGTTAGGACAACTAAAGTAAAGTGTCCTATTTGATATTTTTTGTTAACAATAATATTAATTTTAAACTGTCACTAAATTTACGACATTTTTAGAGCAAAACAAAGTGTAGTCTATACAGAACCATATATTAAAGAAAAATAAATCATTGTTAGGGAATCCAGTATTAGGATAACAGCATTAAATTAGCCATCCAGGTAGAAATCATAGATATATGCGTTGCGTATGTTGGCATAAACGGTATGAGCCCATTTGAAGCATCTGAAATACTAAATCCATTTTTCCCCCGCCCTATCTTCAGTGAAAAGTCCAGAATAAAACATACATTGCGTTTCCTCTTCTCTAGTGTCCCATTCTATATCAGAATCATCATCTAAGATAAATTCCTAATCTTCTTAGGATTACTAGAACATACTCATGGTTCTTAACACTGTTGTTATTAACCTTGATTTTTAATTTATAACAATAGCTTTTCCTGATTATTTATTTCTTTTTTTAGAAGGCACATTATTCATTTTCAATTTCAACATTCACTTAAGACACTTTTCTTTCTTTGTTGATCTGACAAATTACTTTCTAAAGCATCTTTATATGGGGTGACTATAATCAAGGCAGGAGATCCTATCTGAATGTAATGTATTTGGTTTTGTGTCAATAATCAATACTTCTTGGAAGAGTCACATGCCTTAAAGGCACTTACCCTTATTGCTCAGCATCGAGTGAATTTCGAGCTAGTTAATATAATGTTGGGACCATTTGGTAAAAATGTAGCTCTGATTCCAGCCAGATATATGACATGCAGCAATTTTTACTTGTGAAGCACCGTTGAGTAATTCTGTCTTCATGTGTTTTCGGGAAAATATTAACATTAGAGGCGCATAACCACCAGCAACATTCATATAAGAAATTACTGTCACTAGTGCTTCACTTTGTGTGAAGATAACGGTTACTACCTACTTTCTCCATTTTAACGTGATTATTCTGGTATGCTTATATTTTCTTCTTCTTCTTCTTAGCCTTCTGTCGTCCATGTTTGGACATAGGCCTCTCCCAACTCCCTACTCTCTATCCTGAGCAACATATTTCCAATTTGTTCCGGCTATTCTTCTAATGTCATCAACCCATCTCATCTGTGGTCTTCCTCTTGGTCGTTTACTTTCGTAAGGTCTCTAATGTTGTATTGTGGTATTCCAACGTTGGTCTTTCTGTCTAGCAGTGTGGCCCGCGAAGCTCCATTTAAGTTTTGCAATTTTTATTGTTATGTTCTCGACTTTTCTTTTGGATCTTACCCAGTCGTTTCTCTTTTTATCTGACAGTCGTATACCTAACATTGCTCTTTCCATTGTTATTTCTGTTGTGGCTAGTTTATTCATGTTTGCCTTGGTTAGGGTCCAGGTTTGACATCCATATGTCATGATAGGAAGGATGCATTGGTTGAACACTTTGCTCCTCAAGTATTGGGGTATTTTGCGGTTCTTAAGTATCCAACTAAGTTTTCCAAATCTTGCCCATGCTAGTCTTGCTCTTCTAGTAATTTCCGCACTTTGGTTCTCTTTGTCAAGTCTCAGGATTTGGCCTAGGTAGATATATTCTTGGATTTGTTCTATCTCACTGCCGTTTATAGTTATATGTCTGGGGTCTTCTGTGTTTGTCATTATTTTTGTTTTTTTCATATTCATTTTTGGGCCGACGTATTGGGAGCTGGCTGCTAGTTCCCCCAACATAATTTGCCGTTCCTTATATGCAGTGCTTATATTTTACAAATGTTTAACTTGTTTTTTACCTATAAATTGTAAATTGACTACATTATTTTACGTGATTTTTGTATTATATTATATCCAAAGCACAATTATACCCGTTTGACGATCATTTATTGTCTATTCTCGATTACAGTCTACGTTTAAACTGTAGAACGAACTTACTGATAGCAATTGTATGCGAAAGTATGTTGGAGCTGGGAGATACTCCGTTAAACTAATAAATATGCCTTTTAACAGAAAAATTTTTGTAAGAAAAGCTTTTATTAGTTTGTCAACCATCAACCCCAGAGACAACTTTTGTTAAAAAAAAAACAGCATTAAGGGAGCTGTTAAAAACATTATAAAGGTGTTCGAAAAGTCCTGGAGAGAGGCCACAGTGAATTCTACGTCGGCTGGAGATAAAATGTAATATATAATAATTATGTATATTTATGTATCTGCCCTTATACAGAAATATTAGTGTGTGTCTTTCTTAAAATTTGTCCTAAAACCATGGACGTATAAACATAGATGGACACAGCAATAACATACCTTTAACACACAATGTTTTGAAGTTTCGATAGAATGTGATGCTTCCGCAATGAGTATAAGCGTGCTTGAATTTTTACTCGCGGGTAATTATTCAGATTTTAAAAATTGTAAGTAGTATCTAATAATGTATAAAAACACGTTCAAAGAATTAAAAAAAAACGAGAATTTAACTATAACAAGTCACGTCTTTATAGAAAAATTAAAATACAATTTTATTATATCTTATTGAATACATTAATGAACATGAATAAACCCAATGGTACGCCTATTAAAATGTAAACAAACACGCTTTTTCATTTCCTCATCTTAAATAATGTAAATTGTACGTACTTACAAATGAAATGAGAGACCGGGATGTAAATATTTCGTTTATTTTATTTCACTTTTCACAAATATCGCTCAAAATACAGCCAAAATATCTAAAAACAATTTTTCCTTATTTCCTCAATCGTTGTAAACAAACATGGAATAGCATTTGAAGTTTGACGTAGAACCGTAAAACAGAGAAATGTAAACAACCGTTGCCATTTATAAATAGTTTTCAGTACTTCTAAATATAAAATAATTGATTGATATTTATTATACGCTATTATTAAATGATAATGCACACTATGTGCACACTTGATATTTTGATTACAATTAGATATATTAATATAACCAATAAATTATTATTTTGGTTTGATAGCACCTGTAGAGTATAAAATACGGAGTAATATTTTCAATGACTCGCGAATAAGAAATTTTAATAAAAAAACGTGACAACAGTTGGAGGTGCTGAGAATGTGACATCATATTCAAATAATTTTGACTTCACAATTTTATGTAAATAACTGAGTCCATCTGTGTTTATACGTCCATGCCTAAAACCTTCTACCATAGACCATTTTAACGGTAATTATTTTTTCTTTGTATTTAGTGTACCATTTTATACACCTAAAACTGCGAAGAAAATAGTTATAGAACAATTTTTGCAAAAAGATACAAAAAATGGCACAAAAGTAGTATGAGTGGCGAAATTTGAAAAATCGTATCTCGGATACTAAGAACCCTTAAGACTTCCACTAACTGTCATTTTGAAGAAGAAGGGTAAAAGTTTTTTATTGTAAAAGAACGCCTATACCTATACCCCGTGAAAAAAGTTATGGGGCACAAAAAAAATCGCGTCGGTTCTTTTTTTTGCTTCTATTTTTAAATATATTTTGGCCAAACAAAAATTATTTATAACTGTAAAAGATGATATTTCGATAGGAAATTTAATTTTGAACTTTATATTTGATGATCCATTGACCATATGAAATATTAAAAGCACTTTATAGTTGTAGTCCCTTATTAACGTACATAATCAATAGCCTATTAATATAAAAGAATACCATTAATTCAACCAAATGGTTTTGTATAAATTTAAGGTTGTGTATATTATAAATTTAAAAATCGTTATTGGTTTTTTGAGTAGTAATTAACTGATATTTATTTATAAATATATTTCCCGATACCTTCACTTAATCCTACTTCGTTATTTCCAAAAGGATCAAATAAGTAATACAAGTAGTTTTTATGCATTACAGCACAGGCATAAGATGGTGTCACCAATACTCCAGTGTCTGATCTTACAAACAAAATCTTCTCCAAAGCAAGAGCCAGAATGTTTTGTCTAATATAGCTATCGAAAATGTATTCAACCAGGACACTATAAGCGTTGTTTCCCAGAGTTATTCTTGGAATTTCTAGTTTTGATACCTAAAAATAAGATCGTAAATGAAAAGCTACACAAACACGAAAAATATATATTAATAAAAATACTATTACGCTTTTATTTGCTATGTACATTTAATTCAATCTTTATTTTTCTAATAGGGAAAGAAATAATAAATAAGACTTACAATCAATTTAATTTAACTATTCAGACGACCGGTTTCACTTTCTACAATATGCAAAGCATCTTCAGGTCTCGGAACAAAGTTAAATAAATGCTGAAATAATAAAAAAACCCATATTAGGGTATTGTCTAATAAAGATAAAAAAATTAGATGTTATAAATTACAAAAATTATGCCAATATTACATGTCTGTGGTTTTTCAAAACGAATAAAAAGAATAAAAAGGTATAAAAAGTTTTAACAGACAAGGTAAGACCCACAAAGTGTTATAAAATAGTCTATTAGATTGTAATAAATTAATAAATGAGCAAATAAATAAAACATTACTTACATGCCGGTACTCTATTAATTGATGGATGGTAGAACATAGTTGAAACTATCATGTATTGTTGAATGGAGAACTTAAGTCTGCTATTTTAGTTGTTTGACAATAAACGGGAAGTTCTTGAGGAGATATATTTGATCCAATGAAGTAGAGATAGGTGTAATGTGACATGTAATTTATTACAATCTAATAGACTATTTTATAACAATTTGTGGGTCTTACCTTGTCTGTTAAAAGTTGTTATACCTTTTTATTCCTTTTTATTCATTTTGAAAAACTACAGAGATGTAATATTGGCATAATTATTGTAATTTATAACATCTAATTTTTTTATCTTTATTAGACAACACCCTAATATGGGTTTTTTATTATTTCAGCATTTATTTAACTTTGTATCGAGACCTGAAGATGCTTTGCATATTGTAGAAAGCGAAACCGGTCGTCTGAATAGTTAAATTAAATTGATTGTAAGTAAGTCTTATTTATTATTTCTTTACCTATTTGAAATGGACTCACACAAGCAACACATTCATGACTTTATTTTTCTATTTTTATCCAAGACTACATACAACTTTTAATCAATTTCTACTTACCTGGTCATATCTAAATTTGGATGCTGAATATAACTCATTGCCACACCTCAATATATAATCCACTATTTCACCAGTCCAAGAAATAATAGAGTATTTTTTGGCAACAACATTAGCCATTATACACACAAATGGAGCTATATATTCGACAGTTTTTCCCAAATGAGCTACATTCTTACTACCAAGAATTATTTGAGTGTCGTCTGGAAGATCTATAAAGTTGGTATCTTTTTTAAGTTCTTGTGATTGCGTTAGGTCTGGTGGAGAAGGAGGTAAATAATTTTCCCAATCCTCTTCGGTAAACTTATATTTTTGGAGACGATATTTCATTTGTTGTTTCCCCCTAATATAGGTCGGATAGAGAATTTCCTTCTTAATTGGAAAATAGGTAAGTTCTGTATTTACCTAAAAATACATTGTTTTGCTAATAAAATTTTTACAGGTATATACAGAATTAAGTAAATAAGTAAACAAAAGTAAGTTTACTTATTGTAACACTGATGATGATGTGAAATGGACACAAAATGGTCGTATTGAACCTAGTTTTGTACTTATTTTTAAAACATAATTTTAGTTATTATTCTATTTAGGTTACTTTTTATTTTAATATTTGGTGAATTATAACTGTTCAGGAATTTATATTCTCTTCTGGTCACTTCTTTTTTGGTGTTTTTCGTTCTGCGCTTTTCACCAGCTCCTCCTGTTAATACTTTTTTTACATGTGATCATCCTGTAAACATGTCCCATCCAATGTGCTCTTTGTGCTTTTACTTTTTGTATTATGCTTGGTTGGTTGTAGAGCTACATTACTTCCTTATTCGTTCTTCTGCTCTATACGCCGCCATTGTCTTTTGTCCCTTTATATCTATCTATCTATCTAATCAGCCTTAAACGCCCACTTTTGGGCATAGGCCTCCCCTGTTAATCTCCATTGGTCTCTATTTTGTGCGATCTACATCCTTTCCTGCCGTTCTCGCCAGTGTAGAATTCGTTTATTCCATCTTTCATCTTTTTGCCGGAGAGTGTGACCGGCGAAGTTTCATTTAAGTTTTGCAACCTGTCTTGATACATCGTTCACCTTTTTTTTTCTCTGATCCATGAGTTTCCTTTCCTGTCTTTAAGACCGATACTCAGCATCTGTCTTTCCATTGCTCTTTGTATTTTGGATATCCTGTCGATGTTCTCCTTTGTGAAAGTCCATGTTTGTGAGCCATATGTGATAACTGGTAAAATGCACTGGTTGAATACTTTCGTTCGCATATATTGAGGGAACTTTTTATTTTTTAGAATATATGATAGTTTACCAAATGAGGCCCATGCTAGTCTAGTTCTTCTTTTTATTTCTTCTGTTTGATTGTCCCTGTTCAGTTTTATTATCTGTCCTAGGTATATGTATTCTGCCACCTGCTCTAATTTATTCTGTTTGACTACTATTTCTAATTGGTCTTCTTGGTTTGTTATAGTCTTGGTTTTATTATAGTTCTAATCTAATTTACTATCATTCTAATTTTTTAAATATGTCTTCCACAGCCCGATTGAACAATTTTGGTGATATTGTGTCTCCCTGCCTGATTCCTCTTTCGAATTTTATTGGTTCTGTAGCGTGTTCGTTCGTCAATTTTATTGTGGTACTCGCATTTTTGTATATGTTTGTAATTAGGTCCGTGTACTTGTAATTAATTTTGCCGTTCTGTAGTGAGTTTGTGATGGCCCAATGTTCTATGCTGTCAAACGCCTTTCGGAAGTCTATGAATGCCATGTATAATGGGATTTGATACTCGTTCGACTTTTCAATCAGTATTTTTACTGTTAGCAGATGGTCGCTAGTACTAAAACCCTTTCTGAATCCCGCTTGTTCTCTTGCTTGGTATTCGTCAAGCTTAGTTGTTAGTCTATTTGTCATGATCTTCGTTAGTAGTTTAAATACAACACTTAGTAATGTTATAGGTCTATAGTTTTCGGTCACCTTTTTTGAACATTAATAGTGTCTCCGCATCGTTCCAGCTATCGGGTATTTCTTTTGTGGTTAATATTTTGTTCATGAGGATATGTATGACTTTTCTAGTTGTTTTCCCTCCTCTCTTCAGCATCTCCGCAGTTGTTCTATTCTGTTTTATTATTATCTTATTTCTGGTTGTAGGTCAGAGTTTATATTTTTTATTTTTGTGTTTAATTGTTTAAGAATTTCTTGCTGTAGTTTATGTTTTGTTCTGTATAGGTGCGTATAGTATTCTTGTGTCAACTTTAGTATTTGTTTCATATCATTATTGGTTGTTCCTTCGCTGTTTGTCATTTCATTTATCTGAGTTTTACCGAGTCGTTGTTTTAAGCATTTCATATTTTTGTTCTGCTGGATTACTCTTTCAATCTTTACTTCCTGCGTTTTTCTCTTGGTTTCTTTTATGTTTTTTCCAATTGTTTTATTGATTTCAGTATATTCTTCTGTGTTTCTTTTGCCCTGTTCGAGTAGGCTTCTTTTTGTCGTCATCAGGTTTTCTACTTCTTCTGAGATTTAATTGTCCTTTTTTGTCGTCGTTTTTGCAATTCTTTCCCCGGCCTGTAGCAATGTAGTTGTTAGTATTTCATTTATTTCGTTTGTTTCTTTATTTATTAAGTCGGTTGTATTTGGGATGCATTTTTTATTTCTTCTTTGTACTTTTCTTCGTTTTGGCTAAGTTTCTCCATATCTAGTTTTTGTACGTTTTTGATTTTCTTTCTGGTTTCAAATTGGCTGTTAATTTGTATCTTAGCCTTCACCTTTCGGTGATCGCTGCCTGTTGTGAAACGGTTTAGCACTGTGACATCCTTGACTAAGTATTTTTGTGTTGATATATCTTTATACCCTTTATATATCTTGCGTAATATATTTTTTTCTTATCACCAATTTTTGTGTATTTATCTGACTTAACATGTTGCACGAAGGTAACCCGAAGGTTGCACAATCGTTTTGTAAATCCTGATTTTCGTATTCCTGGATATTAACTGTAATTTAATCATTTTGCCTAGTGCTCCCACAGCTTTACTTCTTTTATTAATTCTTTTTTTTTATTTCACAAGGCACTAAATATCTGGGTATAAACCCTTTAGATGGTACAAAATTTATTATGTCTTACATTTTATTTACAAATATGTTGTGATGTTTGAGTATTTCTCAGATAACTTTTCCATTAATAATAAAATAATATTTTAAAATGATTTTACCTCCTCAGATACTCTGCTCGGTTCCATCGCCATATCTTTCTGGAGGGACTTATCGGTTGCGTAGTACCATTCTTCTGGTTCTTGGAGCATTTCTTTTTCCATTTGTCCTTTTTTTCTTTCCCATTCACCTTCTGCTTCTGCGTCATGAATAAACCCTTTTGCTAAGCCACCTTCTCCTTCAGCTTGTGGTTCTTCCATTTCTTTTTCTTCCATAGTCGGTTCAAAGTCGTCTAAATCCATAAACTCTATTTCCTCGCTTGTCTGTTGAGGCAGTGGAGGTTCAATCTGGTACAGAAATAAACAAATTTATGAAAAAGTAAAATATTATCAAAGAATATGATGGACAATAAAAATAAAAAAAAGTGCAAAAGGTTTTAAATGATCTGGGGAGTGGAAACATGAACTCTCGGAATTACAAGTATGAGGCGTATGGAAGCCTTTGAGATGTGGGTTTTTCGAAGGATGCTGAAGATCTCTTGGACAGAGCACGTGGCCAACAACGAGGTGCTAAGAAGAATGGGTACTGAAAAAGAACTCCTAAATATGGTAAAAAAACAGAAAAACGAGTTATCTAGCATATATTTATAGAGGAGAAAAATACAATTTTCCTACGTTTCCTAGTTCCTACGACTAATGGAAGGGAAAGTGGAAGGAAGAAGAGGTCCAGGAAGAAGAAAATGCTCCTGCTTGGAGAATGTAAGAGACTGGACAGGTATGGACACACATTCGATACTAAGAACAGCTTAAGATAGAGAGCAATTTGCTGTAGTTATAGCCAACCTTCAGTAATGGAGAAGGCACCTTATGAAAGAAAAGGGTAAATATAGAAACAACACTTACAGGTTTGGAATGAAGTAATATGCATAAATACTACCTGTGTATCTTCCAGACTTGGGCTGTCCAAATCTGCAATCACTTCCTCCATCGCCTTTTTAAAATCGGCTTTTAATATCAAACTGGGGACACGTTTTTGATATGACGGTAATCCTAGTTGATCCATGCCAATACTTCCAACTGTAGAGCCTATTTCTAATATGGAACCGTGCGGGCTTTCCTCTGCTAGAAGCCTTCTCATAGCTATTGCTGAGTAATCAACAGTTATCGGTTTTTCTGTAGCATTCTTTTTGGATTTTTTTATTTTATACTTTTTGAATGTGTCTACAGGAAAATCGTCCATGGAAAGATGTCTTGGAAATCGACCTGTTTCAAATAATAATTTTTAATAACACTACATAATTAAAAAGGGAATGTGGTATATTCATGGACGTATAAACACAGATGGACTCAGTTATTTACATAAAATTGTGAAGTCAAAATTATTTGAATAGGTCACATTCTCAGCACCTTCAACTGTTGTCACGTTTTGTTTTAAAATTTCTTATTCGCGAGTCGCTGAAAATATTACTCCGTATTTTATACTCTACAGGTGCTATCAAACCAAAATAATAATTTATTGGTTAGATTAATATATTTAATTGTAATCAAAATATAAAGTGTGCACATAGTGTGCATTATCATTTAATAATAGCGTATAATAGATATCAATCAATTATTTTATATGTAGAAGCACTGAAAACTATTTATAAATGGCAACGGTTGTTTACATTTCTCTGTCTTATGGATCTACGTCAAACTTCAAATGCTGTTCCATGTTTGTTTACTTTTTAGTAAAAGTTGTTTTTCGATATTTTGGCTGTATTTTGAGTGATATTTGTGAAAAGTGAAATAAAATAAACGAAATATTTACATCCCGATCTCTCATTTCATTTGTAAGTACATACAATTTACATTATTTAAGATGAGGAAATGAGGAAGCGTGTTTGTTTACATTTTAATAGGCGTACCATTGGGTTTATTCATGTTCATTAATGTATTAAATAAGATATAAGTTCATGAAATTAGTAGACATTTTTAAATTGTAAGTAGACATCATCTGATTAAAAAAGATCTGTTTAGTACCTTTTTAAAACGTGTTTTTATACATTATTACTACTTCCAATTTTTAAAATCTGAATAATTACCAGCGAGAAAAAATTCAAGCACGCTTATGCTCATTGCGGAAGCATCACATTCTATGGAAGCTTTAAAACATTGTGTGTTAAAGGTATCTTATTGCTGTGTCCATCTATGTTTATACGTCGATGGGTATAATATATCTGAATATACTTTGGGAGTAACAAAATAATAATATATACATGTAGGGTCGAAGATATTACCTATTTACTAAAAAAAGAGTGGAAGGGTAGATTAAGCCAGCGGTGGGAGTCAATAAATCAAAAGTTATTTTCCTAAAATTGTAGAGTGGCGATATCAAGAAGAAGATAGGGAAATAAAATTACTGCATGGAAATACTTAAAAAAATGTATGAAAATAAAAGAAGCAATTAGTCTGAAAACAAAAAATAAACATTAGATTCATTTATATTCTTTTCTACGCAATTCTCTTTCATAATCTGACATAATTTATTTCAATCGCCTGACCATACAAATCTTATTTTTCCTGTTAATGTTTTAATGAAGTTTGTAAGTTGTGTTATTTCTTGCCACGCCCCCTTTTACTTGTTTGGCTAGTTCGTCTACGACATGAATTCTTGATGCTTGTAAAGGTATGAGTTGCCTAGTGATTCGCAAATGCTCCAATTTTAGAAGGTCATCTCTAAAGGATATATTTTTATTAATTAACCACTGTCTAAGGCCCTGATCGACAGGCGAGTAAAACTGCGGTTTTGTGGCTCGTCGGTAAAGCTCCTCAGTGTATCATTGCAATACCGCGGTTTTATATACCTATGAGCCTGGCTCGCGGCTCGTCAGTTTGTTTTATTTTTTACTTGGCTCGTCATTTAAAACCGCGCGCGTATGACGGGTGGCGAGCCAAACCGGCAGTTTATGGAGACCGTTGAAGTGAACAGACGTAGTATGTTATAGTGAGGTAACACAAAACAAAACTTCAGTTGAATACGACATGTTGGCTGTGGACGGTTGACACGACTCTTTTACTTTTGCTCGTTAGTCGATCAGCACCAACGAGCCGCGAATAAAACCGTCGTTCTTAAAACCGCGGTATTATGACTCGTTTGTCGATCACCCACTTAATATTTTCTTTCTTCCACGCTGTTGTAGAAAACTGTTTGGTTTGCCATAAATGATATTTGTATAATCGAACCTTCTGGTATAAATTTCAGCAATTGCTAAAATATTCTTCAAACACATCGGCGTTCATGTCCTCGTGTTAGTCTCCCATTTTTTAGATTTAAATAGGAGCAACCTTTCTTTAAGAAAACCTTTAGAACTCCCAATGTGGGTAATTATAAGCCTTCTCCCTTTTACCTGCGGTGGTTTAATAGCTGTGGACAATCCCTCCAACACAGCTTGTCGGTTTCTTTTAACAGTTTTGTCTTGCCATACATTGGAAACTGTATGGCCGTCATTTATTCGTGTCTCATCTAAATAATATATTCTTTGGTTTTTTTCTCTGTGCTGTTTAATTTTTCGAAGATACTGCCTTCTCCAAGAAACAATTTCCGAACTGTCCAATAAGATTGATTTTCTGTTAGTGGTTTCCCACGAAAAATTTAATTCGTGAAGTATCTTTCGCAATTCTACTGATGCCCAGTACATAATCATTTTGCAATGCGGCATAAATTTTTAAAATGTTTGGAATTTCCTTGGCAAAATAAAAAGATTGAACCTTTTTTCGAATTACACTTTTAACCATTTTCATTAATTTCCAGTTGTCGTCCCGCTGATTTTACAACAGGATGCGCGATGTCCTCCCTTCCTTGTTCTCCTTTCTTAAATTATAAATTGATCTCTTGGAACATCCTGTATACTTTGCGCACATCTCCACAACAATGTTTATAGAGCACGTAGGATTATCGTGTTGTAATGCTTTGAAAACCTTTAATATGATGATCCTTTTATTGGCCGAGAACGCAATGAGCTTTAGCCGTTTTGCTGGAGAAATGACGCCGTTACGAAAATCTACCTATTAGCAATAGGCGGCTAAATTAAAAACTGACCAACCCGCCTTGCCAGCGTGGTGTTTTAAGGTAAATACCTCCCAACAAAATATTAGATTTTAAAACAGACACTGATGTATCACAAGTGAGTATAACGAGAAATCGAAAGCCTCACACTGATTTATCAGTCTGTCCCAAGGATTCTGAGGGGGAGAAAAAACTGACGACTCTAAAGACTGTACCTACAACGTCAGAACATTATTATCTGAAGAAAAATATCATTATTATGATATATCATTGGAGTCAGTGAAGTAAGGCGAGAAATGAAGAAAACCTGAAAACACTAAAATCAGGGCATATATTTTACAGTATAAGTAGTGAAACCGAATCATCTGGGGCAGGAGTTTCTTTATACACAAAAGATTTGCAGATAACATAGTAAGTACAAGAAGTATATCCACAAGAATAGCCCATTTAATCGTAAAGATAAAAAGAAGGTCTACAATAAAGATTATTCAAGTATATGCTCCAATTACGGACCATCCGGATGAGCGGATTGAAGAATTCTACTATGATATCCCAACGGCACTGAAAGAAACACCAACATACTACACGAGTATATGCGGCAACTTAGCCGGTCTAGCAACACAAAAATCGGTCTAAAGCAGGATGAACAGGAAATAGCACTTGGTAAATTTGGATCCAAACGCAGAAACGAGCGTGGACAAACACTACTAGAATTTCTATTACAACAAAATCTATACCAGATGAATAGTTTCTTCTTTAAAAAAAGATCACAGAAGATGGACGTGGAAAAGCTTAGATGGCAAGATCAGAAACAAGAAATTGGATTTAATAACAGAAAGTTCCAAAATTATTAGAAAGAAAGTCAGCCCGATATGGAACGATCCAATGAATTTAAATGAATACCAAGACAATATCCATAAAATTCTACAACAAAATGAATGCATAAAAATAATGTAAATACCCAAAACGTAAATATCGTAGAAGCTATTCGGGAGGCTCAAGTAAAATGCTACCCTAAAAGACGCCAAGACGAAAAAATAACCATTGAAGCAAAGCAACTAATGAGAACTAGAAGAGAAATCAAAGGAAACGAAAGCATTGACGGAGAAAAATTACGAAAAATAAATAAAGAAGTATCAAAAGCTATAAGGAAAGATTTAATAAAATTTAAGAATGAAAAGGTCCTATAAATTTTAAGTAGGACAAAATAATAGAATGCGTATGGCATTGTATACATGTACGTAAATATAAAGTAAAAATATACTTTTTTTAGGTTTTTAAGGTCGTTGAAAACTGTACCATACATATTATGTGAATCCTATTTAAACGATATTTTAATACTAACCAGCTTGACAAGGATCTCTATGTATTTTGCAAACTTTTAAAGCATGAATATAAAATACTGCATCTTTGTCGTAATTAGTAGCTACCAGATCAATTAGAGAATCCAAAGTTGAATGCATTGAGACACAAGCCACACCACGGGCTGTTGCATATCCTTCAGTGTTTCTAGAATAAGGATCAAAGCAATATAACATGTTTCTTTGTTTCCAAACAGCCATGTGACATCTAAAAATATACAAAAATATTTATAGACATTTAGACATTATACTGGGTGTTTCAAAAAATATGAAGACTTGACCTATGGTATCTTATACAAATATTTTTTAGGCTTTTATGCAAAGTTTAAAAATGGAATAATATACAGAGTATTCCATTTAAAATAACTAAGTTGTTTTTCTCTTCCGGTATAAATGGACGTGACATGTCTGTCAAAATATTTTCATTAACCCGGCGTCACCTAGGTGAAAAATGTGTTTATAATAACCCAAGTGGGGTATTATTGACCCCATTTAAAATTGATTGGAAAAACTCAACAAACAATTCGAAAACCAATTTATTTTTTTAAATATCTTATTTGACTATCTAAGTTTTCATAAATAACAGCAGTTTTTACCACTGGGTTAAATTTAATCGCATATTAGGTAAAATTTACAAAATATTAAAATTCCTACAAACAAAACACACTAGATACATAAAAAATTCACAAACAAAAGATAATGATTCAAAATAAGAGATTTTCACAAAAAGTTTTGTCAAAAGGTTCAAATAAAAATATAGAAAAGCAGAACATTGGATATCCCAGCTTGAAAACAGTTAGGAGTCCCGAAACTGGATACATTCGTCGACAATGCAATGAAAATGATCTAAACAATAAAAATGTTGGCATTGATAACACGTTTGTTTAGTTTTACGGTCAGATTTCCTAGAACACTTTTGACACCGTCCACATCCCGTACGTTTCTTTTTCGGTGGAGCTTGGTCATTTTCTCACAAACCTTGAACTATTTTGGATCGTAAATGTTTTGTAAGTCGCGGATTACTTTTTCGTTCTTCCATAATTGGCGTTACTAATGCTAATCCCAGATCTTCCAGTAATATACGACATTTCTTTGAGCAGTCACTAGTGTTTGTTCTGTAAATTACCTGGCTGTTGATACCAGCTGTGTCCCTTAGTGAAAAAATATTCTTAGTGGTCACTTTCTACAACTACGAGCTACACTGTACCTTTCTGCCAACTCATCCACCATATCAACCCTTCCTTTTGTAAAGTTATAGAAACTTATTATTTCTGGTAAAAGTTTCTCGCTGGTAGATTTATGATGAAGTGATGATAATAAAATCACATTCTTCCCTTTTTTTGGTACAAAGGATACCATAGTTATATGTTCCTGAAATCCAAATACCGAGGACTGTGGTTGTCTGTTCTTAATCTGTATAAATTCTGGGGGAATCTCCCGCTTGTTTTTCCTCAGAGTTTCTACTGAAGTTAAATTATGTCGTTGATGAAAAATTTTCACAAGTTCGTAAGAGGTATACCAACTATCGAAAGTGATATTTCGATTTTTACCAGAAATTGGTGCTATAAGTCTTTGGACAATAGATTCTTCTTCTTCTTCCTTTCTAGTATGTAGGCTTTAAAGCCTGTTTCTTCTTCAATATTAGCCTCCTAAATTGTTTAAATTGTCGCACCATGTTTTTTCTTGGTCTGCCAATACTTCTTCGTCCATTTGGTGACTTATCTCATCCTATTCGTACTATGCTATCCTCTGCCATTCTACTGATGTATTCGTTCCACTCCTGTTTTCGTTTTGTCACCCATCCATTTGGCAGATAACCAAGGCAAACCATTGTTAACTGTGGAAGAAAAACTAGACACTTGGAAGAATTATGTGGAAGTAACTTTTGCAGATGAGAGACAGACTACCATTGAAGACACTGAATGCCAAACAGGACCCATGATTACCATTGATGAAGTCACGTCAGCTATTAAAAGAACTAAAGATAGTAAAGCGGTAGGGCCTGACGAGTTTTGTGCAGAATTGCTTAAACTTATAGATAAACAGGGAATAAAATGGATAACAACTGTATTCAACAACATATACGTAACTGGAAAAATACCCCAAAGCTGGTTAAAGTCGACCTTCGTGACCATACCAAAAAAAAATAAATGCCAAGACATGCGAAGACTACAGAACAATTAGCCTAATTAGAATCATCTATAATTTATATTACAACCAAACGGCCAATATTAAAGTGGATGATCAATAATTGACAGAGGCATTCTCCATAGATAGAGGAGTGAGGCAAGGATGCATTCTGTTTCCGGTGTTATTTAATATATACTCTGAATATATCTCCGAGCAAGCGCTGGAAGAACTACAAGAAGGCGTATTAGTCAACGGCATGCGTCTAAACAACATTAGATATGCCGACGACGCAGTAGTTTTTGCAGATAGTCTGGACGATTTGCAAAGAATAATGTCGCGTATATCACATATAAGTAGAGAACACGGACTTAATCTTAATACGAAGAAAACAAAGTACATGGTAGTCAGTAAACGCGAAATATTAAATACACAGCTTTTGGTTAACCAACATCCAATTGACAGAGTGGACAGCTACACATACCTTGGTACCAACATTAACAGCCAATGAGATCACTCCAGTGAAATAAAACAACGCATAGGAAAAGTGAGATCAACGTTCATAATGATGAAATCTCTTTTCAGAAGTCATGATTTACCACTTGCTACCAAAATCTCTCTCATTAGATGCTATGTATTTTCTACCTTAATATACGGAGTAGAGGCCTGTACACTTTCCGAAGCTTCCTTAAGAAAACTCGAGGCATTAGAGATGTGGTGTTACAGACGTATCTTAAATATTTCATGGGTGGATCGTGTGACTAATATTGAGGTCCTACGTAGATTAGGCAAGTAATGCGAGATTATTAACACCATCAAAGAGCGCAAACTAGAATATCTTGGCCATGTTATGGGGAATGAACAGAGATACGGCTTGTTGCAACTCATTCTTCAGGGCAAGGTATTTCGAAAGAGAGGACCAGGGAGAAGAAGAATATCTTGGCGTTAAAACCTGAGAAAGTGGTTTAATACTTCAACAATCGAACTATTCAGAATAGCAGCAAGCAAAGTTAGGATAGCCACGTTGATCGCCAACATCCGAAACGGATAGGCACCGTAAGAAGAAGAAGAACCCATCCATTTATGTCTTCTATATTGCATGTTCTTATATTTTTGCTTCTCTCCCTATCCAACAGACTTTTCCCTGATATTCGTCGGAGTATTTTCATCTCTGTTGTTTCTAGCAGTCGTCTCGTTTTAGATGTGTCAGGTCTTGTCTCCGCCGTGTATGTTAATATAGGTCTAATTGTTGCTTTATAGATTCTTGTTTTTGTGTCTTGTCATAGGTGTTTGTTCTTTCAGATTTTGTCATTAAGAGAACCCGCTTTACTTGCTTTTAAGCTTTGTTGTCGTACTTCTATCAACAAGTTTATTGCTTATTTGGTACGGCCCATCAGGCTGATCCCTGCATAAATTTCCATATTAAAAACATAAAAAGTGCGGGAGTCTACTTGGGCCTGAATTTTTATTTCGTATTTCGCGGGCCTGTTTGAAATATACTGCCGAAATGAGCAACGCCCCCGAAAAGACTCCAACTTTTTGTCAATAGTCAAGTACTGTCCTAGTGAGTAAGCTTGTTGACAATTTGTGACAATTTTTTCAAAAATTGCCCTAATAGGAGAAAACTTCAGCCAAATCACACTGTTACCTTTATTGTCGATTGTTTATATTATCGAAACGTAAGCACTCCAAAAAAAAAGTAAATCTATTGAGTGCAGTCTCTGAACGAAATATATATCGATTTCTGTACCATTTGTTCGCCAATGGTCTTTTAGATTACGATGACCATTTCTATATACACCCACTAGATAGACGAGGCCAAACAAATCTTTATTTCGACAATATTGGTCCTGCTACAATATGCTTTATCTTTGTAGGCTAATGCTTTTTTATCTATCAATACATTGGTGCAGACTATGACACCTATAAGCATGTTTTCATAAAAAAAGAAGCCAACGATCTAAAAGAGTCTTAGCGTTTATAGCATATGGTTTAGATCGTGTGTCTTCGTCACCCAGGTGGGGTCTACTGTACTCACTTTGACGATCAACTTACAATTGAAATTGGTTCAAAATACCCATCGGCAACATGTTTTAGAAAACTATAGGCAACCAATAAAATATCCGTGTATTAACCATAGAATTATACTAGTTCTAAGTGTGTTGAGGGTACCATTAGACCTCACCTGGGTGACGCCAAGTTAGTTCGTCATAACTTGTAATCTCATAAACCAATTTTTATAAATATCATGTAAGTAGTTTTCGATACATAGATAGTGTAAATTCGCCGTGATACACCCTGTATGGGTACTACTTATACATACCATAAATAATATATTATCCTTTGTGAAAATAAAAAAGTTGTAGTCTATTAGTAGTGCTAGACAGGGTTGTGTAACATCCGCTATTCAGTTTAACATGAATTCAAGAGATTATTAATAAATCTTTAAAGAACTAACGACAGAGAAGTAAATATATTAACTCTTAACATGAAGAAGTTACAATTTATGGTAGTTACGAAATTTCAATAAAATAAAAAGGGTATTCTGTAGCAAGAACAGGACAAGGAAGTTTTGAAGGAGAGATATTTCCTAGTTGAACAACTTGAGAGCTGAGAGTTTAGTTGCCAGAGTTCTAATGGCATATACAATAAAGAATTTTACGTGTGGTAGGAACAAAATATGGTAGTAAATAAAAAAACATCATATAAACTGAGTAACGTAAATTATTCGTTAACAATATCTAGTCAGTAGACCAATATAAAATAAGCAGAGAAAGAATGAAACCAAGAGGGAACAAAGAAGTAGCTCTTCATAAACCCATATTTATGAAGATATAACGACCATGACTCTTTATAAGTTTATAAGAAATAAGATAAATTACGTCAAAAATATTAAGATTTTTGATTTACTAAACTTACTGTCCAATTTGGAGTATAGCGTTCGTACATTTTCCAAAGAATTGTTCAAAACATCTTTTCAGTTGGCAAACACAGGATCTGTACATTAGGTCAGCAAAAACATTGCCGAAAATATAAATTTCAACAATATATGGGCCGATAGTAAATAAAGCTGGTAAATTTTCGAGTTTTAATTCCAAAACATTTTTGCACTCTATACATTCGTTATAGAGAAGGTTTCCCAAAATTAGTATTTTATCCAAAGTTCTACGGTGCCAAACGCTTGGATGAGTTATACGGGAGTAGACCTATAACAAATTAGCTTTTAACACTTTTAAATAGTAAAACATTTAACATTTTAAACTAAAATATTTTCTAAAGCTATTTTCTTTTGGCATTTTAATTAATTTAATGTTTTTTCACGTTCTCGAAATCGGAAATCGTTCTCGAATTCCGCAGTGGAAATCAAAACGTCAAAATAAATATATTTTAAATCAAAATTGTGGTTAATTTCCGATTCAAATAGTAAATTAATTAAAATATTTTTTCCTTTCTTTTTTTTTAGAAATTTCTACATATATGTTTCTCAGTTGACACAAGTCTGCTAAAATCTACTAGCGGAAAATCTTCTGCCAATATTATTTACGATTTTATTCATATGGATATTGCCCTTTGGACCGCTCTATTTTTGTGACAGCTGTTTAAGTACCTCTGAATTACATTTCAATCGGCACATTTCTTGCTGACTGAGAATGGTTTTGGATGTTTAAATACTCTTCTGGAGCCTTTGCTGTATCCTGTTTGCTTTGAGTCTGCTAGTTCATTTTTTGCAGTAATGCAGATAAAATTGCAGAAGATCCAAAAACAAACAAATATTCACGGTTTAATGTCTCAAAAATAAAAGAAGAACCTATACGTCAGAGCTTAATACAAGAAACAAATGATAACTTAAAGAAAATCAAACAAGACGTGATAAAAACAACAGATGTTAATGACAAATGGGACACGGTACAAGAAACTTTAATAAAGGCAGGAGAAAAGCTACTGCAGACAAAAATAAGAAAAAAACAGAGATGGATGACTTTAGAAATCTTAGATCTAATGGAGGAAAGAAGGAAACATAAAGACAGGAGTAAGGCAAAATACAAGGAACTACAGAGATTTATAGGAAAGAAAATAAAAGAGGCCAAATCCTCCTGGCTTGCTAATCAATGCAGTGAAATAGAGGCATATGCTAAACAGTATGATAGCTTTAACATGCATAAGAAAATAAAGGAAATGACAAATACACTGAGAAAAAAGAAAGATGCCCTTCTGAAAGACGCAAATGGAAAAATCATTATAGAAATTAAAGAGAAATTAAAAAAATGGAAGACATACATAACAGATCTGTTTGAGGATAATCGACAAGAACCGGAAGAAATCGACATCGAAACGGGGCCAGAGATCATAATAGAGGAAATCGAACAAGCAATACGAAACGCAAAAAACGGAAAAACTGTAGGTCCAGACGAAATACCTGCGGAACTACTGAAATGTCTAGACGATGAAACTCTACCTGTACTTCTGGACCTATTTAATGAAGTATATAAAACTGGAAAAATTCCACAGGAATGGTTGGTGTCCACCTTTGTAGCAATACCAAAAACAGTATATGCCAAAGATTGTTCAGACTAAAGGACAATATCACTAATAAGCCATTCCCTCAAAATATGTCTAAAGGTGATTCATGGAAGATTATATAGAAAACTAGAAGAGGATATAGATGATACTCAGTTTGGGTTCCGCAAGGGACTGGGAACGAGAGTGGCATTGTTTGCTTTTAATGTCCTCTCTCAAAGATGCTTAGATATGAACCTAGATATTTATTCCTGTTTCATCGACTTCGAGAAGGCATTCGACACGGTCCGACATGGAAAACTAATAGAAATACTGAGAAACAAAGATATAGACAGACGAGACTTACGAATCATTATCAATCTGTATTGGAATCAAAAGGCCAATCTAAAGATAGAAGAACAAAAGTCCGAAAATATAGATATAAAGAGAGGAGTAAGACAGGGCTGTGTTCTGTCACCATTACTGTTTAACGTGTACAGTGAAGCCATATTCCAGGAAGCGATAGCGGATCTGGGTGATGGAATCTCTGTAAACGGAAAGAATAGTAAATAACATAAGATTTGCTGATGACACCGTTATAATGGCAGATACCCTGGAATCGCTACAAGAATTGGTAAATAGAATTAACGATTATTGCATTAGATACGGACTAAAAATAAATAAGAGAAAAACTAAATTTATGATTGTCTCAAAAACGCAACATGGAAATGAAAGATTAATGATAGAGCAAACCCAAATAGAAAAAGTAGAGACATACAAATATCTGGGAACCTGGGTTGATGACAAAAATGACCAAAGCAGAGAAATCAAAGTCCGAATTGAAACTGCAAGGCAAGCATTTGTGAAAATGAAGACAATGCTTACCAACAGAGACCTTCAGTTGCATCTCAGATTGAGGGCTCTAAGATGTTACATATTTTCTATCTTACTGTACGGAATGGAAGCTTGGACATTGAAGAAACAACACATAAGAAAAATAAAAGCGTTCGAAATGTTGTGTTACAGAAGAATGTTAAAAATTCAGTGGGTTCAAAGGATTACCAATGCTGAGGTACTACGACGTCTAAATAAGGAGTTAGAAATTATGAACAGCATAAAAAGAAGAAAACTAAAGTATTTGGGTCACATAACCAGAGGAGAAAAATATGAGCTGCTGAGAATTATTATGCAAGGAAGGATCCAAGGAAGAAGAAGCATAGGAAGAAGACGCATCTCCTGGCTGAGGAACCTTAGAGAATGGTTTAACTGTAGTTCACTACAACTTTTCAGAGCAGCAGCCAACAAAGTGACCATATCCGTTATGATATCCAACCTCCGATAGGAGATGGAACTTTAAGAAATTCATTTTCTGTATTATCCGTCTGTCATCATTATTTAGTGGTTTTTGTTACTTTAATAAATGTAGTTTACATGATGTTTATGAATAATCCATATTCTTATTCTTATGCCATGAAAAGTTTGATACTATAAATCATCATACAATGCTTCAACCATTGGCTGAGTGCCGCGTTGATTACCGATATATTGATTAGTGTCATTATATATGAAACTGGAAAGCTTGTGTCTGACTTCATAAAGATACCAAAAATTTCGAACAGATGTGGATTTAAAAGGGTGATAGTATTTCCCAGAAATTGTTTACAGCTGTTAACTGTAATATCTGAGTTGATTAAGCTACAACAAAATGACAAAAAGGCTCTATGAAGCGTCAAAAAAATTGTTTTTCAAATTAACCCAGATTGAAAGCCATCGACCAAGTAATCGCTTACAAATATCTAGGGCATGAGATTTGCTTAGGCAGAGCTAATGAAACAACATATACAAAAAATACAACTGATATACATTTTTCAGTTTGTTTAAAAAGAAAGGTTTTTAAAAAATGTGTTTTAGCGGTTCATGCATATGGTGCAGAAATACTAACTCTGGCAAAAAAAAACAATAAATAAAATAAGAATTACACAACACTCAATAAAGAATCAATGTTAGGTATTGCCATCAGAGATAAAGTACCAAGGCCAGAAATAAGAAAAAGAACAGAAGTCAAGGATGCATTTGAAAGAATAGCCATGGCTAAATGGGCTTGCACCGGACATGTTGCCAGATTGACGAATGACGGATGGACCAGAAAGATTTTGGAATGCCGACCAAGAAAAGAGGTATATCGAAGCAGAGGATGACGACCGACTAGATATACTGATGATATAAAGTGCATTGCCACAAATTGAATGCAAAAAGCTCAAGATAGAAATAGGTGGAAAGTTTTACGAAAGGCTTACGTTCACAGTGGACAAATATAGGCTAATTGATAATAATGACATTCTTGTCCAGACTCTTTTGTGAGTTATTCTCATCAACCTCTGAAGACCTTTTAGAGTATTTGCTAATATAAGGGTGTGGTCTTTATACCTAATGATATTAATCACGGTGTTTCACTGATATTTATTCCAGCTGGTACTCCTTCGAAAGTTTTTCCTAAGATTAACTTAATATATATATATATATATATATATATATATATATTGACTCTACCTCTGGTAAGTGCTGGGTAGATCAAGTGGCTTAGTTACTGTAAGTTCTGATCTCAAACCCGGCACTTCATAATGGCACTTGAATATCACTTGATCGAAACCCACTTAACCAAATCACGTACTGGTTGAAAAAATAATACCGACAAATGTATTAGATGAAAAAGCAGGCGTAAAGCAAGCTGTGACTCAGACTATCTGCTAGTGAACAGGGAAGAATCATCAATGGAAAATCAGTGAAATTCCATAAGTCGCATTATAATGAACATGCCAAAAGAAGTCCTACAAACAAAAACAGTGACGAGTGCAAAAAAGCGATTCAGAAAGGAAGTAAAGCATATTAGAATTAAATACATAGACGAACTAGAAAGAGCCGAATTTAAAAACAAAATATGTAGGGCAGATAAAATATGCAAATAGAAAAAAAAGAACGAAAACCATCGTATATTAAATATAGAGAGAGAGTTCAAGGAAAACGAAACATGCATTGCATACTAATTCCTCAATAATTTAAGACATAAGATAAGCCAAAGACTAGCCTATGCATAAATAAGAAGAGTAAAAGAATAAGTAACAAGCAGGAAAATAAAGGAACCTTAATAATTTGTTTTAGGGAACTATTAAACGAAGGGTAGAATCATTAGAACATGAATTGAAGTAGTAGAAACAGAAAGAAATACAACAACAAGACCTGATGGAACATAAAGGAGAAAATAAACTAACTAGACCTCCAATGCTATAGGATATTCAAAAGGCAATCCAAATTAACCGACATCATGGGAAAAATAGCGACATTGAGATGGCAATGGGTAGCACATGGGTAATGGGTAGCAAGACAAGACACCAACAGATGGTCTCATAAAGTGACATTCTGGAGACCTCGAGAAACAAAAAGAAGCGTGGGAAGACCTAAACAGAGAAGGATAGACGATATAACTGCTGTAGCTGGAAAGCAGTGGATGAGAATTGCAAAATATAGGGAAGCGTGGAAGCAATTGGAGGAGGCCTATGTCCAACATTGGATAAATGAAGGCTGAAGAAGAAGAAGAATCCAAATTAGACCAAAAGGAGGAAAAAATTTGACAAAATAAGTGTGGAGAGAAGAAAAATCCCCAAACGAAAAGTCAAATTATTATGTCAGAATTATAGAGACATCTTTATGCTTTGTTCAGGACACAAAATACTCACAGATATTTTTAATGAAGGAGTTTAACCTCTCGCTGAAAAAAAATCGTCGGGGAATATTAAGCAGGGTTTAAACAAAATAGATCTACCGTTAACCAGCTCTTTACAGTCAAACAAATACTAGCCAATGAGAATGTCAAACATGAGAATATGAAATAGACTTTATATCTTTGTAGACTTTAAGCAAGCCTATGAGTCAATAGATATAACAAAACTACCTAATATATTGCAAGAACTAACCATATCAGTAAAAATAATAAGACTGTTGCAAATGACAATGATAGAAACAGAAGAACATGTATGTATTCAATGCTGTCAAGATGACTGATGCGTTTATGATAAGGCAAAGACTAAAACAAGGTGATGGTATGGCTGCAACACTTTTTATTCTTGTTCTTAAATATATAATAGATGGTTGACGGTAAGCAGAAATAACATACTTATAAACAAATTCACCCAATTGGAAGCGTATATAGATAATATTAACATAATGATTAGAACAAAAGATGCAACGAAAGAAACTTACGTCGAAGTAAATCTAAGTGAATAACCTGTATGGTTAGCAATAAATACAAATAAGACAAAATTACTCCTAAAAATCAGATCAAAAACCAGACAAAACATGTTCTATTTGATTTAAAACATTGTTGTAAAACCCACAATTACGTATGCGCCAGTGGTATGGTGGTCAAAGATACAGCAAAAAAGAGCCATCCTCGAACTAGGCAAGGTGCAAAGACTTGCTTACCTCGAAATTACAGTGGCTATGAGGGGCACATAAACGGCAGCTATGACTCCTTTACATATAATTATATGAGGGAAGAGGTGGATGGTATAGAATGCGAGAAAACCTGAGCAACCTACCACAGAGGGATGGAGCAGAGGAAACTCTCAACCTAGACTGCAGGGTTATTCGTGGTATACGAACCGGTCTTAAGCTACAGAAGGGTAGGGTGCACGAATATTCGATAGTGGTGGAAATTTAAACATTGCTATTCCATCGGGAGAATATACTCTACTCAGTAATTCAAGTATAGGTTTTTGCAATCTTGCAGTATGCAAGAGAAATTAACATAAGGACTTTAGAACTGAAGCGGATCGATATATGCACAGATAGTCAAACAGCGATGGGAGCTCTAACAAAAAGACGTGTTGAAAAACGAATAAAGAGATGGCGGGACGAATTAAATAAAGATGCCAAAAGCCTTTTACAAACACGTTCGTGAAAAAGAACTGCAGTCGATCGAGATCTTTGGAGAAGCTTAGTAAGGAGGCCAACAACTTTAAATTAGATTTTTGATATGGTTCAGTTGTGCGTATTTTTGCTATTTTATGTAATATATTTTATATAATTCCAAGGTTATATTGAGGTCTATTTATTTTGTTTTAATGACAAATGAAGATGTTATCAAAAAGTTTGCTATAATCCCTCTACACATTTCTTGGTTAATGTACAAGTATTTCTGGATTTATAAAATAAACGCAACGGCAACTATCCGGGTACTTACGTTTATACAAAATCTAAATTGTGTGTCTTTTTATGTCGAACTCAAGTTTTTGATATATGCGTTTGTGATTGATTTTTAGGAACGGTTTTTATGTATAAGACTCAGTCGTTGTATGATATCCTATTGATAATCGTTGCATTCTCTAATATTTTTTTAAAGAAAACAAATGAAAGTCGAAATCAACCACTACTTATATAATTTCCATGATTGATTCTATTTTTTAAATATTTATTTTTTTTTTTCATTTTTCAATACCGTATTTCCATAAATTTAGAAACAAAACAAATTTTGTTTTTGAAATTATAGTAACACTAGTATATTATAAATTAGACTAGATATATGTAGATAGAAAAACTTACCAAAGCTATTACTGACATAGGCAAGGACTGCATATTTCTGGAGAAATCAAAATATTTATCTGCCAAATCAAAAGAAGCTAGAACAACAGCCTTGTTCTCGTTTAAAATAATATATTCACTTTTAACATCTAAGATTACGGTTGATTCTTCTTCAAAGTCGTCTATATGCATTACTTTAAAAACCTTTAAGGGATATATAGCGAAAGACCAATTTGCAAAATTAGATCTACCTAGCAAAACTGTTGCCAAGGATGTTACGTCGTAAAAGTTAGCCATTACAGCAGTTCCAGCACAACTAAAACATATTTTATAAGTAGCTATTTTATTATTTAACGGTGGTAGTTTTTTAAATTATTTTTTAACTAGTTCATTTATAATAAAACTTAACTAAAATACCCGCCAAATAAACATTATCTCAATCTATAGCGCCGAGGATTCGTTCACACTTATTTCATTTATCATATTGACATACTTGTTATAAGCTTACCCTCATATTACGTTACGATTTAAACCTTATTTATTATGGTGTTTTAAAATAAAAACAATACAGAACCTTTAATGACTACTGACTGACTTAGTTCTGCTTTTTTAACTGAACGTTTATCATCATCTTTTTATAGCTGCAAATTATTGTAAGTTATTGTTTGTAATTATCTCTATGGATGTTTGTTGAGTTACTTTTAGAGGAACTGCTGATATTCTGTAGTTCTGCAGAACTGCAGTCAATTCTGTGACTGGTAACCCTCCCACCAATATTTAAAAAGATAGTAAGTACAGAACATAACAAAGATAAGTTAATATTGTATGTGAGAAAACATGTTATGAATGAAAGTCATTGTGTCCTGAATATAAAAGTAAATTAAAACAAAAAATTAAAATTAGTACTGAGTATTTCCTCCTCCGAATTGTATTACACTATTTATGCGATCTTAAGGTTCTTATTAAGTTTGTGACATTCTCTAGGAATCGCATCCCACTCTTCATCTAAAGCAGTTTTTAGCTCCGCCACTGTAGCTGGTGCCGGATTACGGACGCGAACCCTGCGTTTAAGTTCATCCCATAGATATTATCCAATCCCATAAAATTACTTCCCTTTGGAAAAGTATTTAGTATTTATTTACATATGCTACATTTAATATTTTATTGACTGTACTATAATATGATCTTACTTAATGGTATATTCTAATTACGTATTTACTTTAAAAGATATTATTTTCTTCTATTCAGTAAAATCTCATTGTCTGTCTAGCACATGTAGTCTATTTTTAAGTTCTAAGATATTGACTTGTCTTTTGTTATTTGAAAATTATGTCGCCAGCACAGAAAACGTTGTAAAATATCATATTTCTGTGACCATTTGTTAGATTATTGCCATTTAAAAGTGCATTACAATACCTTTAATTTATGGAGGTGCACTTGTCCCATAGACCACCTAAGAACGGTCAGAGCGTTTTCTGACCATCTGAAGAAACATTTTCTATCAAGACAGCGGACAGTAGTCATCTTAGTTGATTGGGACGTCCCTTTTTTGTTCCTCGACAAGCGCCGCGACGGGCAAATAAAACTTTACTCCATTGGCTACAATAATTAATACACCATATTTCAAAAGTAGGTCTTTTCTTTATACATTTAACAGCAATGAGTTAGGCTAGTCAATTTTCGTAATATTTAAATTAATTGCTAATTTATTTACAATCAAAATATTGCATTTTTTCCTCATGATTATTCTAATTTCATTTAACCAGCGACCTCTAAGTTTTGCACAAAACAACTTCAGTTACCTTAATTTGCTTTTATCACTGTATTATAATAATAAAACAACGTAAATCAATATAAGTATGTTGTCACTGTTTGGATATAAATCAGATATTTTATTATATTATCCCGGTTTTTTATAGCGTTCTCCGCCTTCCGGTTCCCAGTTTCCAGCTACGTCGGTCATTCCATTCGCCAGGGTGAAGGTTTCTTTCCGACATTGCCTTCTGAATGCCGCCCAGCCAGGATTGTTTTGGCCTTCCTCTCTTCCTTCTTTCCCTTGGCGTCCATTTTAAAATTTGGTTTGGCAGCCTGTCGTCGTCCATTCTTTTCACATGACCATACCAGATCAGTTGTCTCCTTTGAATTTCGTCAATGATGGTTGACTTGACTCCCATTATATTTCTGATATGGTCATTTTGTATTCTATCAAGCCTTGATTTTCTAGCTGATCTTCTCCAGAAGTCCATTTCCAATGCAAGTAGGCGTCGCTCAAGGGATTTAGTAAGTTGCCATGTTTCGCATCCATAGAGCACTATACTTTTAAAGATGGAGTTAAAGAGGAGATGCTTTCTTTGATTTGATAGTTCTTTTGACCATAGCATCGGGTTTAGGCATCCTATCACCCTTTTTCCTTTCACGATTCTTTGCTCTATCTCTTTTTCGGTGCGCCCACTCTTGTTGATTGTTGTTCCCAAATATATATATATATATATATATATATATATATATATATATATATATATTCCTCACAGTTCTTGATTGTTTCATGTTCGTTGACCATTAGATCTTCTACTTCATTCCCGATGCATAAGTATTGCGTTTTGTTTCTATTTACAGAGAGGCCCCATTCTTCATATGTTTTAAACAACCGTCTCGTCATGAATTCTAAATCTTCCTTGTCTGCTGCCACTACTACTTGGTCGTCCGCAAAATGTAGAGTGTATAATGTTGTATCGTCGTCAAGTTGGATCCCCATTCCTGAACAGGATCTTCTCCAGTGTTTTAGTGCTTCATTTAAATAGATCTTAAATAGTATTGGAGAGAGGCAGCATCCTTGTCGTAAGCCTTTTGTTACTGGAAATTCTTCTGATAAGGTGTTGTTTAGTTTGATTTTTGATGATGCTTTATTGTATAATTGTTTGACTGCGGCGATGATCGTGCTATTTAATGAAGATCGTTCAAGAGACTGCCACAGCTTTCTCACAGGAATCGTGTCATATGCTTTTGTGAGATCCACAAATAAAAGATGTATTTCCTGGTTTCTTGCAACTTTCTTTTCATTCAGTTGTGTTAGGGTAAATATGTGGTCTACGCAAGATCTTCCAGCTCTAAATCCTGCTTGTTGTTCAATTTCATGAGGTTCGTATTCTTTCTCAATCATGTTTTTTAAGATTTTACCAAACAGCCTGCTAAAGGTACTGGTGACAGAGATACATCTGTAGTTTCCGCAAATATCTTTTGGACCTTTTTTGTGAATTGGAGTAATCCATGCTTCTTTCCAACTATGCGGGATTTCTTCCCCATTTAAGTATCTTGTGAATAGCACTTTAAGATAGCTTATTAGTTTTGGTGTTCCGTTTTTTAGAAGTTCTGCTGGTATGTTCTCCGGCCCGGATGCTTTGTTATTCTTCATCGATTTAAGCGCTTGTTGTACTTGTTCTTCTTCCACGTTTACATATTCACCTTGTACTCGTATTCGTTGAGGTGAGTCAGTATTATAAATATCTCTGTCTTCATTCAGTTCCCTTGCGTAATGATCTTTCCATGTATCTATCTGGATGGGCTGTATTCGACTTTTATTTGATGTGTCGCTTTTCAGGGTTTTTATTAATTTCCATGCCGCTGATGATCGCGCTCCTTCGATGTAACAGTCAACTTCTCTACATTTTGCATCCCATGTTTCATTTTTGTTGTTCCTTGTAATATCTTTAAATATTCTTTGCTGTTCTTTGTATATTTCTTTATCTTTAAGATTCTTAGTGTTCAGCCATCTTTAAAATGCTCAGAATATCCTATATGAGCCATACGATAAATGCGGAAATCTTGCGGAGGATGAATAAGGAAAGAGAGCTTATGATTATAATAAAAGAACGGAAAACACAATATTTTGGCCACATCATAAGAAATCAAAAGTATGAACTGCTCTAACTTATAATCGAAGGCAAAGTCAATAGCAAAAGAGGACCAGGAAGAAGACGCAACTCTTGGCTTAAAAACCTACGGCAATGGACGAACATGACCTCCACAGAACTATTCAGGGCTGCTACAAATAAGATTAAATGGGCAAATGTAATAGCCATCGTCCTTAAGGATAAGGCACCGTAAGAAGAAGAAGAATAAAAAAATATTTAGCATGGCTAACTTACCTAGTATGGCCATATATCTTGAACTGACCTTAATAAAACCAAAACTGAGTAATATACATCAAACTGGCGACATGTGTATCTTTTTAAAAACTTTGTGTATAAAATTAGTTATTACAATTAGCTAAGTACTTTCAACATGTCACATGCCATCTTCAGAGCTTCGTCTTATAAGAGGTAATAAATATCTCATGGAAATGTAAAATATAATTGCCTTTGTTATAGGAATTAAACCCTATTAATACTTAAAAAATCACATTTGAGACTGCTTGTTGAATCAAAGGCTACCTGGTTAAACTACGAGGACAGCTGAGAATTTGAACATCAGCCTGTGAAATGACCAGCCTAGATCCTATTCACAGCACTTACCATTTGAACATGTGTTAAATGTCAACACTCTATGACTATATTTGTGTTTAGTAATCTTGTTTAAGTAAAATTTTAAAGTAAATACACACTATCTTTGAAGCACTATTTCTTTAATATTTAGTTTTTTTTTGAAAAAAGTTGAATAATACTGGTGTTTCTTTTAATACATACTCAAATATTACAGAAATGTTTCAGTATAATTTTTCGGTTTCACATTTTAGAAATTTAGCGTTAATTCCTTCTGGACCAGAAAATCTTATGTGTTTTACAATAAAGAATTTTTTCTTAACTATTTCTATGTTATTTTATTTAATTCTCTCTCTATAAATGCATGCAAGATGTATATTTCTTTTGCGTGGTTTTTGTGTTTTATCATTCGATCTGTCTTGTCCCAGGCTATTTTCTAACATTTTTCATAATAGTTTTTTTTAGCAGAGGAGCCAACCTTTAGGTCTAACTCCCTAGCGGGAGAACCAGAATTTCTCTGTCGAAGTCTGTTACATTAGTTAAACTGTTGCTCATTTACAACGCCAGAAACTCACCTTTTGTTCTCTGTTATTTGCTTCACAACGTATGACCATTACATGCTACGTATTAGGCAGTGGTCTCGCGATAAAAGATTGTCTTCCAGTGCGCGGCAGTAGTACTTGTCGGTAGATATTACCCAACACATATAAATAGGAATCGTAGGAGTTATTTTTACTCTTAAAAATAATGAAAACACGGAAAACCTCATATTTGGGACACATATACAGAAATGAGAAATACCAGCTACTGCAGCTTCTTATAGAGGGGAAGGTAGAAGGAAAACGTGGTCCTGGTAGACGGCAGGCGTCCTGGTTGAAGAACATTCGTGAGTGGACTGGTTTGGATTCTCAATCTTTAATAAGAAAAGCCAGGGACAGAAATGATTTTGCTGAGGTTATCGCCAACCTTCATTGAAGACGGCACCCAAAGAAGAAGAGGAGTCATTTGCCAGAAAGCAGTGAGGGTTTCTCAAAGTTTTGCTGTTGTGTGACGTGACTTTGGCAAACTCTACAGTCTTCAACAATTGTTACTAATCTTTGACCACCTTATAAAAGTGTAGTAAGTAAATGTGGATGTATAAAAGGAAAAAAACCGCATAGCTAACAATCTGTTAGTTTATTATATGTAATGTATATCTAAAATTAGCAAATGTATATCTAAAATTTTTACTTACCAAACGTACAAATCTTTAGTTCTTGGCCTTGCATCAAACATATATAAATACTTATTTTTCCAAATTGCTATGCATATGTCTTGAGTTTTAAAAATGCCTGCCGTTTGACGGTAGAAAAATATTTTTAAAGCTTTTGTTAAGTTAAAAACTCTTTTGTCGTCAGATCTTATATAACCTGTTACATCTGGATCTTCGACAGAAAACCTCATCTTATTGCAGCCTAAAAATTTTAATATAATTTTAGCGCTGACGAATTTTTAACTTTTCTAAAATAACATAGATCTGGGGCTCTCACGTTAACCAAAGTTGGTGAAACACATTGAAGAATAAGATCGTTAAAATTCGATTGTTGGGAAAACTTTGTCATATATATCCATACATCTTTTTCTTGGGAGACTGGGAAATGGAGAATAATAATGATAACGATTTGCTCAGAAACGAACTACCCAAACCAAATAGCCGAGACCCATATTTTTCCGAAGGTTTTTGGTGCGCTAAGTACGAATCTGAACTCTAAACTGCCGAACTCTGGCTTCCTATCCGTTTCGGATATTGGCAAATATAATGGCAATCTGTATTTTGCAAACTGCTGGTCTGAAAAGATTTGTGCTTATTGTGTTGATATTTTTTGCCTTCCTGGTCCTCTAGTTTTCCTTCTACTTTTCCTTGTAGAATTAATTGCAGCAACCCATATATTTTGCTGTTTCTCGTTCCGCTGGCCGAGGAAACTGACGCAAAATAGTACCTGCATCTCTGTTTAATGGGCCGGATTTGTCGACTACGTGACCTTCTTATTGGTCATTTACGTCACGTGATTGATAAACCTAGTAAATAAGAAAGAGATTCAGGGACTGCTTTGTATCAGTTTTCTCTGTCGCACTGGGCGAACGTGCTGATATTGCAAGGATTAGTCTGTCTAAGGTTTATGGCTATTTTTGAAGTTATGGAGAATCAGCTTGCTGTACGCAATTTTCTTTTAATTCAAAAAATTAGCAATTAACCTTATGAGTTCTAAGGAAAGGAGGGTTTTTTGCTTTTGGATTAAAAGTGGTGGTTTGTAGGGGTTAATAGAGTTAAATTTGTTTTGTTTCGATCAGTAGACACAATTATTGTATGTGATTTTATTTTGGTATGATACAATAAGCAATTAATCTTAGAAATTCCAGGGTTAGGTGAGTTTGCCTGCTTGTGGGCTGAAAGGTATTTGAGATTGTTGTGTTTGAGGTTATTTGATTTGAGCTGTTAGGTTTGAGGTTGTTGGAATAAGGTTTTATGAGTTTGGTGATTTTGAATTTAGATTTTTTTGTTCTACTCTATGGCGTAGGTTTTTTTTTAATTAGAAACTTTAAAATGCGGCATCTCGGCGAAAAAAGAAATATTTAAATAAACTTACGTCATATAAAATATTGAAACTTACTCTTTAAAAAGATTACAATAGTAACTAAGAACAAAATTATGTTACGATGCTACATAACCTCAAAAACGGCCAAAACAGCTATTTTTGCACTTTTTAGTTTAGGATATCTTAGAAATCAGAGCCAATTCTGATTATTTTTGCCAATATATTCTGTTCTCTGCGTCTGAATATTGGTCCAATTTTGTTGGCATGTGTTATCTAACGGAACAAAAAGTTTGATTAAGTAGATTAGATAATTAAAAAACACCAATTTAAAATATTTAATTACTTACTATTAATTTAACTAATAATAAAATTGTAGAATAGGATTAAAATAATTCTTACCAATAATGCAATATTTAATTAGATCTTCCCTTTTAAATTCTTTATCAGTACTATAAAAGATATTCTTCTCTATACTATCCATGAATAATTGGTTTCCGTAAGACAAAATTCTGTCAATTGTTTCAGTTGTCCATTTATTTGGGTGAGTTAACATAGAGTAACAATAAGCTGCAACTGGCATACACAATCCTTGTTTATTTCTAATGGATTCAGGAAACGATAAATCACCTATAAACATTTGTTTAGTAAGTAGACCAGTCCGGTAGAAAGTCTGTATGTAGAAGCTGATGAACCACCTCTTTCAATTAGAAGACACAAAGCCTACAATATGCAGCTAAAATTGGAGCAAACTCTAATAACCCTATTTACTCCTACACATTTTCTGACAATTTTTATTTAATTTTTGAACAAAAACTCTTGTTTTCTGCATCATTTAGTAAAAGAATCACAGGTTTCAATTTTCCGAAATTGATTTCCAATGAAATAAACTACTCTCCCCCTTGGACCATAAAACTCCCCAAATGTAATACAAATCTACTGTATCCTAAATCTGATACTTCATCACATACAATTCTAAAACGGATTCAAGCGAATAAAGACAAGTACAAAAGATATTACCAAATATATACAGATACTGATACAAAAACTTCTGAAATAGAAACGGTAGGGCAGCTTTCGTTGCCGAAACAATTAAACATCAGTTCCAGCTACCTAAGGAGTACTCCATATATTCCGCCGAATTGTATGCAATATCTAAAGCCCTACAACATAATATATCAAATCAGCCAAATTGGAAGCAGTCATTTTCACAGATTCTTTAAGCGTAATATAAGGAATATTAAGGGTTTACCCAAACCACCCAGTACTCTGCCAAATTAAAATTGATCTAGAAGAACTTGACAGTAAGAATAAAAGGGTAGAATTTGTTTGGATTCCATCTCATGTAGGCATAATAGGTAATAAAAAAGCTGATCGGGAAGCTAAAGAAGCCTGCTATACGAATAGACTAGATAAAGAGCTCCTAGAAATTACTCATTCCGACATTCAAAACACCATCAAAGAATTTTCAATGAAAATATGACTCAAAAGATGGAAAAAATTTGACGACAACAAACTACAACGCATCAACCCAAATTTGTCACCAAAAGGGATAATGCCACAAAAACGACGAGATCAAGTCACACTACACCGCTTGAGAATAGTGCATACCAGGTTAGTCCACCAGTACCTAATGAAGAAAGAACAACAAAAACTGTGCTATGTTTGTGATATTCCTCTGACAATCGAACACATTATTGTTAGTTGCCCACTCTATCACCTGGAACGACTTCAAAGTGATTTACCAAGTGATCTGAAAAGTGCTCTGAACTATAGTAAATGTGATAAAGTGACTAAGTTTCTAAAACTAACTAAATTGTACAATCTAATATAAAAATAGACTTAAGTTCTCAATTGTAATTAGTTGTTATAAGCAAACATCTGATTTTATGTACAACTCTTCCCCGCCAATAACCTATCATGGTTGACGCGGTTTACTTAATAACAAAAAAGAAAAGTGGTAGAAAAGAAGTTATTATTAAACAAGAAATTTATTCATCAGACATGGTACCGTTCCCGTCATAAAAAACTGGTACAACTCTTATAACCGAAAATCGTGTTTTTTAAGTTGTGTAAGTTGAGCTTGTCACATGTGTCATTTTCGAAGGCAGCGATGCCAGTTGAAAATATATCAAACAAGCTAAAAGCAGAGCTGTGCGACGGGTCGCAAGTTTTTAGTATACTAAAAACTAAAACAATATCGATCATTCTCGATCAGTCAGTCACATTTATATTTATATATTTATTTTGATACATTGTACCCAGTACACATACATTGATTCGTGTTTTATTATAATTTATAAAAATATTTCAATTAAAAATAATGATAGATAATAAATTTAGACATGACTTTAAATTTATGTTTAATTTCAAATCGAGAGGTGTGATTGGTTTCTCGTAAAGTGTCGCACAAAACTGTATTGAGTTGTGGAATACTACAGTAAATAAAACCCTCTAGAAAAAATTAAAATTTAATGTGAAATTAATAAAAAATGAATAATTTTTACAGTGAACAAGTGTGGGATTTAAATATATGTATTACAATTCGAAAAGTTAATATTTTGTCATAGCTCCATTATTATTAATCACTTCTTGCAATCTTCTGGGAACTAAGTTAATTAAATTTAGTGACAAATTATCATCTTCGGCCAAGCTTTCCCAGGTTTCTTCAATGATGGTCCATAAATGATCTCTGTTTTGGGGAACTAAATTTAATTTTTGTATTTTGTTGATCATAAGTCCCCAAATATTCTCTATTGGATTAATATCTGGACTTTTAGAGGGCCATGGAAGAGCTTCAATGCTATTTTCCATAAGGTAATCCCGTACACGGTGGGCTGTGTAGATTGAACAGTTACCATGTTGGAAAATAAAATTATTCAATATAAGGTTGAATGTTCGAATAAATGAACTTTGATGGTACACAAGGCAAATATCGAACACAGTATTTTCCGCCTACGCCAGGCTGGGAGCCATTCTGTCTCCGGCTTCTATAATATAAAAATGTAGCTTCTCCAAATTTAAATTTTAAAGTGTTTGTTTGTCTTTAGTGTATTTTTTATGTCCCAGTTTACATGTATGACATTTGGTTATTGCTGGATAGGCCACAATTGACGAAATGCCCCTGAGGATGATCTTGTGATCGAAAGTACTTGGGCAAGATTTAATTAAATACTGTGTTCGATATTTGCCTTGTGTACCATCAAAGTTTAAAAAAAAAAAATAAAATTATTGTTGGAAAAAATTTCCCTAACCGATGGCAACATCACATTATCTAATATATGTTAATAGGTTTCAGTATTAAATCGTCCTTCAATTCTCCAACACATTCCTAAACTTCCTCTATACATCCAAGCCCAAACATTTATAGAGAACCGTCCGGACTTATCACTTGATGAAATATAGTTTTCGTTAAACGTATTTCGGGGCGGTCTATAAACCCTTATATGGACATCGTAAAGAGACTGGAATACTTTTTCATCAGTAAAAACTACACGTTCCCAAAAATTGACTGAATCATTTAAAACGTAATTTAAAGCAAATAGGAGTCTACTTTGTTTATGTTCCTCGCTAAATTTGTATTTTCGGGCGGCTGCACAATTTTTTAAATCTGTTCTTCTAATTCTCCTTAATGCTGTAGTTATAGAAGCATTAAAGTTTGTATTAACTTTTGCTTGCCTTGCCGTATGGAAGGGATACGCTCTTAAATAATTAGTTAATGTTTCATCTTGTTGGGCTGTAGTAATAACTGGTCTCCCACTCCCTCTCCTTCTATCCAAAGTCTGCTCGTTTTCCCATCTTTTTTTAATGTTGTGGATTGTGGTTTTGCTTCTATTTAACTCTTGAGCCAGTTGTCGAATAGACCAACCATCTTCTATTTTTGAAATTATTCTCGTTTTATCAAACTGACTTAACTGACGTGGCATCTTTAAAAATTCACTTTGACAAACTTGTCAAATCTGACTGATGGCAAGCAATATTTTTTATGTTTAATTTTTATGTTTAATTGTTCGGATATGTTTGGGACGTTTTCACGCACTGATAACATCTGAAGATACTAAACCAGCATTTTTCAGTTATAAGAGGATTTTTTACAGTTATAAGAGGATAATGTAATACTGTCACGTTTTGAAAAGCGTTTTTCGCACCGGATATTTTATAGTTTATAATCTACGTAGGATAAAGTATAATGTTAGTTTTTCACATTTATCGTTCATGTAATAAATAATAAATAAATTTAGGTAGTTTGCTTGTTACTAAACTGATTGACATAAAATACAGTTAACAGTTTGTGTTCTATAAGTAATTGAAGTATAAAATTACAGTAGATGCATTCCAATGTTCCCTGTGCCAATACCCCAAGTTTAAATATCGTTCAATATTTTGGACATTAACTTAATCCTCTTTCTGGTTATTAAATTTATTAGATACGGTTTTTTGTTGTTAATAATAAAAATAATACCTATCTAAAAACTTTATATATTTTTGAACGTTATTTTTTACGTTTTAGGTTTTATTTAAATTTACTGAAATTCCGTTATCTGTAATGGCAACAACGAATTGATTCACGAACCATTGTGTCCAGTCTGAACACAGGTTTACATTGGGAAAAAAAGTGTACCAGTTTTATATGACGGGAAGTGTACAGTTTTAGTTTTTGAATGATCTAAATATACAAATTGATTGCACATTAGACTGAATTTTGTTTTTTTACGTAGAAAACTAAGTTTTTGTTTTTAATGAAAGCACACATTTTTTGTTTCGCGCAGATAATAGTTCTTTGTCTCAAAATAACACACAAGTACTCGTAAGTAACAATACAGACGAACTACTTTTCAGTTAAAGGAACTTAAATGAGAAACTGAGAAAATCGATTTAGAAATGAGTTTAAATAAAATAAAAGTATTGACATATCACATGGAAACTACACAACACATTATTCTGACAATAAAATCTTAGAATATCTTCAAATAGAAGGATGATTTTGCCAATTCGAGCAAAACCATACTACAGATATACGCGACAATGGCAGATAAAGATTAGGCAACCAGCGAAATATTTTACGAATAACTGAGCATGAAGAAAATGACAAAAAAAAACATTAAGTAATTTGCCCTAAGGAAAAGAAAAGATAAAGGAAATAGATTTATATGCTTCTGCTAGAAGTATAAATTTGTATTAAGTAATACACTCTTCAACGTCCCCAATCGTCGAATATACATATGGAAATCCCCTACCGACTCACCTGAGAACATCAAAAGAAATCAGATAGTTTATATAGCAGTATTAGCAAGATACAAAAATATGATAAAAGCATCAAAAATATACCCTAGTGCCTATGTCCATACGGATCACAGGCTGTTGGTATTCAGAATGGTGATGGAAGTAAAACAGCTTAAAACAAAATCTGATCTAAACACAATCGATATAAAGAAGCTCACTAACCCAGAAACCGAAATAAAAGTACCAGAACAACTAAAAAAGAAAATAAAGAATATTAACGAGAACACGTCGGACAAAACAGACTCACTAAGTCATTAACATGTTGTAAAAATAAGATAAGAAAATTAGTATTTTTGGGGGCATTATTCTAGGGACATGAATCCTGTTATCTATAAGCTTTTCTACAAATTTTCTTTGATAAACTTTTCGTACATCATTACTCTAAGTAACCTATATTATTATATAAATTACTTACCCTGGTGCATAGTGCCCTGCATCGATCCAAAAAAGAAGTCTTTTAAAATAGGCTGATACATATCGGTGAATGAATGACTTTGGAGTGTTCCCCTTTTAATCTTTCTTTTCTTTGGTTGAAATTTTTTCATTTCTGAATCTCTTCTGAATTTTTGAATGTATTTGTCAACACCAGCATCCGTAACAAGTGATATAGTGGAATGAGGAATATCTCTACTCTGGTAAGAAGTTGCAGCAGACGTCTAAAAAAAAGTATATTGTTTTTCATATTGTTACGAAAGTTCCGTAAGATTTATCCCACATAGCAGTAGTTCTTTGACGAAAATCTAAAAGTATGAAAATTCTAGAATATTCAAGATGCTATCAAAAAAGCCCGAAATATCAAGTGAAGTCTGGAACGCCAGAAAATAGCTATAGAAATTATGTTGTTGATAATTTTGGGGACATTTGTACTTTAGTTTTTGAAGCTTATGGTTGTCATTCTGTTAAAGTATTGTAAATAAGTTTAAGTTTGAATTAAGATATTTTACAAATTGTAACATTAGTGACAGCGGTGGGATCAAAAAAATATTTAGCAATTGTTAATGGTAAGTACAAAATCTACTGATTTTGATGAAGATAAGTAAACGTCCGGACCCCCGCATGATTTTTAAAAATAAAAAAAGAGGAGGAGCTGAAAAAAGCGCATACAAGAAGAAGAAGAGATAAGTAGGCAAGAAGGGAAAAAGGAAAATGAGAAACGTAGACAAAAAGAGAAAGAAAGAACTAAGAAGCACAGGGTGGTGAAGAAGTGTAGGCAACAAGAGGAAGGCATGAAGAAGCATAGATAGTAAGAAAAAGAGGGGCGTAAAAAAGTAGAAATAAAATGTAACAATAAAACACTGAAAACTTTGTTTTCAAACTTCCACAAAATTTATTTTAAATCTTATCACTACAGCTGTTTCGGCTGATTGCCTTTCTCAAGTGATCTATTTTTGGTTGGGTTTACAAATTTATAGTCTCTAATGAAATAGGTTGAGGAGGGGAGAACTGTTTGTCTCAAGTTGGTCATTCAGAATTATATCTGTGTTTTTTAATTTGTTGATTTCCATAGATTCTAACAAAGATAGCTTAAGGCCTTTATTTTGAATGTGAAGAATTTTAAATTTGTCATTAAAAGAATGATTATGATCTAGAAGGTGAAGTGCGTATGTCGAATCTGTTTTTCTATTCTTGAAAGCCCTTTTATGTTCTGCTATTCGTTTATCAAGTTTCTACCAGTTTGACCGATGTAAGTTTTTGGGCAGTCGCCACATTGAAGTTTGTACACACCACTATTTAAGTGTTTTTTTATTTTATGCTCTTGTTATTTTTAATATATTTGCCTAGGTTGTTATTTGTTCGGAAAGCTGGTGTTATTCTTTTCTTTTTTATGTGTTTGGCAATTTTTGTTGTTATTTTGCCTGTATATGTAATCGAGCAGAATGTACTGGGTTTTTTCTCTGGTGGTGGAAATACTAATTTCAGGGCTTTCTTGTGTAGTTTTTGATTTAACATTGTATTAATTGTTTGTTAGTTCTAGTTGTATCCGTTGTTTACTGCTATTTGCTTAATTATATTTAATCCTGTTTCAAAGTTGTATTTTGACATGGGAATTTCTGTTAATCTATGTAAACTGGCAGCTTATCATAGTATGTTACATAAAATGAATTAGATGAAATTATGAAATGAAATGAAATAAATGAATTAATTAAAATGAAATAGAAAAGTTAAGAGGACACGTGTCAATTTTGCCGAATAAACAATTACAAGAATTACAAGATGCATTAAATGAATTACAGGTTCAAAGTCAATGTCCCAGTACAGAAAAAGAGAATGTTACCGAAAAAGTAAGTCTCTGGAGAACCACAGTTAAACAGGAAGAACACAATGATCAGACTTCTCTGGAAAATCTTAAAAAGAGTCAAAAGAAAAAATGACTTGAAATAATGCATAATCGAGAATGGCTTAAAAATGGAGTCAGACCTATTTGGCAGAAAATAACCAAATACAGTGTAACTATAAGGGCGTAGTGAGTTTAATAGGAATCTCTGTATCTTTCTAATGGTCTGTTATATCGGAAATGGGAAAGTCCCGATATAGTACCTACAGTTGAACAAATAGTACTGCCAAAATCACACAATAGCAACCTTTCTGGAGGACATTTTGGAATCAAAAGAACAATGGTCAGAGTTCGAAACAGATTCAACTGGATTAATGATCGCCAAAATGTAGAAGATTGGTACCAGACATGTGATTTATGTAACGGTAGAAAAAGCAATAGAACAAGAGCGTGAAAAAATCACACAATAACTTTCCGGAGAGCCTTTCGAATGACATGCGGTGGATATTATTGATATACTTTCAATGATAGAGATAGGAAACAGGTACTAAATGGTTGCAATGGATTATTTTTCAAAATGGCCTGAAATTGCACCCCTTCCTAATTAAAAAGCGACTACAGTAGCAGAACAATTTATAATACGTATCTTATAACGTATCGAGGATGAAGATATTGAAATGGAAAATCAAGGTTTTGAGGAAGAAATAAGACCTAAAGGTTTTTGTCCTTCCAAAAAAAGAAAAAGACTTAAAAAAATTATTGAAGATTGAGTCAAAATAAAGTTTATTTATGAAAAGAATTTTTTTTTCATTCGCCTTTGTTTTAACAATTTAAATTATTTATTAACAATTTATAAATACATATTTGTTTACTAAAAGTAATAATTTACTTTAATGTATAAATTGCAAGCTCAAAAAAAAACATGAAGAAAAAATGCAATTACTTGTATAACATACAAGCCTTCAATACAAGCCCTTACAGATTTTGGAGCACTTTACTTTTGTTTTTATTTCAAAACCCGAAATTAAACAAACTGATGGTCCCCTACTTGATACTCGCCGATTCACATTTGAAGTGAATGTCCCTCACCACCACCTCTCATGCATTCCGAGCGACATTTTACGCGAAAACGGTTTTTTATTTGTCTTTTTTTATGGATGTTGCCATGAAGCGCATTACGTAAAACTTTTCATATAAAAAGTATTTGGCAAGACGAGGGTATTTGTTTAAAAACGAGCCCTCTATCACTTATGGTTACATGGCAAATGTATGCCAACTTTGACCTTCAATATCTCGGCAACCAGTAAGCCGAATGTATCTTTTTGTTTTTTAAAAGAAGCGTCTTTTAATGTTCTTTAAGTGTATACATTTTGAAATTGATATGTTTAAAGCTCGTAAAGTTATTTAATTTGTTTATAAGCCTAAAAATTGTTTATAACTATAAAAAAAATTTTAGGCTCTCCTAGTGAACCGATTTGAATTTTACAAAAAGCGTTTGAAAGTTTGAGACTTCCTTTATATGTAAAAAAAATTGCAACTATCTGAGGGCCTTATTTAGGGCCTACTATGAATTTGAAAATTTGCGATTTTTTTCCAGTAGGCTGGATTGCAAAATTATTATGCAAAACCTATCCGACCGATCTTAACAAAATTTAGCACACGTTTTAAACATATTAAAAAGTTTTTCTAGGCGGAATATGGAACTTGTAAGTCAAGTTTAGAAAGTCGAAAACATTTAAAGGATTAACTTCATTTTTTGTACTTTTTTTTCCAATTATTGCTATTTTTTCAACAATAACCATTAAATTTTCAATTTCTAGCTAACAAAATATTGTGTAAAGATTGAATAACGAAACTTTTAACTTCTTATAATTTTTTCTCTAGGATCACTATTTTCCGAATTATAAATGAAAATAAGAGCAAAAAAATGAGAAATTTTCAATTGTTTTCAGATTTTGTTAAATAAAAAATTTAGCACAGGGTTTGCGACTGGCGCATATCGTGATTATCGATACTGGACGTATCCTGAAGGGATTCCAGCAAAAAAATAGCTTCCTATGGAAAATGTCCAATCCAAAACAGATCCCGCCTAGACTAATATGGTTATGCATAATATCTGCATACGTAATGTGCTTAATAGCGGAAAAGAGGTAAAAGCATAAATCACTTAGTGGTTTCCACACTGTATAATAGATATTAAATATCATAGTTTTGATATTACTATCGAGATGAATGTTATAGAAAGCAAAGTTTAATTAATAAGATAAATTAGTTTTTGGCATATTTTACAATATCTAGGTACATTTAATAGTGGTTTTAAGTTTATATATTGGGAGATTTTTTAAACGACCCTATATTTATTATTTTAACAAAGTTTAGAGTTTTATCGTGGCTGAACGAATCAATTAATCCAAAGCTAGTAAACTAGGTATACATTTGATAATGTACTTTTATCTAAAACTGTTGATTCTAATTTTATTTGGGTTTAAATTTAATTGTCGTTTAGTTAAACTATTTCTTTAGCAACTGATTCTAAAAAACAAGGACTATATTTGTATTTAATTGACTTAGTTTTAATTTAAAGCCAGAATATTTTGGATCTTACACTGTTGCGTTTGAAAACGTCCTAGCTTAAATGTAGCTCGAACCATTAACTTTCGAAACTAGTCGCATTGTAGTAAATCCGCCAGCCTACTGAGAAAACGAGTCGAAGTTCTACATGATAATGCCATTTTGCGTTATAATGTTTGTAACTTTGTAATCCTATTATGATTTGTAATCCTATTACAACAGTGACTAAACTGCATTTTTTAACAAGAATTATACGAGAATATTAATAAACATAACCGTATAGACAACTTACCAGTGAAACTTTTCTTCGAAACATTTTTGTTAAATACACATTAGTCTCTTCTCCCTCTCCATCATAATAATTATCTGATGTAATACCGTCCATCTCGTCATCTGTTACTGACTTTTTATGTGTACGTTTTGATCTCTTTTTTCTTTTTTTAGATATTGGCGTATGAGTTTCATCATCTTCGGTTATATCTGTGAGACCTGAACGATCTCTCATTTTTTGTTTTCTCTCTTTAACATAATTGGGACTACGGCTAGAAAAGAGATAATGATTTTTATTCTGTTCCAACAATATAATTTGTGGTGACCCCAGGGGACAACTACCGCAAAAAAATGTTTTTTCTAAAAAAAATCTAAAAAGAAATTAGAACATACATTTTAATGCCCAAAAACCCTCTGATTTTTGTCAAATTTTATAAATCAAAATTTTTTTTTCTGAAAAATGGCTTTGGCAGAGCCAATTAGCTTGTGTTGATGTTAAATCGACTAAATTTTAATTATTATAGATTGCAGATTCATAGTCAAAATTTTCTTATCAGTTATCAATGTTAGTACTACATATACCTAATATTTTTATAGATACATAAATTTTGCTTTGATATATTTTTATTTTGTGTTTTTATTCTTTTGTTTTCTTGTGTTTTTTTTGTTTTGTTTTTTTTTTGTTGCTTTTTTTGTATTGGTGCTTTTTTTGTTTGTTTGCTTTTTTTGTTTTTTTTTGTATTTATTTTTTGTTCTTCTATTTTTATTTTTGTTTTTTTATTAATTTGTGTTTTTTTTTTTGTTTTTTTTGTTTTTTTTTCAAACCATATTAACAGATTATGCCTATATACTATTTACAACTTGTATTTACATATTTTAACATGTTTGTAAATGCAATGAAGAATTTCCATATTACTTGAAAATAGTAAAAGATTAAGGTTTATTGGAAAACAACACTTAGAATTTATTAATTCCTTATAAAGTTCGTTTATATTATTAATTTGTAAATCACATTCTAATATAATATGTGTTAGATCGCCTATTTTGCCACAAGTACAATTGGGAGTACTTGATAAGCCGATTCCATTCATGTAAGATGGCGTAAGCGCATGATTTGCTCTCAGCCGATTAATGGTCTTTATAAAATGTAGATTAGATTCTCTGTAAAACCATCTTCTTGAGGGTATCCTAGTGTTACAATGATAAAAATTTAAGCCAGTCTTACATTCTCTGTAATGTAAATGCCAATTATTTTTAAGTTTTTGTCTACTAACGGCGTCAATATCTGTCGCTGGAATTAAATTTTTGCTTACTTTTTCTCCAAGCATATATGCTGACTTAGCCAAATTGTCAACGATCTCATTGCCTTTTATTCCTGAATGGCCCTTGATCCATGTAATTATAACATTTAATCCTAATTGTATAGTTTCAGAAAGAATTTTAAGGATTTTCAGTTCAATATTGTTTATATGTTTGACTGTTTGAATGTTGTTGAATCTGTCGACCACACTTTTACTGTCAGTAAATATAACATAGTTGCTAGAAGCCTTCAGTACTACATACTGAAGAGCAAACATTATTGCCATCATTTCTGCTGTGTATATTGAGCATTCACTGGGTAAGCTATACTGGTGATGGTAATTTTTATTTTCGTGGAACATTGCACAGCCCGTTCCATTTGCATCTTTTGACCCATCAGTAAAAATGTACTGATAATTTGTCCATTTTTCTTTAATAATTGTATCAAACATATTTGGGAGTAAATGTGAGTTTAAGTAACATATTTTAACCTTTCTAGAAAATAGTGTTTTTGCCATTTCACCGTAGTAGGGCGGAATTTGGCTTGTATAGAGAATATCGTTATATTTAATCGTACTTAGATAGCTTTCTACCAAAGGTATAGATTTTTTAGTTCTCCAGTACCTATGAGTGAGGTCTAAAACTGATAGCTCATTAAGATCTTGAAGGTATTTACAATTTTTGGACATAATTTGGACTGTAAATTTGTCGCTAAGGAATTGGCGGCGTAAATGCAATGGAGGTTCCACCGCTTCATTTTCCATTATTTGGACTGGAGTGGATTTTAAATAACCTAGGCATAATCTCAGGCATTTATTTTTTTGAACTTCAAGTTTGTTTAGATGTGTATTGGCCGCTGATCCAAATAAATGACAGTTATAGTCGAAAATTGGCCTGATCATGTTACGGTAAAACATCAAAGCAATATTTGGGTCTGCTCCCCAATTTGTTTTACAGAAAGCTCTTAAAATGTTTATTGAGTTTTCTGATTTTTTAACAATTTGATGAATGTGATCTTTCCATAACAATTTCCTGTCTAGATAGGTACCAAGATACTTAATACAGTTTTTTATAGGAAAATAAAATTTTCCCACATTAAGATTGCCTTGTGGAACTCTATGTTTTTGTGAAAAGTAACACACCTCAGTTTTTGTGTCAGAAATTGATAATCCTATTTCTTCATAGTACTGATTTACGATTTCTAATGCGACTTTCAAATTATCCTCACAGGTACTTAACAATTTTCCTGCTGTATATAAAACATCATCAGCATATTGAAGAATTTTTGTATGGTTGGGTATACTAACTTCAAGATCTATATTGTACAGGATATATAAAATCGGGCTTAAAATACTCCCCTGTGGCAATCCAATATTAGTTAGTCGGGGGTATGAAAATTCCTCATTATTAATTTTTAAAAAAGTTAGTTTGTTAGAATATAAAGATTTTAAAAAGAGAGCAAATGATCTAGGGATTCCAATATACAACATTTTTTGGTAAAGAATGTCTAAATTGACATTATCAAAAGCAGCAGAAATGTCAAGGAACGCTGCTGCTGTAGACTTATTTGACGTAAAATTAAGGTGAATTGAAGTAACTAGAGCTGTAGTTGCATCTTGAGTGGACCTAGACTTGCGAAAACCATATTGGAAACTTGGAAGTATACCATCGTGTTCTAGCCAATGTTCAAATCTATTTTTAATTATTCTTTCAAATGTTTTTAAAAGACATGAAGATAAGGAGATAGGTCGGTAAGAACTTGGATCACGTTCTAGTCTGCCAGGTTTTTTAATCGGAATTACCAGGTACTCTTTCCAACTATTCGGTACTGGTGTCTTATTTGTCCAAATATTGTTGAAAATGTTTACTAGTGAAATTTTATATTCTATAGGTAAGTTGTATAACAGTGAGTATGACAATCTAATAAAAAATATTTGAATTTCTTAAAAACATTTTAGGGTCTGTAGGTAATTTTTGTCAAATAATTACGTTTCGTGTATTTTTTGCGCTGTTTTTTTAATAGCGAAATTAGAGTTGTCATTTTCGCTCCGGTAAATTCTCAAAATTTTAAAAATACATACATATTGCTTTGTTTCCCCCTGTTTTTAGCACATAAATTCAACTATATGTCAATAAATAATGGTTTTTGATATATTTTGTTATTATTTCTAATAGCGCGATCAGGTGTGCCATTATCAGAGTAGATTATGCTCAAAATATGACAAACCCTCTTTTTGATATATTTTTTTTTTCATTCGTTATTTGATAATGCAATTTTTTGTCGGAATTTGTGGCACCAACATTCTAGTAATCGCAAAACATATTATTATCTTTTCGGTACAATGAATTTAAAAATTTCTTTAATCAATTGCCGAGCTGACAACAAAGAAAATTCACAATTTTAAATAATATACTTTTGTATTTTACCATTAAAGATAAAGCCTCTAGTTTGGTGTAATTTTATTTATTTAAATAAAATTCTAATATTAGTGTAATAATAAATTTCTCGTCTTTTAATAAGTCAAAATAAAGATTTGTTCAATTTAATATTTTGCATCTGGTAAACACAATGAAAAGACCCTTACAAAGGTTTGCAACAATAGTCCAACCCACATATTGGTCTTGCTAAAATTAAACGGTCTTGGTCTTGGTCTTGATCTTGCAAAAACGCAAGAACAAGACCAAGACTGCAAAACCAAGACCGATTTTGGGCAACACTAATTGCATTTACAAATATGTTAAAATACGTAAGTACACGTTGTAAATAGTGCATAGGCATAATCCATTAATATGGTTTAAAAAAAATGTATATCTACCACAAATTAATATAAAAAGATCGTACAAAGGAATTAAAAAATAAAACAAACAAAAAATCAAAAAACAAAAAATATACAGAAAACAAAAATAAAACAATTTAAGTTTATATGTCTATAAATATAATATTAGGTATATGTAGTAATAACATTCTGATAATAAGACCTAGTCTGGCTAATTGACTCTGGCAAAGCCGTTTATCAGAAAAAAAATGTAGTATAAATCTTCGGATTTTTACTTTTTGCCTTAAGTCTGAAAGTATTTTTGCTGGTCTAATAAATGTTGACTTATACTTCCATTGCTAAGATAATAAATAATTGCGGCAATGTGAGCACCCTTTTTTTTTTCGAAAAAACACATTTTTGCGTTGGCGGTCCACTGTGGACACCTAGGGAGCTAAAAATTTAGCTACATTGGTTTTTAAATATATACTTTCGACTGCCTGATTCCAAATAGGAATCCAGCCAAGGGTAGATTTTACTATCTTATCCCGCTACAGCCTAGGTATATGAGCCTTATTTGTGGTATCAAATATTTAACAACTTTTTTATTATATCATCAATTTATATTTGGAAACAAATTCAGTTATATAAACTTACGGTCTAGGTTGTCTTTGATACACTAAATCAAAACTATCATAGTCTTCAACTTTGGCTGGTTTTTGTTTATCCGATTCTTTGACATTAATAAAGATTCCACTTTTGGGTTTTTTTACTTCTAGTCCTTCTTCATCAGGTCGTTCCGGAGAAAAAGGTTCTATGCTCGGTGATGGAGTTGCTCGTCGAAGAGCCACTTTTGCCGAACTAGGTTCTGGTGAAGGAACAGCAAGCTAAAAAATCATAATACGATATTATTAGTAGGTAATATTGCAGTAGAATCTTAATAGTGATAATGACAAGGTTGGTAGTAGTTCTTAAAAAAATCTTTTTTTAATAGTTAAATAAATTTAAAGAACTTTAAAAATCAGAAAACTTAATAATAGTAGTCTGTAAAGATCCAATAAGATGTAAACTAGACATCGATGGAGTTGACGATAAACAAGAAATGGAAATAAAGTAACTAGGGATTACAATGTACAGCTATGGAGACGTTGAAAAATAAGTGAGAGATCAAGTACAAAGAGCAAATAGATTGGGAGGATGCCTTAGTAACATTATATGGCGTAAGCCGACATATTAACTGTGAGATGAAATCAATAATCTATAAGACCAGTAGAAGACCAATAATTATGTACGCGTCAGAAACAAACCCAACACAGTCAAAATACAGAGAATGCTAGAAACAACACATATATGAAGAATTCAGAAGAATCACAGACAATACATTGAAAGACCGAAGAAGGAGTAACGGATTCTAACAAAATGTAATGTACAGGTGATAAAGGAGTGGACAATAAATATAAAAGTGGTACAGTAGGTGGTATTGTAGACTAGCGCGAAGGTTCATATTATGTTTTTTGTACTACTTATTTTTTTATCTGTAAAGAGGATTTCGTTGTAATGCTCTTGACCAGCTTTACCAAACAACGACAACAGGCGTCTTGATTTTTTTTTTATTTTTTCCTAATGCAACGATGTCTTGTTTATCGAATGAAAACCCTTAGTCCCAAATCATGTTTGATAATGTAACTTGGGTTTTCGGCGTAATATTCATTTTCCGAGCAATAACTTTCTGTTTTTGGAAAGGATTTTTATTTTTTTTTAAACAGAGTTGATAACTACCGGCCACGATCACTTACTTCTCTCGCATCCCAAATATATTTAACAGTATAAAACATAAAAAACACGTGCAATATTAACCGATTTTAGCAATTTAAAAATACGAGCTCTTTCTATTCCACACTTATAAAGAGCAATGACAGCAATACTGTTCTCTTTGTCTACCAACTCTATGGAACGGCTCAAAGTGGACTGATATGTTTTGTAGTGTCCACGTCAACGGTTATTAATGTCAACATAACTTTGAGCTGCATTCAGTTTGTTAGTTGTACAAGCCACGTTAACACTTGTATTAATATTTATGGTAGGACTATGTAGTGAACAATCAATTTATACATATACATTCTTTGTGTTCAAAGCAATTTTATGAGCTAAATTTGATGACGTGATCGATTTTGAACGTATAATTGTATCCTTATGAAGTATTTAATAGGAAGAAGTTTTATAATTTTATGTAGAAGGCAATATGTCAAACTTTATAAAATGCTCAAGATTTCTAAAAGTGTGCAGAGGAGTAAAGTTTAAGAAAAAAAAACAGAAGTATTTTAAGCAATTTAAGGGAATTTACAGAAGATCTAAATTAGGTCATATTGTATCAAGGTTTTCCATGTTTGGAATTAAATATAATTATGGCCAGTTTCTACCGTAATACTACGAGACTGATGTTTAGCCATTAACGCCCAAATTTTTTTTTCAAATTTTAAAATTTGACTTATACATAATTATCAGTAATATTGTTCTTAATATGGAAATGTTTATAAAATTGTTTTACATAATTTGCATTTTTGAATTTTGACCCGCACTAAAAATAGATCAATGGACGTTAATGTTAGTGATTTGGCTTTACAATTTTCTCCTGGCCATCGTCACTGCTCTCTACGTTTCTCCATGAAGTGTTCTTTCCTATCGAATTTAATGTTCTTAAATACTATAGTTTAGATGTTAATGTTCTCGATCTTGCTGCTATATTTTTTATACTAAAAGTTAAATTTAGGTAGTGAACTGCTACAGATCGACGACAATCTAATCTAGTATCTTTGTAGTTTGTAGACAGTATTTTCTATATTTATTTAGTTAGCCCAATCAGTTTGGATTTGTGAACGCCATTGGTACGAGAAAAGCTTTATTTAGCGTGCAGGTATTGTTTCAGAAATGTAGAGATGTCAGCTGTGCTGTTTTTGTCTGCCTGATTGACTACAAGAAGGTTTTCGATAGAGTCAGGCATGAACAAATGATAGAAGTGCTTAAGAGGACAGGGATTGACGGAAGAGACCTAAAAATAATAGATTACTTGTATTGGAATCAATCAGCGGTGCTCCGAATAGATGGAGAATATACAGATCAGGTCAAAATCTTAAGGGGAGTAAGACAGGGCTACATAATTTCACCACTGATATTCAATCTGTACTCGGAGCACATTTTTAAAGAGGCTCTAAAAGATATTGATGAAGGCATCTTAATAAATGGAGTCAAGCTCAATAAACTACAGATGATACAATAGTGTTTTCCAATACCATAGAAGGGCTGTAAAACTTAATGAACAAAATAACGGAAACAAGTAGAACATATAGACTGGATATAAACACCAGTAAAACCAAGCTAATGATAATCAGCAAGAAAAATATAACTGAAGCAAATCTGTATGTAAACCAAATGAGAATTGAACGTGTTTCACAATACAACTACTTGGAAACTATAATCAGTGAGTCGTGGGACAATACCCAAGAGATGACATATCGCATCGGTAAGGCAAAAATAGCATTCTTAAATATAAGCTCTGTGTTCAAGAGCCATGACATTACCCTAGAAACAAAAATAAGGCTCCTTAAATGTTACGTGTACTCAGTGCTTCTGTACGGAGTAGAAACGTGGACATTGAAGGCGGAAACTCTATCAAAACTTCAGGCTTTTGAGCTATGGTTATACAGAAGGATCTTGAAGATACCATGGACAGACAAAGTCACCAATGAAGAAGTACTACGGAGGATGAACACAACCGCGGATTTGGTCAACATCGTGAAGGCCGTAAGCTGCAGTACTTGGGACATATAATGAGAAATCAAGGCAGATATGAGCTACTCCAATGCATTTTGCAAGGTAAAATTAAAGGAAAAAGGGCCCCAGGACGAAGAAGAATATCCTGGCTTGCTAACCTGAGAGCATGGTATAGAAAGACCTCAACACAGCTATTCCGTATAGCAACCAACAAAGTCATCATAGCCAGAATGATCACCAAAGTTCGGGCCGGACAGACACCCTAAGAATAAAAATTTAGTTCATGGAACTTAATTTGTTTTTTGTTTATTAATATAGTTGCACCTCTGTATATTATCTTCTACCTTCGTATACTGATGTGACTTTAATGATAACATAAAAAAAGGAAGACAAAGTAAAAATATTGTAGATTTGGGACTAGGTGATAAAAGTAAAAGGGGAGACTACTTTAAAGAGTTTTGCAAAGAATATAATCTATGTATAATTATAACCTTTTTCAAACTGCCTATGCTCTTACTGACCGATACGTCTACTACTAACTATGGTAAAAATAATAAAATATCTTCTTCTTAACGTGCCCTATCCAGTCCCCTTGACGTTGGCGATTAACATGGCGAAACTGTCTCTGTCTCGAGCTATTCTAAATAGTTGCTCAGCTTTCTTTATTCCTGTATATATATATATATATATATATATATATATATATATATATATATATATATATAATAGTTATAAAATATCTACTAAACAGAATAGCAGAAAATACTGTAATTAGACTATTTGATCCCACCTTGGCAATTAAGTATAGAGAAGAACATTGTACAATTAAAAATGACGCAGTGTTATTACTATAATCAAAAGAAAGACTAAAAGAGAATATGTGTAAGTACCTCAGTATTTCTTGGTACATTAAGAAATTTAGTCCATTTTGTGAGAGAGTTCCCCTGTAGGAAAAATGTTTCTCCTTCGGTTTCTTTCCTGATTCTTGTTTAAAAATGCCCCCATTTCAACAAATCTGAAGGTATTAGATGAAATTTTGTGGCAGAAATTGTTTAAACAATTTTTTTAAACAAATTTACACAAATTTTAGATTTGTGTGTTTTTTCTCTAAATTTGGCAGTTTTAAATATGCATTTTCGAGACAAGAAAACTCCTCTGTAAATTATTATTTCGGAGGTTTCTAAGTGCCTAAAATTAACTTTAAACATTCAGTTTCAAGATTTTGAAGTGGAATCGGAGCCTATTACAATTAGATCCTTGTTTTTAATTGTAATATATAATTATGTAACAATAGTATATCATAAATTTCAAAAAATCAACTATGTTATTTTTTTATTACATAATTTTTCGCGTAAACTTAGGTATAATATGTATAAGTGCCAACATTAGTGCGGAGCTTCGATTGCTCTTCGGAATCTCGAAACTGAATGTTTAAACTTCAATTGAGGAACTTGGCAACCTCCAAAATTAAAATTTACATATTGGTTTTCAAGCCTCGAAAATACGTAATTTTCGCATTTTTCAGATTTTAAATCACTTATAAACCCCCTCTGTGGCTCAGTGGTAAGAGCGCCTACCTTTAAACCTAAAGGTCGTGAGTTCGAATCCCATCTGGGTAGAGAAATTTTTGTTTATTAAAAATTAATGAATGAAAATAATTTCTATCCATGTGCGATCGGTACTCACCGGAGGGACCGCAGACGTTCGGATACAATTAGCGTCTCTTAGCAAAGACAATGACGTCGACTTTGCTAAGTATCAAGACAATTACTCTACACATACACACACACTACACTAGGTACCTGACTGTACCATGCCAATGATCATAGTTGTCGAGGCATTAACTCAATAAAAAAAAATCACTTATAATTCGAAAACTGTCAACTATAACTGTCAACTTACAGACAAAAATGACAAGAGACCTTTTCCGGAGTAAAAATAGTACATTGTTTACCGGGTAGGAAAAGCTTAACATTCCTGGACGACTGTGAAGATTGCTAAGTCGAGGCGCAAGCCGAGACTTAGCAACACAGAGTCCAGGAATGTGGCTTTTCCTACGAGGTAAACATACTATTTTTCCGCAAATCGTTTAAAATTCGACAGATATTGATTGATTTAAAAAAAACGCGATAATTTTATTCCCAAATAAATGGTGCTTTGAAATTCCTAATAAAATTACTTGGGTTACTATGGAAACGTATTGAGGTTGAATTGTCAAACTTGACGCTTATAAATTTAATTGCTGGTGTTCTCGAAAGTAAAATGATAAGTGATGATGAAATTTCCATTCCTGGGACTCCTCCAGAGCTGGTTGAGGCAGTGAATACTGCTTCATTAGAATTATTGCCAAAGAAATCAAGAGAAAAGTACGAAAATGCATACAGAAAAACAACAACAAAAAACAACTGTACGGAAATATCATTTCCTTACAGTAAGGAAATGACATTTCCTTACAGTAAGGAAGTCCTGACTTTTTCTTCAAGATATTTTGACAGGAATGTCAAAAGATCCTGGCGATTTGCGGAAAATAGAGATTTTTGACATTTAAGTTAAAAAATTGTTTAAACAATTTCTGCCCAAAAACTTCGCCCAGGACCCCTCAGATTTGTTTAAAGAGGGCATTCTTACAAAAATCGGCAAAGAAACCCAATCATTTGGGAGCATCATTTGAGAACATTTTTCCTTTGGGACCGGTCTCACAACATAATTGTGGCTCTCGTCGTTGTAAACAAATATGAGGAGATGTTTTTAGAAATAAGTTAATCAAAAATTGCTTAAATATCGAGATTTTTTCCAATAACCTTCTTTTAACAAGAAAATATTTGATAGACACGTTCATTTGTCGGCAAATGTTGAGTTTTGAAATAATAAGTTTAGCAAGAATTATAACAATATGTTTTTATAAAATATAGACTTACCGTAATATCGATTTTTCTTTTTGATATGGGCCTGGGCATTAAGGCACTTGCATATTTACAATGATATCGATTTGTTAATGGTTTGTTATAGTATTCTTCTTTGCGTTTTAGAGGAGAAACGTATACACGTCTGCCTTCAACTGTTGGTGCCTCATAAACATATTTAAATCCTAGTCTGTGACTAAAAAAATTGTTTATATATTAGATATTAAAACAAATTATAACTATAATTATAAAAATAATATGTGACTAATTTCGTACTAGTCTCGGATAGAATAATATTATTCCAAATAAATACTCAACCATTTAAAACTAACATTTTCTTCTTAGTCGTTAACCTGATGCAGGTATCGTGATATCATGAAGCTATTAGCTAATTTTTCCAATGTTCCTCCACGTTTTTCTATCTTCTGCCATTCTAGCACATTCTGACAATGGAGCGCCAATGGTAGCAACAATATGGTCCGTGTATCGTGTGGGAGATCTACCTCTATTTCTTTTACCTTCTACTTTTAGCTGGATGGTAAGTTTTTCAAGACCATTTCTTCAAAGCACATGTCCAAAATAGCTTATTATTTGTTCTGATATTTGTGTTCTTAGTCTTGTCTTTATGTTTAGCTGGTCCAGTATGGATTCAATTGTTCTTCGGGCCACCCATGGTATTCTCAGCATTCGTCTCCAGCAGAACATCTCAAATACATTTATGAAAACTAACATACCTACCTCAACTCTATGCCCGACTGCAGAAAGAAAATATGATGATGAAGTCGAGAAGTTGTATGATCAATTCCAAGACATCTTACAGAAACTTAATAAACACGAAGTTTTATATATTATAGGCGACTTTACGCAAAAAATTGGGGAAGGTCGACAAGGTCAGAATGTAGGTCCTTATGTCTAGGACAACCTAACGATCGATGACAGAGATTGTATGAATTTTGTAAAGAAAACGATATGATCATTGCAAACACCTGGTACAAACTACCCAAGCGACTACTATACACTTGGAAAACCCCATTTGATGATGGCAATAACCCTGAGTCTTCAAGAAATCAAATCGACTATATACTTATAAATGAGCGTTTCCAAAATGCCGTCAAAAAAGTCACTACATATCCTGGGGCAGATATTGGATCTAATCATCAACCACTTGTAGCAGATATTAAACTAAGGTTAAAACGAATTCAGCGACAAAAACCAAAAACCAATGTACTTAACTTTGACGATATAAACATAATCATTAAAAAAGAATTTAACAATAGAATAAAAATCATCGGAGAACAACTAGAAGATCCAGAAGAACTAAGGAGTGAATTTAAAAACCAAGTTAACAAAATCTCCACAAACAATGATTTATAGAAAAAACTTTAAGAAAAATAAATGGATGACAGACGACATCTTGAAATTAATGGAACAACGTCGACTGATAAAATCTAATGTAACAGAATATAGACACCTGCAGAGAAGAATAAAAAAGGAGATCAAATTAGCAAAATGGATGAGAGAAAGGTGCGACGAAATGGAGGATGTAATATCTAAACACGTCTTATTTAATGTGCACAAAAAACTAAAAGAAATGAGTAACATATTTAAAAAACGAGTTCCCTCTGTACGCGTTGACAATAATAATAAAATTATTGTAAATGAGCACGAAATAAGAAAAGAATGGCAGCTGTATATATCAGAGTTGTTTGAAGATGACAGGAATAATATTGCCGAATTTACCAAAACTGTACTGACGGCCCAGAAATTATGAAATGCGAGGTAGAACACGCTATAAATAATGCTAAAATTAGAAAAGCTTGTGGTCTAGATGATACACCAACTAAGTTGCTGAAACTAATAGAGAATGATAACATAAAAGTACATCAAACATTGTTCAATGTTTACTCCGACAAGTTATTTAAAGAGGCACTTGAGAGACAACCATATGGAATCAAAATCAACGGGGAACTACTTAATGTGATTAGATATGCAGACGATATAGTAATTCTATCATCAGATAATATTGAAGGTCTTCAAATTCTTCTTGATCGAATTCACGAGGTAGGAGAGGAAATGGGCATTAAAATAAACTCAACCAAAACAAAATTTTTAGTGTTTAGACGTGACCCACATCCCGATGCAAAGCTTCAATTAAACGGAGTCCAAGTTGAGAAAGTTCACAAAATGACATATTTGGGAACTGTGATAACGGACCAACTAGTTTTAGACATAGAAATAAAACGTAGAATAGCAATGACTAAAACTACTTTTATAAAAATGAAGTCATTTCTTTGCAATAACCATCTCAGTCTAGAACTAACGCAAAGAATGGTTAAGTGCTATGTTTGGTCCGTACTTTTGTATAGTGCAGAAGTGTGGACGCTAAAAGTATCGATCATGAACAAAATTGAAGATTGGAAATGTGAGTTCATAGACGAATGCTGAAGATACCTTGGACAACAAGGAAAACTAATGAAGAAGTACTAAGGAGCGTCAACAAAGATAGAGAACTGCTAAAGACTGTTAAACATCAAAAAATGTCTTATTTAGGACATATAGTAAGGGGAAGTCGATATAAAATATTACAACTGATCCTTAAAGGCAAAATAGACGGCCGTAGAGGTGTAGGAAGAAAACAAGTTTCTCGGTTAAAAAACATTCGTGAATGGACTCAGATACCAAATGCAGCACAATTATTTCATATTGCAGAAGATCGAGAAGCCTTCGCAATGGTGATTGTCAACGTCAGATAATTCTGATATGGCAGGCGAAGAATAAGAATTTTAAAACGAATCAGCAAGCAAGCTATTTAATTGAACCCAGCCTAAGAGACTTGAACACGCCTTGACAGGTCAGCTGTTACAATTTATTGGAGCGAAGTGTAGTAATTCGTGTAAAAACAGGAACAGGAAAAAAATAGGGCTGGGCTAGTAAACAAAACCAAAAAGCAAAAACCTGGACCTGAGCGAAAGTACTTAATAAAACTTTCCAATACTTGCTGCATTCTTAAAAACAAAACAAATTGAAAGTGTACCAGGATCTGCTGAAAGGAGCACCTAATGGTTAAAAAACGGATTCGTTGAAGAAAAGCAAAAGCATTTTAAGAGTACGTGAAAAAGTATGTTCCTCATTCTGTTGGTCTTTGCTTTGATCTTCAACAAATGTAGCCACTACCGTAAAGTCCAATTCAAGACGTTTATTACGTGAGACCATTTGGATTTTCTAACTTTTGTATTATTGATCTAAAAACTCAAAACCCCATGTTCCACCCATGTTCTACACTTCGACAGAGTAGGCAGAAAACGATAGTGTGGAAATATCGTCGTTTCTCTTTAATTATTTGACAGTAGCTGATTTTCAGGGCTGTTCTGTACTAACTTTGTTTAGCCATAGTGGAGTTTCTCTTCTACAGTGATACAGGCAATGTAAGAGCACAAGGAGAAGATTGGCCACCATTTGATACTTAGAAGCTAAATGAATACTATAAGGACATCCTATTAATTATGGAACTAAAAAGAATTGAACTACTCTACTAGAGTACCAAAATAATTTTTTTTTGGTATGAGGCTTAAAAAACGACAGGTATGAACGAGAAAAGTCTCTTGTAAAGAAGAAGAAAGAATCTTAGACAATAATGAGACTGGAAGAACTCTTTCATCATGTGTTAACCAAAAAAAGACCAAAGATAATAACAAACTTTAAAAAAAATGTGTAGAGAATCTACTTCTGATCCACGCCTTAAGAGTTTTATTTTTAATGAACCCACTACAGCTGCTGGTGAGGAGCAGAAAGAAATTGTGTGACTACCTTGATGATGAGTGCTGTGACTTTCATATTCAAAAAACTATTTGTTTGTTGCGTTAACTACCGATTATGACAATGTTTGTCACTTAGGTAAGGCCTATATTATAATTTTATATAAATAAAAGTTTAGTTAGAAAACCACTGTTCCTTTATTTTATGCTTTATTACTGTATTTACATGCAAACCTACTTATTTCCACTGAGTTACTAAAAAGGTCTTATAACCAAAACAAAATCAATGTTTTAAACTATTTTTAGTTTACCTAACTGAAATGAGTGTTTTACTGTCATATTTGGGACCAATAACATTGCATTACATTGATTAGAACTAACAAAAAGTTTCAATCTTTGTAAGTAGGTATGTATATTAAAAAAAAACCCTTAAAAGGGCTACATCAAAATAACAAACATTTTCGGAATAATAATTCCACCATCAGGTTAAAAGCAGGTTAACATGCCTGAGCCACCACAATATTAGGGTAAAGCCCTTTACAGTAATTACAGTTGCCAAAAATTGTTGTTAAAATTGAATGATGTTTAATATTTTATTAGACGCTGGTACTCACGTGAGGCATGGTTATATGTTGCCTGAAGTAAAATCTAATAAAATATTAAACATCATTCATTTTTAACAACAATATGCACATTTTTTGGTAACTTTAATTACTGTAAAGGGTTTTACCCTAATATTTTGGTGGCTCAGGCATGTTAACCTGCTTTTAACCTGATGATGGAATTATTATTCCGAAAACGTTTGTTATTTTGATGTAGCCCTTTAAGGGTTTTTTAAATATACCTACTTACAAAGATTTAAACCTCTTTTTGTGATACATGGTATACAGCCAGCTGCAGGAATTTATTTTCCTTATGGATTTTGATTAGAACTATTTTACATTGATTAGAATAGTTATCCTTTTTCAGAGTAAAGTTATAAATTTTTCGCTCGACCTACTTATTTCTGACTTAAGCTTGTTTGCATTTTACCTTCTTAATTATTACTCATCAAGACTAGGAATGACTTTCAAATTTTTGCCCGTCGGCGCTGAAAGCAGACAGATAAAGTGTTTGGAGAGAAAGATATGGACGGCGGCACTCAACTACGTCATTTTGAAACGTAGTTTATAGGTTGAGTTTACTTATTCTACCAAGATAATTTTCGGTATTTCATGAATCCAGACTATCGGTCTTTAATAGAATGCGCAAACTCTTTTGCAATCGTGATATCAATATAAAGTTACGAATACGAATGCTGCGGTGTTATGTCTTTTCTACCCTGTTATATGGAGTTGAGGCTTGGACACTAAAACAGTTGACCATAAAAAACATCGAAGCTTTCGAGATGTGGTGCTATAGGCGCATTCTCAGAATATCATGGATGGATCGCGTCACTAACACGCAAGTACTCCAAACTTTAGACAAAAGATGCGAAATTCTAAATGAGATAAAAACTAGAAAGATGGAATACTTGGGGCACATTGTGAGAGGTGAAAAGTACGAACTTTTAAGAAACATCATGCAGGGCAAAATTAAGGGCAAAAGAAGTGTGGGAAGAAGAAAAATATCGTGGCTTCGTAATCTACGTGAATGGTTCGGGTGTAGTTCGATTGAACTTTTCAGGCGCGCTGCTAACAAAGTCGCAGTGGCCATGATGATTTCCAATCTCCGCTAGGAGTGGCACGAGAAGAAGAAGAAGACTATCGGTAACTGATAGGAAATAAAAAATATGATCGGTGATGAATGTGGATGACCATTCATATCAAGTTACCTTATAGTGGGCTCAATTTTAGTACTAACTTCACTTTCTTTGTTACATATACAAGGAGGAGTACAAGGCTTCTTTTTAATTGTACCTTTTTCTTTCTTCTTTGCTATTTGAACCGGATCACCTGTTTCTGGGGTCTTAGGCCGTCTAAGTAAAGTAGGTCTAGGTAAACTAAAAAAAGAATTATTGTAAAAGTCCTAGTTATATAAAAAATATATGAGATATAACAACTGTAGAAATTAATTACTCGGTGATGTCTTCATCATCTTTATCATCATCACTGTGTTTTTCTTCCAAAACCGGTTTTTTTTGCCTGTTCGTCAACCATAATCAACAAATAATTTGGTCATATATAATAAAAAAATCTTTTTTAGCTCAAAATATAAAATAAATTTTGATTAACGAAATTTATGTCACTGTCATTCACAATTAATTGTACATGTCAAATAGTTTTGCGTGTTTTAAAATTTAAGTGAACATTTTATCAGAATTATGAGGTATTTATGTATTTATAAAACTTAGTATGATTGTTATACAATTATATATTTTTTCTTTTTGTTATTAGTCTTAAATTTTCATGCATTCCATGATTTTTTTATTCCCTTCAGAAATATATATTTGAGCGTCATTTGATACTCATAACACAGTATTTCCCATTTCTTTGTCTATTAGTATTTCCCTAAAATAATATTTTATCTTTCCATTTTATCGTTAATGTATATTAGTGGTGCGCCATCTTTGCTTTCAAGAAATATTCAAAAATTCCTCTAATTAAGCAAAAAAATACCCTGGGGCTAATGCAGCCATAAATCATAATCCTGACTAGAACTAACTGCACGTTGTATTATGAATCAAATACAACGTTCATTTTGGGACACTATCCCAAAAAATAAGCTAGAAAATAAAGATAAATATTATTGATCCAAAAGAAGATTCGAACGGAAAATCGGAAACAATTAAAAACTATACTGAATGCAACGAATAGATCTCACAAAAAAATTATGGATGAATAATAAGATACTGCAATTAATGGAAAGCAGTAGACTCTACAGGTACATAGATATCGAAAAGTAAAAAGGCATATATAGTGTAATTAGAAAGAGAATAAGAAAAGCCAAGGAAAAATGGTACTTAAAGAAGTGTAAGGAAATACTATTGGAAGTGCTATTGGAAAAGCATGATGTCTTCAATCTATATATGAAGGTAAAAGAACTAATGGGCATCCAAAAAACAAACACTGTACCACTTGTAAACAAGGTCAAATTATTCTTGACAAAAACAAGAAAATAGAAAGATGAAAACAATACCTACAGGATCATTTAGAGATTAGAGGCAAAGAGAATAGTAAAATTGACCAAATATAATAAAGCTACAGGTCATGACGACCTGCAGCTTTATGATTATATATATATATATATATATATATATATATATATATAATATATATATATATATATATATATATATATACTAAAATACGGGTAAAACACAGGAGATACAGTTTCTGTTTAAAGTATACCATATGCTAGGATGACAAGGACAAGTTGGACCGCTTGTATATCCATTGTAAATACAATGGATATATTGTATTTGCAATGGACACTTTTCCTTCCAACGCATATTCTTTATCTTTCATTTTTTCCTTTCTAGCGAGACCTTTTTGGCTAATGTGTTAATCCTAATCTTCTTGCTCTATATTGCTCAGTATATCGAAAAAACATAAGTCACACCGGTCCTACCTTGGATGATACATATCAATGTTTGTCTTTTTCATTTTCTTTAAGAAAACATCATATCCGACAGCAGAATGTAGTTCTTATTTTTTGTATACGTCTTGCACTTTCTTATATGATTAAAAAGTTGTTTCTTAACCCTTTCACTACGCATGGCACGGATCCGTGCTAGACTGAGTTTTCAGACAGTGCGCGTGGCACGGATCCATGACATATGCACATTATCACATTTCCTTGCCAGTAGGAACTGAGCTCTAGTTCAAGGTAGACTTACGTTGACGAGCGTGTAGCGTACATATCAGGACTTCTAAAAAGTTCGTTGGTTTCGGATTTTGTTTTTTGTAGATAGAGGACTATGGATAATAGGAATGCAGGGCCGTCGGGTTCTGCTCGACAAAAAATTCACTGATAAGGAACTATTACAACTATTGGAAGAATCGAGTGATGATGAAACATATTTTTTCTTCAAACGTCAAATAATGATGATATTACTTATCTAACTTGATCCTGTCAAAGTTTGATGTCTCCGCCGGCAGCAGTTTTTTTCCCATTTCTTTACGGCGGAGGGAAAAATGTTGAAAAATTAAACATCATTTTTATTTATAGTAATATTAAAAATACAATTAGTTAATGAGGCAGTTTCAAAATTAAAACCGTGCAAAAATGTTCCCGACTCTTGATATGCATTGGTAGTTGTTGATGATACTGATGGTCGAGAACAACTTTCAGTAATCATTCCCGATGTTGGCGAATCATGAGGGTTTAAAATTTTTTGAGAATTATCGTTCTTATTTCTTATTGAATCCTCTATATATTCTTCGGCAACCGTGCTTGATTTCCAGCCCCCATGTCGTTTGAGGCATGCTAGATTTCCGCCTCCATCAATTAAAAGTGTTGCTAAAGTTCGTCGTAAAGAGTGACCCGTGTATGCGCTGCATCGTTTAAATTTAAATAACTAGCTACGTTTTGGTACTTGATAAAACACTTTCCATTTTGGTACTTGATAAAAAATCGGTTTTCTTTTCTGTGAAATTTTCAGGCCGCAGTGATGCATACTTTTTATACAGTTTCGCTACCATTGTATGTAGCTTCTTCAGGAGAACAAAGAAAAAGAAATCAAAAGACAGGAAGATGGGTAGTTAGCAACGGTAACTCAGTTACTCAACGCAACCAGAGGCGAATACTAACTACCAAGATGGGCATTTGGTCACAGTAACTCAACTACTTAACGCAGCCAGAGGTGAAAACCAAATGCCAGGACAGGGATTCACGTCCAACAGCTCAGAACACTAACGCGTCGAGAGGCGGGGAGTGAATCCGACGATTACTCCGCTACCGCTCTATTTATAGTCGCGGTGACCTGTCGTGTCGGGACGTATCGGCACACTCCGTGGCGCGAACGTCAAGAAGCGCGCGCTGGCCAATCATGTGGCTGCATCGTGGTAGCGGGACCGGACGGCGGCTCTAGACTGAGATTCCAGATGGGAGACAAGTAGTATCCTTCCTCTCGATTGATATTATGTGGATTTTTTCGGATCTCTAGAGATTCGCGGATTTTCCTGGAATAAAAGAAGGGGCTCTTAGAAATAATATGGGTTTTTTCGAACAATATGGAATGACCGGTTTCTTGGCAGTGTTCTGCAATTGCAGAATGGGAGAAAAGACCTGATCGAATGCATCTTTGGCCCCATGGTCAACATACCCTTTCTCCCTTCCTAGATCATCTTAACTCACAACATCCGAGTATAAAATTCACAATGGTAGTAGAAAATAATCGGTCCCTTCCCTTTCTCGATGTGTTAGTCACCTCCAAGCCCAATGGCCGATTGGGTCACTCTGTTTATAGAAAAAAAACTCACACGAATCGTTACCTACATGCTTCATCACACCACCATCCTGCCCAAAAGAATTCTGTGATCAACTCTCTCATCCATCGGGCCATTTCGATTTCTGAACCTGACAACCTTAGAGAAGAACTTGGCCATCTGCAAAAAACCCTTGTCGCCAACGGTTACTCCAAGTCCACAATTCAAAATATTACACACCGACATCTACATCCCCCTTTACACCCTAGGACGACAAATTCAGAATCTTCGGGTAATACTCCTGTGGCTTTTCTTCCGTATATTCGAAGTGTCACTGATAGGATTTCACTGGTGTCTATTCTATTCCTTGTTCATGTGGACATGTGTATATTGGCGAAACTGGTCGTTCCGTCAAAACTCGGATTCAAGAGCATCAAAGATGCATTCGATCAGGTCTTTTCTCCCATTCTGCAGTGCAGAAATGCAAGAACCGGTCATTCCATATTGTTCGAAAAAACCCATATTATTTCTAAGAGCCCCTTCTTTTATTCCAGGAAAATCCGCGAATCTCTAGAGATCCGAAAAAATCCACATAATATCAATCGAGAGGAAGGATACTACTTGTCTCCCATCTGGAATCTCAGTCTAGAGCCGCCGTCCGGTCCCGCTACCACGATGCAGCCACATGATTGGCCAGCGCGCGCTTCTTGACGTTCGCGCCACGGAGTGTGCCGATACGTCCCGACACGACAGGTCACCGCGACTATAAATAGAGCGGTAGCGGAGTAATCGTCGGATTCACTCCCCGCCTCTCGACGCGTTAGTGTTCTGAGCTGTTGGACGTGAATCCCTGTCCTGGCATTTGGTTTTCACCTCTGGCTGCGTTAAGTAGTTGAGTTACTGTGACCAAATGCCCATCTTGGTAGTTAGTATTCGCCTCTGGTTGCGTTGAGTAACTGAGTTACCGTTGCTAACTACCCATCTTCCTGTCTTTTGATTTCTTTTTCTTTGTTCTCCTGAAGAAGCTACATACAATTGTAGCGAAACGTCGAGATGAACCCACTTTTGGGTCACTCACAAATGACACGGTCCAAACCCGGAAGACGAATAAACTATAATCCAGTTTAATGTAGTTTTGACCAATTATCGTAAAAGATCTAATTTATCGTATTTTACTGTCTGGGATTTTGATAATTATTACATTTTCCTTATCCCCAATGTCCACAGTCTTCATTTTTACTATTTCGTCGCATCGACAGGCGCCGGTAACCCCAATTAACAAAACAATCTGAAATATTTTTATAATTTAGTAGAGTATACTACATGCTTTGCAATATAATTTTTTTACCTTTAATCCTAAATACAACTTATCTGGCGCTTCAAACAAAAATTTATCAAACTCGTCTTAAGTGAAAACTTTAGGCTTCTTTGCAGTATATCCTTCGCTTGTTTTTTTCAGAAAGGCACGTTACTTTAAAAATTTGCTTATATCCACATTTTTTGTAATAACTAACTCAGATTTTATCATAGAGTATCGTGACCACATTGTAGAAGATTTCCATTTATTTTCATTTTCCATTATATTAAAATATGCCAGTAAAACGTCTTCGGTAACTTGCCGTACTCATCTTGTATCGCACCACTCTTGGAAGTGCTTGTACGCCAACCGATACTTTATTCCGGACTTGGAGGGCCCCAAACGTGCTACTGCATCACTAGCCGCGGACTCAATTTCGTTTAGGTTTTCCATTTTCGCACTAAATTTGCGCTTGCGGTTGCAACAACAATAAGCTTTCTTTAATATTAGCAAACAACTGTCACAAGAGACAGAAAATGTTAACATTTATTAGATTAGTGTTACACACAGGTATAATACGGTTGAATCGCCTCCAAGATTATTGGAAAAGCCACTTATTATTTAATTTGAATTGTTTTTGACAGCACATGAGTCATGATCGATTTTTGCTGATAATGAGGTGTTTACATTTTAATAGAAACATACCCCGACAAGTAGCCCAGGATCGATTATATAAAATAAGACCAATTATAAATTTTTTAACAACAAGATGTCTGTCCTCTACTACCTTGGAAAAAATTATATCACTCGATGAATCCATGGTGGTATGGCAAGGTCGTTAGGCCGTATGTAAAGAACAAATGACATAAGTACGGAATTAAATTATATATGTTAAAAGAAGTGGGTGGTACAATACTGAAAACTTTGGTATATGCCGGGGCTTCGGATAGTATTAGAGGAGAAAGTCATACTACAAAGGTGGTTTTGCAACTTCTGAAAAACTATTTAGATGCTGGCTATTCTATATACTTAGACAATTTCTATAACTCTTTTGACCTAGCCAACCAGCTTACTAAGCACAAGACTTCTTGCACTGGAACGCTGAATTCAAAAAGAATTAATAATCCCACGAAACTTATTTCTAAAAAACTTGGGTGAAGGGTGAAACATATGCAGTGTATTCTCAAAGCCTGTTGGTTGGCAAATGGAGAGACCAAAGAGATGTTCTATATTTGAGAAGACATTGTACCAAAACAAAACCTAAACCAATTTTTCATTACAATAAGCAGATGGGTGGAGTAGACTACCAGGACCAAATGAATGCATATTATCATTGTGACAAAAAAAATTAACGTGGTACAAAAAATTAGGAATCCATTTCATACAACTTACTTTCCTCAATGCCTTTTTCCTTTTCAATGATTTCCGACCAGCTGTTATATCGAAACTATTAAAAATTGTAAAAGTACCTAATACTAAAGCTGCCCGGACCAATAACCCAACATCATATAAACTGACAAAAATTACATCTGCGAAGAAAAAAGGTGAAACAAACAGAAAACGTTGTAGATTTTGTTCCCAAAAAATATTTTTTGGAAAATGACATTGTACCATTGTGCAGGATATTCTGAACAACCTGGATATTGTGTGGGAGATTGCTTCGATGTTACCTATAAAGACATTTTTACGATTTTTGTTTTAGATTGTTCTTTTTCGTTTTATGTTTTTTATTGTATTAGTTTATTTTATTTTGTACTTTGTTGCAACACAAATATTTTTCTGTTATTGGTATTTTATTGGGAAAGTACATTATTCTTATTTTTTTATTTTAATCTTGGAGTTCAAATATTTTATTTACTGATTATTAACAAAATAAAGATTTTCTTGGCATCCTTTAAAGTTTCTTCTACATAAATTTTGGCTTGAACCACTCATAACAATTCATTTGTCACGGGTCCGTGCCGACGAGCCCTGCATAGAAAATTTTCTGACCAATGCGCATGGCGCAGATCCGTGACATATGTCAAAATTGACACCTAAGTAATAATTTTACATCCCTTAATCAAAAAAAAGATTTTTTCAATATTTTTTTTTTTATTTTTTACAACAACAAATAGCCGCTTCTGGGCATGTCTTAAATCAAAATGTAGCAGTGAAAGAGTAAATAAAATTTACTCTTGATAAACAGCAATAATGAAAGGGTTAAACTTTTAATTTAGTACATATTCGTTTATTATTAGTTTCATTTGACATTTGACAGTACCTAGTGATACAATTATATTTATAATAATAATGTAGTAGCTTAAGTTAAGTAAAGTAAGTTTTTTTACTAGTAATTACCGATTTTCATATGTTCTGAGATTCCAGTCCCGAGTTATAGCGCTCCCTAGGGGAACGCGCCCCAAAGGTTTAGAAACGCTATTATACCTTAATCTTTAAATATTTAATTACTTATTTTTGTTTTTTAAATTTCTTAGGACGAAAAAAAGGAGAGTAGTAAAAATTGATTATCCTCCCTTAACAACTAGAAAGTGGATTCCTCCAGAAGAAAGACCAAAAAGACGTAAAAAGCCTCCTGCCTATATAAAACCGGAAGGTATTGATCAAAAATTAAAAATCTCTAGTCTTAGAAAGATTTGGCATCAGTTTGTATACTATGACAAAACGGCTATTTTATTGGGACACTACGGTCAGACAGCAAAGAAATATTATGATAAAACTAGAGGATTACAAGGTAAGAATAAAATATATATTTTTAAAAGGTAGCAAGCATACTGTCATCGTTTGTCCAAAATTGAAACATGTGTTTTCTTCTTATCATTCTTAATCCCATATTATTTTTAAGCATTGGACTAGAACTCTATCGATTTTGTTATTCTATTGCTTCTTGTTTTAGCTTCACTTCTGCCTTGAAACCTTTAAGGTTTTAATTTAGTTACATCTTCTTACCAGCTTTTTTATATTCTCTAGTATATTTTTCTTTCCTCTGGGTATGTTTGTTTCTTGTTTTTCCCATATGGTTTTTCCTGTCATTGTTCTAAAATAAATCATCTCGATGGCGTATATTTTGGACTTAAATATTACTACCTAAATCGTGTAATTTTTTATTTCAGGTTCCTGCAATTGTGCCGTAGCTTGTGTTTTTGCGTACTTGTTTCCAATGGATACCTGGAATTCGTCAACGATCGACAGAATTTTAGATATAGGTGACAATTTGTATGTTAAAAGTATTCAACAGGATCCAGATCGATGTTTAATCTACGTAACAACAAATAAAATTCATCCTTCGATATTTTTGGATCGGGACAAAATCACATTCGATATAGATTGCAAGAACCGTATAGAGGAAAAGTTAGTATCACGAATTAAACGGTGATTTTTTTATAGACTATTTCTTCTAAAAAAGCATCTTTTTTCTACAATACATCCCAGCTTACGAAGCATTTTTCGTCTTGGGGTGTTGTACCCGCTAAGCGGACATTGGCTGTCATATTAATGATTATCATTATTTTCAACTGCTACTTTTTAACAATTTTTGAAGGTTTTATGTTCTTTTTATTTCTGGCCGTCATCTTCCTAATATTTTTCGTTACATCACCGGATGTAATAAACTGCGCTTTTCCAGATCTAATTACATGCGCCAATACACTCACTGGTTTTAATGGCTTTTACGATTTTTTTTAATCTTTATTCATTCTAATTAATACATTACAATGATTACGCCAGTAAATGACCGTTTTGGAGTGTAATTTTCCTAGTCACGACGTATTTGCTTGAAAATTTAGATTAAGATTTAAATTCCTCTTTCCCTCTACTTCATTTTTGGCTCCCCCAAATAAAAGGCACAAGCCTTTACTTGGGGGGGGGGTGAAGCCCCATGCGAAAACATACATTTAAAATAAGTCCGGAATAGATAAATTGACTAATTTTAAGCAACTTATCTTATTAAGTTTTTTCACTTATTTAATACTTAATGACTTATTTGCAAGTGAAACTGTTCATTTTTCAGAATAAAACAAAGTGGAGTTCTTAGCAGAAATGTAGCTTATACAAAAATGATGCACTTACAAAGTCTGTAGGCCCAGTTATAAGCAGAGTTGTAGCTTCTGAAATATAGATTCTTATATGTTAAATTCCAAATCGAACATTTCAAGATACGGCTGTTCTAAGTTTGCATACACTCGTGATTAGTGACTCATTCAAGCCGTATCAATTACATCCTTTTCAAAAATAAGTGTTTAAGAAAATTAATTTAAATGATCTCATTGCCCTCAAAAGAACTTAAAAAATGGTTTTTTAAGTAACTCACAACTTAAAAGCTAACCTAGTTATGAGTAAAAACCAATCACATATTTTAGGAGATATCAAAACGCGTATACTCGTACTGGAGCATTATAATATACACATAATGTGTTATTAAGGTACATACATACTTTCACCAAGCCTTACAAACTGATATGGGTTGTTATTAATTCATAACACCGAATTTCTAATGAAATCAGTGGAGATAAGGTATTCAATATCATTATTTTAATTATAACTTATCTAGGGGGTGATATTGAGGGGTTAAACTGTAATAAACTCTTAAATTATGTTGCTTAATATTAATTAATATTTAATCACTTCAATAAAAGAATATTTGAATCAACTAGCTGCTTGAATTACCAATTATCAATTTGTTTCTAATAGGGGGAAAAAATTTCACCCCTAAAAAATTAAAAGCAACTAACTACACAAGACCAAAAATAACGGGGAAGTAAAACCTGAAATTTTCATGCAATTCGGTGGTGACACGCAAAATACACGGTATCGCCGTATTTCACGTTCATTTACTGGCCTAAATTTCGTTGCGTACACTCCAGAATTCCAGAATTCTTTAACGGCACCATGGCACCATGACATGGAACTATATGGCTTAGAATGACTTAATAGTTTTCAAAAAATCTTTGACATCTGTAATAGAGTACCCATGTAAAATATAGTTGACTGTTTCAGTTTTTCTGTCACAAGAAATCTGAATTTATCTCAGGTAATTTATCTTATCTCAAATAATAAAGGGAAAAATATGTTACAGATTTTAGATTTTATTTCTTTTATGATTCACACTAAAATTATTAACACGGGAGGTTTGCTAGTTGATAACATATAATCAAATAAACTAACTTCAAATACGTCAATCATAATGCAGAAATATAGTTTTGTTTTGTCCCTAGTTTAAAACAGTGACAAACCAAATAATTTGTTTTTTAATCACGAAAGTAGAAATGCGAAAATTTCTATTGATGAAACCAAAATTCAGATTTTTGCTTTAATCTATGTCTGCTATAAATTCTAAGGGAAAACAGACGATGCTAAACATGTAATAGAGATGCAAAAATCCTTGGCGAATTGGTTTGTTGTACTCATAAGGAGTAAACCAAAATAAAAAAAAGACAGTTAAGATTTGATTTTACGTACAGTGCCTCTGTATATTTGCTCATACGTATTTCATCCTATAGCAGGATTTCATCCTATATATACGTATTTCATCCTATATATATTATAGCAGGAATCATAAGAGCGACTGGTACAAAAACTCTAAAAGTGAAAACAAATATGTTCATTCAAAGGAAGTAACAATAAAATGGCTTCAACATGGACGCTATAGCGACATCTGATAATCAATGACAAGTATCGAGTAGAAATGCGAATAGTTATATTGATGAAACCAAAATTTAGATTTTTGCTTTAATATGTGCCTTCTATAAATTGCAAGGAAAAACAGACGATGCTAAAGATCGTAAGAGAGAAATATGGATAATCAAACAGTTGCATTCAACAACATATCTCCTTATTTCCATCTCCTCAATTTATTTTTAATTAAAAAACTGAATATTAGAATCGATTTTTGATCTGTAAATCGAAACAGGTGCAGGATTTAGTTTATAATACGATACTTATTGCCAATAATATATTAAAAAAAAACATCAGAAGTCAAAACTTGTTCGTTTTATTTTTATTTTAGTTTTTGACAAAACTGGTTACCTGGCCGTTAATATTATGTTTTTAAGTAATTAAACTTAATCAAAGCTTTGTTTGACATACTTTAATTTTGTATATAATTTAGATTTCATTCGGCTGCTGAAGATAAAATTAAGGAAACATTGAATGAAGCCGTCCAAAAATTTTTTAAACAATACCCGTCAGGTATAATCACGTTGCTTGGAAAATATTTGGCTGTATGGATCCAAGACCATGCATATTATTTATTTGATCCCACAGAACACACTGAAGATGGATACCCAGCTTACGGACTTCAGTGTCATGTTGCTTCACTGGAACAAAATTATCCACGATATCCATTAAAAGGTAATGCATTTCTTTACGTGTATTTAACTGTATTTTTCTGAATAATCTTAATGTTATAACGTTTATACACTGACGTATTTTGGTTTACTTTGTATACAGAATAATATATACTGTTTTAACATGATTTTAAAAAATATTTTTTGTTACGGCAATTTTAAAATGAACTACTTTTAAGTTGTTTTATGTATAAAAACTATTCTCTCTTACTCTCTCTATCTCTTACTATTAATGAATTTTTGTTTCAATTTGGTATTTTACACTAGTTTCGCATAAAAATGTAAATCGTAAAAGAAAATCATCAAGAATGGATTACAGATGAAATATATCAGACGGTGGAAGAGCGAAGGAAATTAAAAGGTACGTAGATATATCAATGAATCCAATAAGTTGCATAAGTATATACTACTGGAAATAAAAAGTGTAAAAGAATATACACACAACAAAATTTTTAAAAAAGAAGAAGTTAGTAAATTAATTACGGAAGCGTACATATAAGTTACCCAAGAAAACTGAAAAAATATATAAAATACATAATAGGAGAAGAAACGGACATGTGGAGACGCGACAACATAATGCATGATGATATTCAACCAATTACTATAAACATTGGTAGGACGGACAGTGATAGTGATTTAATTTGTAGTGACACGGACGAAGTAGTACGAACACTAACGTAAGTTACTGTGTTTAATTTATAATTAAAAAATATCTTCGGAAAAGCCAGTTGTAAGAAAGATGTGATTTCACATATAGTGCGTCTGTATATCCGCTTATACGTATTTCACCCTAAAAGGGATCTTCGGAGCTGCTATTCACAGAAGCTCTGAACGTGAAAACAAATATTTCCTGTCGTAGTAGAAGCAACACTAACAGGGCTCCGTATGGACGCATATAACGATATCTGATAATAAATTCGTAAACTAATTGTTCGAAACCAAATTCAGATTGCTGTTATAATATGTGCCTTCTAAAAACTGCAAGGCCAAACAGACGTTGATAAAAATGTAATTAGAGATATGGGGAATCTAAAATTACATTCCACAACATATCTCCTTAACTAGGAACAAGGAAAAGACAGTTAAGATTTGATTTCACGTATAGTGCGTCTGTATATTAGCTTATATGTATTTCACCTTAAAAGGGATCTTCGAATAGTTCCTATTTATTCATTATATTATAAGAAAAATGCAACAAACAACTTCCGTACAAATTTTATATATTGGCTACATATAAATAAAAAAATATTTATAGTTAAGATGTTATATTTTTATTAGTCAATTTTTTATTATTATTAGTCAATTTGTAAAACAATAATGTAACCTTGCAAGGGGTTTAATAAAAATGTTTTCGTTTGGTTAGACAGGCCATTCACGTTCCGACTTGTGGTCCCACTTAGTGTACACCTACATTGAAATCGTATTGCTCCCGATCCGACATCTTAAAAAGTCCTAAAAATCAAGGATTGAAAAAATTAATTAGTTCAGCCCTAGACAAATAACTAGAGAAACGAAACCTAATTTTTAAACATACATATCATAACATACAAGGATAAAAAGCACAATGCTGCCATTTTCCTCGTTCTAATTATATTTTGCGTAGTGTTTATTCGAAACATTTTACATTAAGATTTTTATATCTTGAATTTTTTTAACATAAAATAGTCTAAAAATGCAGGCCATTCACGTTCCGACTAGTGGTCCAACTTCTGCAGTTGGATCTGAAATCGGACCGTGAGTGGGCTAGTTGGATTAGTTGGACAACTAGTGGTACGACTAGTGGGACGACTTGAAGATCCGACTTCCGACTGGCGACGAAGTCGGAGCGTGAATGGTGAAGTTGGAAGTCGGATCACAGGTTGGATCGAAAATTTCCTCAGTCAGTTGACTTTCGGCACCTGTTACGTATGAGATTTCTATGAAATACTTTACGCAAAGATCTCTAGTTCGCAAATATTTATTAGAAAATAAACTTTCAATTGCACGAAAATTACCTTTTTGTTAGGGCAAATCATTTTCCTTTCTGTAGATCTATTTCGGACATTCCTATACAGGTAAATTTCCGATACTCCGGATTGGCTACGGAAGAATTATCAACATACAATGAAAATTAAATCATAGTTGTAGCAAAAGATCCCTAGTTCGCAAAAAAATAATAGAAAATAACTTTCAATTGCACGAACAATTATTCCTATTAAAAATATACGACACAACACACAACAAAATAAATCCCAGCTCCAGTTTAAAACAAATAAAATATAGATTTTATACCTATACAAATCTTTAAAAACTATAATTTTTTCCTACATCTTAAAAAGTCATAAAAATCAAGAGTTGAAAACATTAATTAGTTCAGCCCTAGACAAATACCTAGAGAAACTAAACCTAATTTTTAAATTATCATAACATACATATAAAGATAACAAGCACAGTGCTGTCATTTTTCTCCTCCTAATTATATTTTGCGTAGTGTTTATTCGATACATCCTAGAACTGAAGTTGGACCGCTAGTTGGATAGAAAGTCGGAGCGTGAGTGGAGACGAACATCCAACTAGTAGTCCTACTAAGTGGGACCACAAGTCGGAACGTGAATGGCCTGTTTAAAACTTCAACACTATAATTGTTTTTTTTTTTAACATATTTTTTTTGTTGACTGTTCACGAAAGAATTCAAAGAAAAAATAATTATTCAGTACCGTCAGAAAATTATGAATTGTTTGATGACCGTTGAGAAAACGAAGCAAATGAAAGTATTGGGCCAGTACTTGTAGAGGATTATCGCTGATAAATACAAAAGGAGGGTTTATTTATGATAATTAACAGAATGGGCGAAATATGGCAAACCTGCTTGCAATTTATAACCACACTGATTCTAACGTTTGAAACGCAGTATACAACCATATTATGCGTACACTATATACAGGGTGTTTCAAAAAGGTATGTCATAAATTAAATCACGCATTCCGGGGACAAAAATAAATTGATTGAATCCAACTTACCTTAGTACAAAAGTGTACACAAAAAAGTTACAGCCCTTTGAAGTTACAAAATAAAAATTGTTTTTTTTGCATTATCTCCTAAACTACTTGACATTTTGTAATAAAAATGGACACGTTACTTTCTTGTTCTGAAAGCATTTTTCATACAAAAGAAACAACAAAATCTAAGCGCACAGAAAAATTTAAGGGGGTGTGCAGCCCTAAATCCCCCCAAACTTTTGAGTACATTCAAATCAAATGAATTTTGTGGCATCATTAGTTTAACACATTATTTTTAAAACTTTTTTGCCTCTTATCACTTTTTCGAAAAACTAGTTTTTTCCTAGTTGGCATAAAATTACAATTAGTTTCTACGGATACAATAATTACAAACAGTTCCATCAATAATAGTCAATAATTTGAAGCTATCATTTATTGTGTGAATAAGATTAATATTAAAAATTTTGATATTACAATGGCCTACACATTTCAGGAAATGGCAGATATGCATTTAACTTTGGTAAGTTGGATCAGATTAAATTATGATTTCAATAAACTATCGGGAATATCGTAGGTGAATGTCAAGGAAATAGTGCAGCAGCCGCAAGGCGTTATGCAGTAAAATACCCCAATCGAAATACACCCGATAGACGATTATTTCTGACCATTGATCGTCGTTTACGGGAAACGGGTACATTCCAACTGCAAGTTGCTGGCAATAGTGGTCGTCCAATAATGGATGCAACTGATGAAGACATTTTAGAAATCATTGAAGAAGTCCCTGGAACAAGTACAAGGGTAATAGCTGCTCAACTAAATGTTCCTCGCGTAAGGATTTGGAGGCGTTTGAAGAATCAGCTGCTTAAACCCTATCACTTAACAACGGTTCAAGAGTTATTGGTTGAAGATTATCCTAAAAGGATTGGATTTTGCGATTAGTTGTTAATGGAAAACACTCGAAATGTTAATTTTATTAGAAATATTTTGTTTACCGACGAGGCTACCTTCAGTAGAAATGGAATAACAAACCATCATAACGAGCACATTTGGGTCGACGAAAATCCTCACGCCAAAAAAATGACTCATCACCAAAGGACTTTCGAAGTTAATGTTTGGGCAGGAATTGTGGATAACAATTCTATATTAAAAATAACTGTTGTTTTTGGGGGTTTATGAAATAGAAAGTGTATTCTGTAACCATAGAGGTTGAACAACAATTGAGAGTTAGAATAAGTGAAGCTGCAAATCAATTTCGTCAGAAAAATATGATTTTTCAGCGCATGCGGTTTTCCTCATTAAAACGATACTACATGTGTATTGAAGAAAATGGGGGTCATTTTGAACATTTATTGTAATATCATATTTATAGAGGTTACAGACATTTTTTGTACTTGTTAATTCATTTAAGCCATTTATTTAGTTGCACGTAATTTTTTACACAATAATGAAAAGGGTCGTAACTAATGATGCCACAAAATTCATTTGATTTGAACGTACTCAAAAGTTTGGGGAGATTTAGAGCTGCACACCCCCTTAAAATTTTCCTGTGCGCTTAGATTTTGTTGTTTTTTTTTATGAAAATAGCTTTCAGAACAAGAAAGCAACGTGTCCATTTTTATAACAAAATGTAGTTTAGGAGATAATGCAAAAAAAAAATTTTATTTTGTAACTTCAAAAGGCTGTAACTTTTTTTGTGTACACTTTTGTACTAAAGTAAGTTGGATTCAATCAATTTATTTTTGTCCCTGGAATGCTGATTTAATTTATGACATACCTTTTTGAAACACCCTGTATAGAGATCGATGTAATTGTAAACTTTATTCTGAAATTAATATTGTACGGTTTTAAGCTGGAAATATAAATTATAATATGTAAATTATGTTTTAATTTAAAAAGTGGCAGTAGTGTTGCTTACATTTTAATAATTAATGGACTAAATAATAATATACTCACGTAACAATTGCAATTAAACAATGCATAATTTAGTTTTTGTTTTTTGTTAAGGACTGCCCAAGTTGATAAATCGATAGGTAGCATAAATGACAGTAAATCGTACATTATTTTAACTATGTATTAATTAAATATTATATATTTATTGTTGTAGGTGAAGGATTTGCGGTAGTGTATCGGTGTTTAACATTGGATGATTTGATTTCTAAATTATATCTGAATTTAAATGTTCACATTCCTTGCGCTACATTCACCTTAGAGGGATGCACTGTTCAAAGGTTCATTCATCTCGATTTATGTCCCCCAAGTCGACTAGAAGAGGTTGAATTAATTAAAACTGAAATGACAAGTTTACCGCAAGGACCGCTACAGGAACAGAAAAAAAGTAAATGAGTAAAAAATAAACGTTTGTATAAAATTTTACTAAACTTAATTTTTAGCTGAACTTGGTCGTGATGTCACTACAGAAAATCTTCGGAAGTATTTTGATGAATTGCAAGACGAATGTTGGGGTGATACACTGCAAATTATGGAATTGGCGCCAGAAGCAGGGGATACATTATCACTCTCCAAACGTCCATCATGGTTACAAGAACCTTATTTAAAAGCTGATGTTTGTAAATTTCCTATTCCCTTTAAAGCTAGAACTGATGTGGTTAGTTTTTATGTGGGTACGTATTTAATCAATGTGATATATAAATTTTTTATTTATTTTTCATTTTATAAAAATAAATAATAGGTTTAATAATACTTTAACTTTCAGTTTAATGCTTTACCTCCATTTTTTAAGGACTGTCAGATTAACATTGTTTGGATTAAAACTATCTAAAAAAGTGTACTAATAATAGCAGAAGTTTTAAAAAATATCTTTACATTATCTTTTTCTTCTTTCTTCTTGTATGTAGGCTTTATAGCATGTTTCTTCTTTAATATTAGCCTCCTAAATTGTTTAAATCATTGCATCATCTTTTCTTGATCTTCCAATACTTATTCGTCCATTTGATGACTTATTTCCTCTGCCATTCTACTAATATGTTCGTCTACTTCTGTTTCCGTTTTGTTACCCATCCATTTATTTCTTCTATATCTTTATATATCTATCAAACAGACTTTTCCCTGATATTCGTCCGAGTATTTTCATCTCTGATGTTTCTAGTAGTCGTCTCGTTTTAGATGTGTCAGGTCTTGTCTCCGCCGTGTATGTTGAATATAGGTCTAATTGCTGCTTTATAGAATCTTGTTTTTGTGTCTTGTCTTAGGTATTTGTTCTTCCAGATTGTGTCATTAAGAGATCCCGCCGCTTTACTTGCTTTTAAGCTTTGTTGTCGTACTTCTTCTTCAACATCTCCGTAACTAGTTATATCTATTCCCAGATATCTAAACCTTACTTCCTGCTTTATTATTTTTCCATTAATTTCGATTTTACATCGTATTGGGTATTTAGATGTCATACATTTGGTTTTTCTGCTGATATTCAGCCCTATTCTGTAACTACAAATCAAATAGAAATGAGTCAAATCGAATAGAGGTCAGCAAGTGGGATCGGAATTTGTAGGAATCGGTATTCTGTAACACGTCTCGACCTCTACTATCGGAATGTTGTGTAGAAATTGATTTCGACTAGACAAGCTCTGTCGAGATCAAATTTCGACATCAAAATTGGTCTTGACGCTTGCGCATTGGTTGTTTTGACATTTATTTGTTGACTAGTTGATATAAATTAGCAGTTGATTAATTTTTGTAGCTGCTTCATTTTTTAGTATGTGGTGTTATTTATTTAGATAAAGTTTACTAAATAATTTAACTGCTCAGCAGATATCTTTTTCTTTGCTGTTACGCTTGCTTTTTGTATTCTTGTAACGAACTTTTCAAACTTAACCAAAACATGTCAAAACTACTTAACGACAAGCTTGAAATATAATCTTCTTTTTTGATGAATTTTCTAGCCTTTTCAGTAACATAACGTCACAGAACACTTATTTTACATATCAATGCGGGGTTGCCACCAACTTTTGAGCGCGTCAAGTAGAAGTTGACGTTTTCGATTTACACCGATTACGATGTGAGTTACAGAATGCCAATCCAAACACGAAAACGACGCGATAGATATCCAACATTCCGATTTCAAGTAATTACGATTCGACTTGGTGATTTCTATTCGATTTGTCAAAAGTTACAGAATAGATCTGATTATCGTATTGTATTTCTTAGCTGTTGTATTCAACATGTATGTTAATCTTTGGAGCTCGTTTTCTGTCTCGGCGATTAATGTGGCGGCGTCTGCATAACATAAGATTTTAATTTTTTTCTTTTCCATTCTGTAGCCATGACCATTACGTACTGCTTATATTATTCGTTTATTATTATATTAATGAGAAGTGGGCTTAACGAGTCACCTTGTCTGACTTTGTACTGATATACACTGTGTTAGTTTTCCATTTATCTTAGCCTGTATTCGATTATAGAAGTAGATGTTTTCGATGGTTTATATAATATTGATTGATATGTTTCTTTTATACAGTAGGTGTAAGACATCTTCGACTTGGATGCGATCGAAAGCCTTTGTCAGGTCTATAAAACATAGATATGCTGTTTATTGTACTCGATGGTCTTTTCTGTGATTTGTCTTAGTACAAATACGGCATCTACGCAGGATCTTCCGGATCTGAATCCTTGTTATTCATCTGATAAAGTTGTTAGTTTATTGATTTTGTTAGTTAGGACTTTTGTGGTAAGCTTAAGTGCGGTGTTCAGTAGATTTATACCTCTATAATTGTTGGGTCTTCTTATCTCCTTTCTTGAACATTGGTATCATTATGCTGTTTCTCCATGCGTCTGGTATCTTGCAGTGCAATATTAGTTTTTGTATAAGTTTTGTCATCTCTAGGGTTATACTTTCTCCTCCGTGTTTTAGAAGCTCGTTGGTTATTCCGTCTGGTCCTGGTGACTTTCTATTTTTGAGTGAATTTATGGCTATCTCTACTTCCTGAAAACTGATTTCTAGTTCGTGTCTTAATTCAGGTACGTTATTGTGTTGATTATTATTTTCCTTTCTTTAAACATTTCCGTCAGGTATCTTTCCCATTCGTTTGCTGGTATGTTATTGTATTCCTTCAATTCTGCTATTTCTTTCCGTTGGTTTCTTATGAATCTCCATATTTGTTTTGTGTACCGTAGAAGTCGCTTTCCATCCTTTTTGTAAACTGTTCCAGTGTTCATTTTTTGTTCTTCTTACCAACTGCTTTGTTTCATTTCGTATTCTTCTATAGGTGTCTCGGGATTCTGGAGTATTTGATGTTTTGTACTTCGTGTAGACCTCTCGTTTCTCTTTACATTTCTCTTTTATTTCTTTTCTAAACCATGGTGTATTTTTGTTGTTTCTTTTGTTTAGTTTCAGACACAAGTTTAATAAAACGATCATCAATGGCATTATAATGTAAGTGATTGTTAAGAAATTTAGTCGTAGAAATAGTGTATATGCTTATAACACAAAGGCAGTTCTGGTCGTCGAAGAACAGTTTTATTAACAATAATCAAGAACGTATTCTTGATCAGATATTGTAGATCCAATAAAACTATAATCAATTTCGTCTAGACTGAATATTAAACATCCCCGCATCATCTATTCAAACCTTTTATTGGTTATCCACATCGTATTTAAACGATTACGTTGGACAATGACCAAACTTTGCAGAAAAATATTCAACAATTTTTTTTTTGTGGGCGAGTGTTGAAGTTGGTATATGAAATTGATGATTTCTCGAAATGTATATGGTTTTTAGATGAAAGTCAAATCTACAATAATTATATCAGCACAATTACTTACATTTGAATGACTAAATGTCATTGTAAAGTAGGGGAGACCGGGCTTTACAATTTTTACATTGTATTTTTTTGTGCATTCGTTATAAATTGTCATTGTAACGTCTGGATGAGTTTTCATCCAGCCATTCATCTGACTGCTAATAATTTTTTTATTGGTCCAAACACCGATCTGTCCAAAGGTTGCAATCGATGAGAGCAATGCGAGGCAAGGTCAAGAGAACAATGCCATTTTCCTTGCAATAATCTATTACCTCAACCGACAAATGGGAATCGTGATTGTCCAGTATTAATAATACTTAGACTTTCCTTAGAACATTTAATATTCTTATGAAAATGTTTCACATAAAGTAAGAATTCCACTTTCGTCATCCATCCAGAAGGATTGCTCGTTCCTATACATCCTGGTGGTCCACTGGAAACAAAATGTTCTCGATAATTTTTCCGCGGAAAAATAAACATTGGCGGCACTGAGTTTCCACTGGCATTCACTGCCAGACACACTGTCACCAATGTTCCTCGTTCCCCGAAGTGATCCGCCCCACTTGCTTCACACCTTTTGATGCTATTATTTTTGCAGGTTTTTGAACTGTAGTTATACGGTTTCATCTAAGTTGTAAATATCGTTTGCTCCAAGATTGTGCCTATTTAATACATTGCAGAGTTTGTCAAAGAATAAATTTACATTGTGGCTATTAAAGCTTGTGGTTCGGCGAAGCTCATAGCCTGATGGATAACTTATTGTGGCGTTTTAAAAAAAATGTTAGCCAGTCAGCAGATGCAGTCTCAAATTTGGTCCAGTTATCAGAACAGTTACGTTATTTTTTAAAGCAAACTGAAAAGCAAGCTGTTTAAGATCTTTTGGGGAAAGACCATGATATATCTTTGAACATTCAGTAACATAAGAAGCTAATTCATTTTCTTGTAGATCAGAGAAGATCTTCCGATTTTTAAAATATGCTATAGGCATGATAATAGCATCTGAAAAAAACAAATTTTAACGAGGCATGTGCTATACATGTGTTCATAGAAAAAAATTACGATTTTACTACACTCACTATCAAGCCCAATTTTCTGGATCTTTTGACGTATCTCTGAAGCGTCATAAAATTAATCCCGTATTCATCCGCTACTGGTCTAAGAGGTCTGTCATTTTCTATCACCTTCTTTGCTGCAGCAATAATTATTTCTGGTGACGTTTCAACACGCTTAGTTTTTTTCTTGTAGGTTCTCATTTGGATCTATTAAAATTTACAATTTTATTTACAAACAAAATCTAGGTTACTAATCAACCTACACACAAATTTCTTGACATAGGGCAGGTTGTTATAGTAACAACTGTATGACCATAGCTTAAAAACCTAAAGTCTTGATAGAGTTTCCCCCTTCAATGTCCACGTTTCTACTCCGTACAGAAGCACTGAGTACACATAACATTTAAGGAGCCTTATTTTTATATCTAGGGTGAGATCATGGCTCTTAAACACAGAACTCATAGTTAAGAATGCACTTTTTGCTTTTTCGATGCGACCTTTAATCTCTTGGGTATTGTCCCACAACTCATTGATTATAGTTCCCAAGTAGTTGTATTGTGACACACGTTAAATTCCCATTTGGTTCACATACAAAACGACCTAATCACGCCTTCTGATACCAACATTTAAAAAAAAAGTGTTTAATCCTTTTTATGTTCAAGTAACGTAATAGGTATCTCATGACTAGTACCAGTGCTCCAGTTATGTGTTCCTTGCTGATGATCATTAGCTTGGTTTTGCTGGTATTTATATCCAGTCCATATTTTCTACTTGTTTCCGTTATTTAGTTCATTAAGTCATGGACGGACAGGGTCAGAAATGAGGAAGTACTCAGAAGAGCGGGCTTACAGGATAGGGAACTTTTTGATTATGTAAAAAGTAAGAAGACTGCATACTTGGGGCACATTATACGAGGAGAACGATACACTTTTCAGCAACTGATACTCGAAGGGAAGATAGAGGGTAGAAGAGGTCTCGGACGTAAAAAAATGTCATGGCTGCGCAATATTCGACAATGGACAGGAATCCACAGCTATGAAATGCTTCGCAATGCTGCTAAAAACAGAATTATTTAATCCTAGAATATTTAACATCTCACCTGACAAGACGATGTACGGTGGACGCCTACGCAGAAATGCACGGCACCTTAAGAAGAAGAAGAAGTCATGCAGCCCTTCTATGGTATTGGAAAACACTGTTGTATCAGCTGCATACCGCAGGTTATTGAGCTTGACTCCATTTATTGAGATTCCTTCATCAATATCTTTTAGAGCCTCTTCAAAAATGTGTTTCGAGTACAGATTGAATATCAGTGGTGAAATTATGCATCCCTGTCTTACTCCCCTTAAGATTTTGACCTGATCTGTATATTCTCCATGTATTCGGAGTACCGCTAATTGATTCCAATACAGGTTAGCTATTATTTTTAAGTCTTTTCCGTCAATCCCTGTCCTCTTCAGCACTTCCATCATTTGTTCATCTCTGCCTCTATCGAAAACCTTCTTGTCATCAGGCATGCAAAAACATTACAACTGACATCTCTACACTTCTGAAACAATACCACTATAAACAATAATGATAAAGCTAACAGTCAATAAAATATGCTGTGAAAACAGTAAGTTATCTTTTACTAAAATTAGCAAAATCTTTAAACCTATCTGTCAATGTTCCATTCTTTTTTATTGCTGTAAGAATTGTTAGATCTTATTTAAATCTCTTAATTGTTTTCAACAACTCATCGTTGTTATACCGAATATCTTACATGATTCACGTTCCAAAACTCAATTTTCGTAAATTGGATAATTTTTTTATACGGCTACCCAGCGTTTTCTTTTTAGAACATTTTGCAATATTTTTTTTTAATGTAATGGGGAGTACGTTAATTGCCACAACCTTAAATCCTGATAAACGAGAAATAGTTCTGTAGGGGCCTTTTATCCCGAGTAGCTTCAATATTTGAGCGCTAGCAACTCGCCCTCAACCATTTCATTTAATGATAGAATTTGCTGACTATATGTTTGATGTTTCATACTTTGAGATGTTTCTTGACATTTTTAATACCCACCTATCGGCATTTGTAATACCGGATCTTGAGTACCCCAAGATACAGATTCTGCCCTTTCACGCTCCTCCTTTTTCAACCGAGCTTGAGACCGTCTACGTGAAAGTTAATAACTAAATTTTGCTGGTAAAGTCATTATTGTTTTTATATAGCAGAAACCTTTTTTTACTAAACAGTAATTTATATAAAATTTTTGTAGATATTGAACCCGATGGCTCTAAAAGTATTATAAGAGCCGGTACCCATCATGCAGATCCAAGTTTCTCAAAATACAAAGGTCGTCAAAGTATGGGTAATGCTATTTCGGCATTAACGATGCTTAAATTCCATAAATCAAAGCATTGGGTACCTTCCTTGTTAAATAAAATCCTTAAACATGGGGATCTACTATATAGGGATGCGATGATAACTATAAGTAGAAGTCAAGAACTAAAGCTATCGAACTTCCAAAAGAAGACAGAATATTTGGATAAAGTATTTATGCCGAAGGTATACAATAATCTATATAGTTTCTGCACCATGAGTTAATAATAAGTCCCACAGATTATTCAAACCTTTATTTCCAGACACTTCAGTATATTGGTTTTTAATACCGTATTCTTAGTTTTGCCGAAAGCGTTAATTGCTCATTTGATTATTTTTTTAATTTAGCAGTTTTGATTATTATCTTTTTCATACTAGTGGCTTAAATCTCTGTAACATATTACTTACACAATTGCTTCATCGTTTATAGATATTTTGCAGCTAGCGACTAAGATTGTCATTATACTGTGTCTTTTTAAGCTTAATATTTAAACCTACATTGGATGACGCAGAGTTCAGTGTACTTAACATCTCTTGGATTTCTTTCCATCGTTCTCTGTAGGATGTATGGATATGTAAATGTTTGGTTAATGCAGAGATAAGTATCTCTTGGACTTCTTTAAGACCACACGATATTGTCACAAAAGCGAAAATAGTTTATTCTCTCACCATCAATGAAGATATCAATGTCTTCCCATTATGTTCTTTTAACATGTATCTCAGCAGCATTGTAAATAGTATTGGTGAGATGTTATTTTTTCAATTATTTTTGTTAGACAGTGGACTGTCTGGGAGACAATCCCAGAAAGCCCAATAATTTTTGAGATCTGTAATGTCGTCGTTTGTATGCATGAACTATGATCGCATTGTTCCATGCCATTAGGACTTTTCAGTTGCTAAACATGTATTAAATATCTTTTTTATCTTGCTTTATTACTTTCAATCACAAAACTATCTTTTCATGGGGCTCTATCGTTTTTCATTTCTCTGAATTTCCTGATGAGGTAATTTCCGCTACGTTTCGGATCTTTTGAGTTCTAATTGCAAACTATTGAAATATTTGTTATGTCATTGTTACTAGTATGTTTTTTTTTTAATAGCATTCTTTACAAATACTTCACTATTTGGATAATTTTTTTATATCTGATGTTTTTGTACCTTCTGTATTATGAAGTTTATGAATGTATTTTGTTTCTTTTGTTAGTTTCTTTCTTTGCACTGCTTTTAAGATTTTATTTTGTTTTATTACTTCTGAAGTAGTTTTTGTTATTGTATTTCCTTGATTATTAGTCTACATTTAGCTCTACTTTACTGTTCAATTCCTCTTCGTTTTTCCATAAGCTCTTTTGGGGGTTTATTTATTTTATCAAATTTTTTTTTGTTTACTACAAAATCTCTATAAGACATTTTTCAGTGCACTTAGATTTTGGTTGTTTATTTCCTTCAGTTTTGTGTTCTCTAGGTTTTGAAAGCCATTCTAAACATATCCTGCTGATTTAGAAAGAATTTTGGGGAATGTTTACTTCGTTAGCTTCTTTATTTTTTTCAAGTTTGATTATTTTTCTCCTTACAGGTTGATGGTCACTAACTTGCGTAAACTTAATCCACATTTACGTCTTAAACTACGGCTTTTCGATTAGATAATATGTAAGCTTACTTCTGGTAACACCTTTGGAACTTGATCATGTCCATTTTCATATTATGTTCTCTTGCGAACTGAAACAGTTGCGTGATTTTTTTGTTCGTTGTACATATTTCGAAGCAATCAATTAGTAATTCTTCTTCAATCTGTTTCGTTGAAATACCGATTATTATTACATAATAAGCTTTTGAATTATTTATTTTACCTGAAATATCTTTATTAAACGCTTCTACTTTTTCATTGCTGAGAATATGATGGAGCATATGCCTAAATTATTTGAAGGTTATACATAGTCCTGCCATAAATATTGAAATAATTGTAAACGCGTCTTATATGGCTGGCAGGTTGACATTACTGACTGTTGATATGTACAATATAAACACACCAACACACCAATCTAGTTTGAGCCATTATGATGGAGTTGACAGACAAAGAGAACCATATTGCTGTCATTGGTCTTCATAAGTGTGGAATAAAAAGAGCTCGTATTGTTGAATTACTAAAACCGTTAAATATTACGCGTTTTTTTTTAATACGGGAGAAGTAATTGACCGTAAAAGAACCGGCCGACCTTGCGTGACTCGTGCGCCACAGGTTATTAACGCTGTTAAGTTAAAAATTAACAAAAATCCTGCCCGAAAACAAAAAAATATTACTCGGAACACTTCTGTCCATCTCTTTAATTTTTAGTTAGTATTCAACACAAATTTCTCATTTACATCTTTCAGTATTCCCGGTTTTCTTGTTCTATTGTTGTGATTTAATTCTTTAATTTTTTTTATGTGTTTAAACTATCATATCTTTTCTGGTATTCTTTTATTTCTGCGCATTTTTCTTTTACCCATTGTTCTTTCGCTGTCTTCATTCAGTATTTTATTTGTTTATGCACTTTTTTTACATCTGATTATCTTTGTTTTTATATTGTCTTTCGTACTTCTTTCTTCTAATAAATCTAAAATTTCTTTCGTCATCCATTGCTTCTTTTTATATCTAGTTGGTATTAGAATTGCTTCTTGACTTTTTTCTATTTATGTCTTTATTAATAACCATTTTTATCCGTCTCAGTATTTTGCAGAAGTTTTTGTTTAATATTATCCCGACACCATATCTGTGTGAACCGTCTTGACTTCCTGAATAATATATTGTTTTATTGTTGATTTTTATCTTTCCTGAGTCGGGCCATTGGACATCGCTGATTCCTAAAATATCTATATTCAGCCTTTCCATTTCTTTAACGGCATTATGTACTTTTCCAGCTTGATGTAGACTTCTAACATTCCAAGTCGCTACTTTGCAAGGTTTTCGCATGTTGACGACCGGGAGGCCTTGCAGTCTTGTGAGTTTCCTCCTCTGCCGGATCTTGTTTTCCGAGTTTCATGATCAGTAGAGTGTTTAGTTGTATTGTTAGTCATGATGATTAACTAGGGATGCTCTATGAGCCTTTAATGCATTGGTTTCCCGTTGCCTTATGCATCTCCACGCCGTTGACCATGTCTGGTTCGTCCGCCTTTAGAAATGATTTTCCATTTCTAGGACAAGAAGGTGCCCTTCCACTTCGACTTTTCCACCCGAAGCTGTTCGATGATCATGATCTAGATCATCTCACGGGCAGGTGAGGTTGACATTTGAATAAGAAAGGCTATCTATGTTTTGCACATCGCTATTCCTTACAAGACATACAAAACATGAAAAAAATCAAGCAAAATTATAAAGTTTATGAACGGTCATCAAAGGAATTCCGCAAATTGGTGACAAGAATCAACGAAGGGATTTTACTGCCTCAATGATGATTTGGTGGGTAATGTCCTATGACGGCGTTACTTCTTTGCATTGCTGTAAAAATAGCGGCGAGAAATTATTAGCGTGATATTTTAATAAGTCTGGTGGAGCTTATAACCCACACATGTTCCAAAATAGGCCATAGATATCTCAAGAATAAAATCATAGTAGTGAACATTGGCCGTCCGCTAGCCCAGATCTTAATGTACTCGACTACTAATTGTGGTTATTTTTAGAGGGCATGGTCTGTACAGGACGCCAACACAATTGAGTGTCATTCAAACGGGCTCTGGTAGAAGTTGAATACAACTTATAGCGATCGATGAATGGTCTAACAGACTTCGGCGCTGAATTCAGGCAAATAGCGGCTATTTTAAATAAAATCAACTCTGTAGTTTATTTTTTTAGTTAAATACCTTATATCAATATTTATGACAATGGGTACATACCTCTATTTTAGTTTAAAAATAATATATTATATTTATTTACAAACATAGTAAAGTAAACTAGATGACTTTAGTTGTCATCCGTCTGTTCTTCTTAGACCCCACTTTATCATGATATCAATAGTGCTGGTATTATATGTTGGTATATGCAATAGTCATCGTCTTTGTTATCCTGATCCAGTTGATTATTAGTACCTCCAGTTCGATTTACTTATCTGGTTACTACAGGGCGTTATTTATGTACCTTGAAAACTTATTCAATAATTACGCTGACTTATGCGTCTCTGTAGGTTGGTAGGCAGATTATAATACCTAAATTACGCGTCGGTTAGCATTTTATGCTAATAGATCTGGTCTGATAGAGAAAATTATAGTAACTAGTACATTTTCAACTATCGTGTTTACAGAATATATACTTCTTCTTCTTCCTTCTAGTATGTAGGCTTTAAAGCCTGTTTCTTCTTCAATATTAGCCTCCTAAATTTTTAAATTGTCGCACCATCTTTTTCTTGGTCTGCCAATACTTCTTCGTCCATTTGGTGACTTATCTCGTGCTATTCGTACTATTCTATCCTCTGCCATTCTACTGATGTGTTCGTTCCACTCCTGTTTTCGTTTTGTCACCCATCCATTTATGTCTTCTATATTGCATGCTCTTCTTATGTTTTCGCTTCTCTCCCTATCCAACAGACTTCTCCCTGATATTCGTCGGAGTATTTTCATCTCTGTTGTTTCTAGCAGTCGTCTCGTTTTAGATGTGTCAGGTCTTGTCTCCGCCGTGTATGTTAATATAGGTCTAATTGCTGCGTTATAGATTCTTGTTTTTGTGCCTTGTCTTAGGTGTTTGTTCTTCCAGATTGTGTCATTAAGAGAACGCGCCGCTTTACTTGCTTTTAAGCTTTGTTGTGGTACTTATTCTTCAAAATATATACAATGTCATAAATAAAAATCGGTTAAAGTGCTTTTTAATTTTATTGAATATTATTTTGTAGATCGAAGATTTTGTTGTTATTGGAAGATTAACTTCCAATGATTTTGAAGTTTTAGATCTCTTGACAGCTTTAGAGAGTTTCTTAATAGATCACATTTGCTGTGTAATTATTGGTCCCATAACCTTAGCGGTATGGGTGGAAGATGGAAAGTTTTATTCTTTTGATCCAAATGGAAGGTAAGTATCTTTAAAAAATTCCATCTATGTACAAATCTAATTTGATTATAAAATCCACAAGTAAAATGAAATTTCTGTAGTTGGCTGTATACCATAAATCATAATAGTTTTATTTAAAAATCCTTTATAAAAAGGATATAATTAAACAGACCCTTTCGGGCTATATCACGGAATGTTTTCGGACAAAAAAATCCATCATCACTGTATTACCAAGTGTTCATGAATCAAGCCACTAAATGTTTGGGTAAAAACCCTTAAAATGGTACAAAATGTATTATGTGTTACATT